CTGGCATTGGTATCAGGGTAATGCTGGGCTCATAAAATGAATTTGGAAGTGCTTCTTCCTCATTGGCTTTGTGAAAGAGTTTGAAAAGGAATGATATCAATTCTTCTCTAAATGTTTGGTAGAATTCACCTAGTCATGGGTTTTTCCTTTTTTGGAGATTTTTAAATTACTGATTCAATCTCTTTGCTAGTTATAGGTCTGTTCAGAATTTCTATTTCTTTATGTTTCAGTTTTGGTAGATTGCCTTTTCTAGGAATTTGTCCATTTCTTCTAGGTTATCCAATTTGTTGGTGTATAATTGCGCATAGTAATCTCTTAACTTTTAATTTCAGTGGCATCAGTTGCAATGCCTCTTCCTTCATTTCCAATTGTGAGTCTTCACTGTTTTTTTCTTAGTTTAGCTAAAAGTTTGTCAATTTTATTGACCTTCAAAACACAAACTCCATTTCATTGCTCTTTTCTATTGTTTTTCTAGTCCCTTTCATTTACTTCTGCTCTGATTTTTATTATTTCTTCTGCCAACTTCAGGCTTAGATTTTTCTTCTTTCTCTAGTTCTTTGTGGTTTAAAATTAGGTTTTTGATTTGAGACTTTTCCTCATTGTTAATGTAGGCATTTATTGCTATAAACTTCCCTCTTAGTACTGATTTTCTGCACTTGATAAACTTTCTTATGTTGTGTTTTCATTTTCATTTGTCTCAAGATGTTTTCTAATTTGCTTTTGGTATCTTTGACATACTAGTTGTTCAAGGGTGTGTTGTTTCATTTCCATGTATTTGTGAAATTTCCAGTTTTCCTTCTCTTACTTTTCTCTGGTTTCATTACATTATATTTGGAAAATATATTTAGTATGATTTAATTCTTTTTAAATTTGTTAGGACTAGTTTTGTGACCTAACATGATCTGTTCTTGAGAATGTCCTTTATGTGCTTGAGAAAACTGTATTCTGCTACTGTTGGTTGAAATGTTCTGTATATACTGTTACGTTCATTTGGTCTATATTGTTGTTCAAGTCCTCTGTTTCCTTATTTCTCTACTGTCTGGATGCAATCCATTATTTAAAGTGAGGTATGGAGAATTTAAGAAATAAAACAAATGAGGAAAGGGAGAAAAAACGAGAGAGACAAACCAAGAAACAGACTCTAAACAATAGAGAATACACTGATGGGTTATCAGAGGGAAGGTGGGTGGGGGATGGGTGAAATAGGTGATAGGAATTAAAGAGTATACTTACCATGGCGAGCAATGAGTAATGTATAGAATTGTTGAACCACTATATTGTACATCTGAAACTAATATAACACTGTATGTTAACTATACTGGAATTAAAATTAAAATTTTAATTAAAAAAATTAAACATAATTATAAATAAATAAGGTGAAGTATTGAAATCTCCTAATATTATTACTGTTTATCTTTTCCTTTAATTCTGTCAGTATTTCCTTTCTATATTTTAGTGCTCTGCTGTTAGGTCCATATACATTTTTAATTGTTATATATTTTTGGTGGATTGACCCTTTTATCATTATATAATATCCTTCTTTGTCTCTTTTTACAATATTTGACTTAAAGTCTATTTTATCTCTTATAATTATGCCCCACTCCCTGCTGTCTTTAGGTTACCATTTGCATTGAATATCTTTTTTTATTCTTTAACTTTCACTCTATATGTATCCTTAAATGAAAAGTTTCTTCTAGACACATTTACTGGGTCTTGTTCTTTATCTATACAGTCACTCTATGCCTTTTGCCTGGGGAGTTGAATCCATTTGAATCCTTTTTCTGTCTGTCTTTGCTTTTCTGGGGGGTGGGTATTTGTAGTGACATTGATTCCTTCACAATTTTCTTTCATGTTTGTTCTACAGGTATTTTCTTTGTGGTACCATTGGGCTTACATAAAGCATCTTATATTTATAACAATCTATTAACAAACTGATAACAAATTCAGTTGCATATAAATATTTTTTGCTTTTACTTTCTCCCTTTTACACATTTTATATTATTGATGTCACAAATCACATTTTTTATATTGTGTACCAATTAGCATATTTTATAATAATTTTTAATCATTTTATTCCAGAATTTTATACCAGAATTAAAAGTGACTTTTTACACGCTTCAGTTACAGTGTTCTTTTTTGTCTGTATGTTTACCTTTACTAGCAAGCTTTATACTCTCATGTTGCTGTTCAGGGTCTACTTGTTTCAACTTGAAGAATTTCCTTTAGCATTTCTTACAAAGCAGGTCTAGTGGTGATGAACTCCCTCAGTTTTTGTTTTGTTTTGTTTTGTTTGTGTGTGTGTGTGTGTGTGTGTGTGTGTGTGTGTGTTTTGTTGTTGTTGTTCCCCAGATCTGGAAAGGTTTTATTTCTCCTTTATTTTTGAATAACAGTTTTGCCAGACATAGCATTCTTGGTTAGTAGTTATTCCTTTCAGCACTTTTGAGTAGATCATCCTACTCCTTTCTGGCCTACAGAGTCTTCCTGAAAAATCCACTGAAACGCTTATGGAGGTTCTCTTACACATGGTGAATTGCTTTTCTCTTGCTGCTTTCTGAATTTTCTGTCTTTGATTTTTGAGAGTTTACTTATAATGTGTCTCAGTGTGGAGTTCTTTGAATTCACTATGGTTAGAGTTCTATGGGCTTCTTAAATGTGAATGTCAGTTTCCTTCCTCTTTCTTTAAGTGTGCTTTTTTGTTCCTTATTCTCTTTCTTTTTTTTTCCTGGGACTTCCATAATATCTAGATTGGTCTGTTTAATGGTATTTAGTTCATTTCTTAGGCTTTCTTCATTCTTTTTCATTCTTTTTTCTTTTTGTTTTTCTGACTGGAAAATTTCAAATGACTTGTCTCTGAGTCCACCGATTCTTTCTTCTTCTTGAGTGAACCTAATGTTGAACTGCTCTGGAGAATTTTTCCATCTAGTTATTGTATTTTCAGCTCCAAAATTTCTGTTTGGCTCTTTTTAGTATTTTCTATTTCTCTGTTGATATTCTTGTTTTATTTGTGCATTGTCCTTTTAAGCTCTTTGAGTATCTTTATGATGGTTATTTTAATTGACTATCAGGTAATGCATATACCTCCACTTCTTTAAGATGAGTTTTGAGAGATTTATTTTGTTCTTTTGTTTAGGCCATGTTTCCCTGTTTCTTCGTGTGTCTCATTAGTTTGTGGTGGGATTGACACATCTGAAATAACAGCCACATCTCCTAGTCTTTATGAACTGGCTTTGTACAGCAGAAGACCTAAGCCTGACTGGAGATTCTGGAGGACTCTAGCCTTCTTTCTGTTGGAGGAAATATAACTTTTCTGGAGAAGGGATGAATTATATGTAGTAGTAGAAGGAGGATTTCTGGGATCAAGTGTATATAGTTAGACTCTCAATTAGTTTCCACATTTTCAGCTTCATCTCTTACTACACTTCTTTGTTTAGTAGGAGCTCTTCTCTTAGTCCAGACCCTCTTTGGGATTCTACTGGACAGTCCTTTACTGCAGTTGGAAACCAATATTTAGAGTGATTGAATGATCTTCCCATGGCCAGGCAGCCAGGAAAGAACAGAGCTTTATGTGTAGCCAGTTTGGGACTTAAAAACCCATAGTGTTAAATAAATTGCATTAATGTATGTCTATTACTGCATCTCAGGTTCCTCTGTTTTCCTTTTGCTGTAGCTTCTCTCTCTGCTACTGTGGAGGTCACTGTAGCTGCCCATAGTAGCTAATGCTTCCATATCCTATCTCTTAAAACCCTTGTCACCAGCTTTCTTACTTGAACCCTTTACCTTATTAGAGGCCCAGTCCCAAGTGAGCCCAGTTAAAGAATCTTCTAACCTTCCTTAGTAAGAGAAGGAAGGATGCTTGTTTGTATTGCCCAAGTAACATAGAGTTTCTTGCAGTAATAGACCCTCAATATTCTTTGAAGCATGAATGAATGGTGTAAGGAAGAGCTGACCAAATTCCTGAGGTAGTAGACACAAGAGAGACTATTGCTTAAGCAGAGGGATTTATCAAGTAGAAACTGTATGGTATTTTTCTATAGAAATAATGTTAGTAATGGTAGTTAGATCCTACAGTTTGAAGAATACCACCAAAACAGCAGTCCAACTAACTTTTAAGTTATGCATTGTGTATGGGTTAATCTGGGAGCCCAACCATGATTTTTATATAATGCTTCTGTAAGAAAATGCTTTCTGAAGGACAAATAGTTTATGAATGAATTTTTGGAAACTGTAAATTGAGGTTAACATCTGAGAACATTAATCTGTTGGTCATCTTTGCTGATGTCTTCTTCTGACTTATTTATAAAGTTATAAAGAACCATGAGGGCAAAACCTGCTTTCTATTATGTAATAATACCACTCTGCCCAGCTCTTGCGTTTTGTCTCTGCTTTTATGCCCATCCAGCATTCATTATGTTACCTTCTATGTGGTAGGTACTCAAAAAACTTTTATGTGTTGATTTTTTTAATAACACTGTCATTCATCACAAAAAATAGTATATCCTAAGATATCTAGGATTTGCAAAATTATAAATGACCTTTAGAATACAGATTAAGCAACTACAACTTTAGTTGATATGGTTGTATAATATTAATAAAAATAAATAAATTATAATAATAGGTTTGGATGTTTTTCATTTTTTTCCATATAACTTATAATTTAGGTGCAAATTGTCATGGTAAAAGCTAGAAGGCATCCTGGTTTCAAAGGCCCCAAAAGCCCTGGGCTCTAACCCACACTTTTAAGAGTGTCATTGGGACACTCTTATGTCATTGGGACATCTTCTGTCACTGGGACAGAAGAGGAATGACCTCTTTCATTAGAGAAAATACTATAGAGTAGTCTAATGTCCTGAGAATATATCTGTTCTGCTTTCTGGAAATACTGTGTCTTGGAGTTTAGGGCAAAGTTATGATTGGGAAAGAAGAACCCATCACATGTTGATTTTGAGTAAAGTGACAAAAAGATAACTCTGTTCACAGAAGACACTGTTTTGCTTTTTCAGGTGTAACTGTGTAGAACCACATAATCCTAGCAATGATACATTGAAGGAATGGAGAGAGTCCAATATTTCTGCCTCTGACATAATTTGGGAGAACCTAACTGTATCGGTAAGTGAAACATACAGGCTTTTGTTGACATTTTGAATGAACTATTACTAAGGCAATAATATTTTTAATAGCTGTTTATTATAAAAGTAATAGTTTTGTCTTAATTTTAATTTCATTTTTAGGTTTTCATTAGTAAACTGGGGTTTTCTTTCATTATTAAGTTTTACTAGTAGTTAGTAGGCCTGAATTACTCTAATAGCAATCACAATATGACAAGATTAACTGAAGGCACATTAAATAAGTGGTGTTGACCTAAATGAAACCATATGGCAGAACTAAGTCAGTCTTCTGTGTAAAGAACCCAGAACGCTTTTATTTCACTCTGTAATGCTGCTCCAGCTGTTCGGAATATGCTGAGGGGGAGGGGATGTTTGTTAATATTTCAGTGTAAATATTGAAGTCCATGGAAGGAACAAAATTCATTATTAAAAAAATTCTGGTACCTTCCTCAGGAAGAGCATTCTTACTTACATTTTCTTTTTATCTTCCATTCAAAAAAAACGAATGGCAATGATTTTTCACCTATCAGGGTTAAATCCTGTACTTTTTAAAAATTTTGGCTTCCTCTGTCTTGTGATTTCTTTTTTCTCCCTCCTCATAGCTGCATTTCTCAATTCTTCCTAATCTCTTATAGTGTTTGTGCACCTCTTTTTCCATCTCTATTTGCATTCTTCTGTTCAATCTAATTTCATAATTGGAGAAATTGAATGTTCTGATTTTAGTAGTATTAGAATTTGACTCTTCTAGTTATAAACATTACAGTCTGGAGCTCCTGTCACTTTACTTACCTCTATAAGCTCAAATCCTTTTATAACCATCAGCATAACATTAAATGAATTCTAGTTCATTTTGTGAAACCCGTGTTATTTTAGCAAATGAGCCAGTTAATGGAACACAGAAATCTTCTTCTGTTGTACAAATATCACAAAACTCTAAGTATGATTTCTATAAGAGCATTTGACCTATTGCTCATTTTCTCAATTTTCCCCATTAAATATTTTCTTTCAGAATCAAAATCAAATTACTTGCCCTTGGCTTAAAATCCTCTCTTGACCTATATTTTATGAAATTTTTTCTTATCTTAATCATTTTCTCTGGAATAAGTTTTCATTTATTTTTGTTTTCTGTTATAATTAATATTTATTCTTTTCCATCTATTTTACCTGGAAAAATGACATTAACAGACTGTTTCCTTTCAGAGAGCCATTTAAATGGACCAACAAAAGAAATGTTGAGCAATAAAGAATGCTACAGTTACTCAGAATTTAGGCAGGGGATCATGGTTGATCTATTCTTCAGTGTATCTTCCATTTATATTCCCTTTGTGTAAACTGTAAAGATAATATGTCTAAAGAGCCTCTTGCCTGTGCACCACATCTTGGTGTCCTCTTCAATGCAGAAACCCAATAATCCCATCTCTAGATCATTTAACATGACAATTTTTTCTATGTGTTGTATAGTCTCTTAATAATTTACTGTTAAATAATAGTATTCATTCAATGTGGCAAATCCTGAATAATAAACTTCTATGAGACTAATAGCACAATTGATCTGGCTAGTCATGACTTAATTTTAGATGTTAAAAGTTTAGGGTCAAGCAGAGTATAGTAAAAAATATTTTGCAATCAAAGCAAATCTTGCATTTTTTTTTTTTAAGTTCTGCAGTAGGTGTTAACATTCTGGCAGAAATTTTCATATTATTTTTCATAAGCTAAAAGCAGTTTTTGCAATGGATAATTGCTAATCTTGACCAGAAATAGCCTTTATCACCAAAGGGAATGCTACATAATGAAAAAATCTTGTAATTTTTAAGTCGATGAAGACCATTAAATTTATGTCTCAGTTATTATGCTGGGTTTTTTTCCCAGCATAATCACCAGCATTTTATTAATGAAACACTGTGCTAATGGCTATTATAACTTGTTTTATAAAACTGGTGATAGAACATTTACCTTACATATTATTCATTTGAAAAGTTTTCATTGAATTGTTACATATCTCATGAATTATAATTTACATCTTGCTAACTCAACAAAGGTGAAGAATTTTAGCTTTCTTTAATTCTTCCACACTGCTATATGCATAGTAAATATTCAGTAAACATTTAATGATTATTTTGAAAGAGTTTTATATCACAAATTTACTGTTTAATGCTAGTGTTTTCTTTTGGTTCATTTTGTTTTCTGGCTTTATTGAGGTATGTTTGACAAATAAAATTTGTATCTATTTGAGATGTATAACATGATGTTTTGATGTATATATACACTGTGAAATGATTACTGCAAGTTAACTAGTTAACATACCCATCACCTCACATAGTTAACATTTTCCTTTTTTCCCCATTCTTTTTCTTCTCTCTCTCTCTCTCTCTCTCTCTTTTTTTTTTTTTTTTTTTTTTTTTTTGGTGAGAACCATTAAGATCTACTGCCCTAGCAAATTTCAACCATATACCAGAGTATTATTATTCATAGTCATCATGTTATATAATAGCTCTTCAGATTTATTCATTACACATGACTAAAGCTTTGGGCCCTTTGACCAATATTTCTCTATTTTCCCTTCTTCATCCCCACCAGCCCTTGGTAAACACCACTCTGCTCTTTCCTTCTATGAGGTTGACTTTTTAGATTCCACATATAAGTAAAATCATGAAATATTTGTCTTTCCAGGTCTTCCTTTTTTCACTTAGCATAATGTCCTTCAAGTTCATTCATGTTTTTTGCAAATGACAGGATTTTCTTCTTTTTTAAGGGTAACTGATATTCTATTGTATATTTATACCACATTTTCTTAATCCATTCATCCATCTACAGACATATAGGTTATTTTCATATTTTGGCTATTATGAATAATGCTTAACTGAGGTCTTTTATGGCAAGCTAGATTATGTAAGTTTTTTTATATAAATCTAGATTTTTATAAATAAATATATTTAAAAGTATCTCAGAATCAGTCATTACAAGGAACTCCTAGGCAAGGTTTAAAATATTCCCATGCAATTAACTAGCAGTTGTCTCAGAGTTACATAGTTAGCTTGCATATATATAAGGGAGAAGATACTAATGCCAAATTTAATTTCTTATTCTTATTAACAAAATAAATATACTTATCAAACTAAATTTTTATAAACTTATAAAATTGAAACTTAGAATGTGTTTGAAGAATAATTAGTAGAAATGAGTTTGTCAACAATCATTTTTAAAATTTTTGTAAGTGAAACCATATGTCAGATTCAAAAAAGGGAACAGGATTTAGATTTAGTTTTCACTCCTGAATCTCAGGACTGGTGTGTGTGTGTGCGTGTACGTGTGTGTGTGCGTTAGGGATACAAACCAGAAAATAAATGTAGGATTTTGTAGGTCACAGTTTTTCGTTTTAAATAACATACTGCCCCCCCCCACAGGAATAGAAAAACAAAACAAAACACCCTTTTCAAATTTGCTTTGAATTAAAGTAGTAAGGCAATCACTGGCAATTTATTATTGATTATATGACTGTTAAATGATCCTTTAAGCGACATCTATGTTCTTAAGAATTGAGAACAAGACCCAGCCAAGTCCAAGGAATATTTAGAAGACTTTCATATCTGCCCAGAAGACCGAAGACGGACATAAGTCTGCAGATAATGTTTGCCTTGGAGCTTCTAATTCCTCTTTGTGTTTTGCCATTCTGCTTAACCATTACTTTGCTTAATGATTGCTCTACTGGCATCTCTGGACAGGGGCGAGAGAAAAAACTAAAAATGCAAAGATTCACTTTGGATACTTTATTTTTTAAGAGTTTTGAGTGAAGGAAAATCAAGACCATAATTACGGCTGGGAGGGTTTCTTTGATTTCTTTGGTCTTTTAATTAACCAAGTTATTGTGCTCTGTCTTAGCTTAATATGGATAATTGGAACTCAACTTTACCTTGCAAGGAAGATATTTGGGGCTAGATTAGAAAAGGGGACAATTCTTTTAGATAATTATAAGGTAAGCTAACACTATTTTTTCAAGAATCCTAGCCTTAGGGGTAGCTGCCCCAAACAAATTTAACTGGTTGTTGGTTTGTTTTTAGATAAAAATGTGGCTATCTGTGATCTATTCTAAAATCTTTTGAAGGTACAGGAGGATTCTCAATAAATTCACTTTCTATTTATGTCCAGAATATCTCAAGTACTACTAATGAGGTCACCAGATCACTTAAATCATGATTTTCTGTTTTGAAAAAAAAAAAAAAGAAAGAAAAAAAAAAGTAATATTTCAGTAATCTAATCTTTAGTATAAAATAAGAGAAACCAAAGTGAGTTTAAAAGAGAATTTTTTATTTCATTCCAAAATATTAATGTTTAAAATGCTCAGTTTTTCTTGGAGAAAGAAATTTTTTTGCCTTTGCTGCCACCTCATGGCTAAGGTAGTAATTAGAATGATACTTAAGGGGCTTATAAAAATATATACTAGAAAAAAAAAGTAAAAAATGAGAAATCACACTAAATATGAGCTTTGTTTTACTCATATAGTAACTTCCTCTCTTTTGTTCTGTAATCTAAATTTAAGCCGTATCTTTGACTCCCAATTTTATTCTAGTAGGAATATATCATGGTTTTTTTGTTGGCTTTCTCACCTTTCTTAATAGCTTTTGAACTAGATAATCCTATGATATCACTGTTCTTCTTTAATGTGCAATAATATTCCCACCATAGGCACCATGTTTATACCAAAGCTCTGCTGCCCAGCAGCTGTTAGGCTGCAGCAAATTACTTAACTTCCCCATGTCTCAGTTTCCTCAGACATGAAATAGAAATAATGACATCTCCCTATTTCCTAGGGTTGATGTGGAAATTAATTAAGATGATATATTTAAATGTCTTGTTGACCCTAGTAACCACTCACTATCACATATGTCATATTTTCAATAAATCTAGTGTTAGGAACTCAGTGGATATGGGGTTAGATATACATTGATTGGTAGATCAACTAGGTGTTGTTTTTTTTTTTATTTTTTATTTATTTGACAGAGAGACACAGCAAGAGAGGGAACACAAGCAGGGAGAGTGAGAGAGGGAGAAACAGGCTCCCCACCAAACAGGGAGCCTGATGTGGGTCTCCATCCCAGGACCCTGGGATTGTGACCTAAGCCGAAGACAGATACATAACAACTGAGCCACACGGGCGTCCCAGATCAATTAGTTTTATAGATTTAAATTTAACTTGAAAAAAGCAAAAATTCTAAAAGTGTTTATGTTCAGTTTTAACCTAATATAAATCTCCAGTATTGCTCTCTACCTATCCAAATGGAATTCATCAAACTCACTCGGATGTCTAATTAAATCATTAAGAGCCATAGATGAAGAGCTTCAACTTGTCAACTAGAGATGACCTTCAGACATTAGTTTTCCAAAAGAAATGTGTCCTTTTCTTTCTTAACTAGCTCCATTTGTTTTATTTCCTCTGGCAGGAATGCAAATCATTGCACGGAGAATATGTTGGACGAGCTTGTGGCCACGATCACCCATATGTACCAGATGTTCTGTTTTGGTCAGTGATCCTGTTCTTTTCCACAGTTACTCTGTCAGCCACCCTGAAGCAGTTCAAGACTAGCCGCTATTTTCCAACCAAGGTACTTAGACTAGAATTTTCCTGATCCAAACATAAACACACATAAAGCATGTTATAGAGTCCTATGTGTGTTAAGACAAAAGAAACTGCAATTGCTGCCATCAGAAGAGCCACTAAAAGGCTGTGTGTGTGTGTGTGTGTGTGTGAAGGAGCTGCCGGCTTAGGAGTGAGGTGCGGTGGGGAGAGGTGAAGAGAGAGCATTTTGTGATACAGGTGCTAGGACAGCACGTGCCCTCTAGGCTTTTACGCTAACTTCAGATCCCTGCGAAAAACTCCCACTCTCCCACTTACACTTTGGGAAATCAGAAGCACACACTGCATGACTGACTGTCACTTTCTTGCCCAGTGAACAGTGGGAACTATTCCAGCCTGACAGATACCTCATAGGAGCCACTGTTACATTCTCTAATTGGGAAAGCCCCTGCAAGACTCATTGGAACACTATTCTCTTTTTCATTTTTAAAGTGTCAGTCCCTCCCCCTAACCCACCACGTTTGCATCTGCATATTTGGAGAGGAAAGTAAACAGAGAAACAGCTTAGTTCAATATTTAACACTGCAAAGTAACACCTATAATGTCTTACTCAGCCAAAAAAAAAAAAGAAAAGAAACAAGAAAACAAGCTTTTTAGGGATGAGCTAAAGATTATGATCAAAATTCTACTCTAAGAAAATGTTGTAAGAACTGTTTCTTCCAGAGAAAACTTCTGTTTTTGTCACCTCTCCCTTCCCTAAGGTGAAAGATTAGTTCCTTCCCCCGCAAAGCTCAATTTGTTTGATACAATTTTTTTTTTTTTTGGTAAGTTGAAACAATAATCTCCTGCATTTTGTGTGGGTGTATGTGTCATAAAGTCATCCTAATAGAAGCCATACTTTGTTGATGATCGTAATAAGGATTTTTTTCTTGAAGTTGGCTTTATAAATGGAAAATGGCTTTAAAAACTGGCATACACTTTTTAAAATTTTTTAAATTTTTATTAACGTATAATGTATTATTAGCACTAGGAGTACAGGTCTATGAATCGTCAGGCTTACACACTTCACAGCACTCACCATAGCACATACCCTCCCCAATGTGGCACACACTTATCTTGATGAGCACTGAGTAATACACGGAATTGCTGAATCACTATATTGTATGCCTGAAACTAATATAACACTATATGTTAACTACACTGGAATTAAAATTTGTAAAAAAAGGAAAAAATACCTGGCTTACACAGAATAACTTTTAAATTGTCCCACTCTGTTGTACACAGTCTCTGCTGCCATACTCAACTTCCCAGATAAACTAGCCGAAATATTATGCTTCTTCACTATAAATAGATACTTTTATTGTGCTTTAGGTTTATCATATTAAAATGTTACCTGCGGAAGAAAGAATCCTAAAATTCAGGCAGATTCTGGCCATGCGATCTTATTCTGTGTTGTAAACACTCACACACTTGAGCTCGTAGTAAACTTACATTTTAAATACTGAAAATAGCTCAGTCACCATTGTAGCTATTATATACTGCCTCATTCCAGAAAGGTTAAGTGCATATCCATCTTAGTAACAGAATACATAAATATATATTCAGGGTCTGACAGAGCTAATGGTAATATTATAGTAAGTATAAAATATAATATTAAGATATTATGTCATAAAGTGACTATAAATTGTGATTCTGGATTATGCTTTTAAGTATTTCTTACTATTTATAGTTCTTTAAGTGACAAGTGTTTTCATTATTTTTAGGTTCGATCCATAGTGAGTGACTTTGCTGTCTTTCTTACAATTCTGTGTATGGTTTTAATTGATTATGCCATTGGGATCCCGTCTCCAAAACTACAAGTACCAAGTGTTTTCAAGGTGAAGTTATAGCATGTATAATCTATTTCACCATCTCTAGGTCTAATCTTCATTTAGATGATGGCTATAATCCTAGTACTTGAGGTTTTCATGAAAATACAAGGAATATAGATTGATGGAACATTCAGTAAAATGTCCACATGACTAAAATTTTGGTCTTACATTAAAAAGGAAAAAAATAAAAATGGAATCTAGATGCCACTTGAAAAAAATTTCTGTCAATTTTTCCAGTAGGAATATCCATATACAACACTGAAAGATAAGGAAGATAAGGAAAGATAAGGAAACATTTTGAAACTTAAGGAAAATGCATTATCTTGATGCAAAATTGCACAGCGGATGAGGCTTTGAAAAAGAGATAAAATTAGGTCTGGAATAGTATTCTGACCATGTTACTAAGTATGTAACCTTGGGTCGGTTACTTAACCTCTTTGAGCCTTGTTTTCTCACCTGTCAAAAAGGGCCAGGAGGTTCTCAAAGAATGTCAAAATGATTCCTCTGGGGCTCATCTCAGACATCAGCAATGTTTAGAACCATTCCCAGAGCTCCTGATATCACCAAGTGTCTTTTTGCCATTTTCCCATAATGGCCTGTGAACCCATCTAAAATAAGAGTTATACACAGTTGCCAATGTGCTGTTTATAAATGTAAATAAATTTGCCAACTGTAAATGGTAAATATTAATATTATTTTATGTACTATAGGTATTAATCGAGAACATAGATTTGGGGACCAATCTGTCAGAGTTTAAATTCTGTCTCCACCTCTTACTACCCTTGGGACCTTGCGCAATTTACTGGACCTCGATCTGCCTCAGTTTTATTATCTGCACCTTTCCTAGAGAGTTGTGAAGAAAAAAAAAATGAGTTAAAATATTTGAAGTACTCAGACTGGTGCCTTGTACCTTATAAATGGTTTGTAAATATGACTATTATTGTTAGATGTAGCTCACTTAGCATATCAATTTATAATTAGGGCTTTCCTGGTAGCATCTGTAGGATTTAATTTGATTAGGTATTCATTAATCCAGTTACTAATGATATACATCGTTTTATTTCTTGCAGCCTACCAGAGATGATCGTGGCTGGTTTGTTACACCTTTAGGTCCAAATCCATGGTGGACAGTAATAGCTGCTATAATCCCAGCTCTGCTTTGTACTATTCTTATATTTATGGACCAACAGATTACAGCTGTCATCATCAACAGAAAAGAGCATAAACTAAAGGTATATTTTAACATCTATTTTAATGTAAACCATTGTGCCCTAACTAACCAACATTGATTGATGTTTATTATACTTTACCTGTACTCTCTAGTTGTTTGTACAGGGAAACATTAAGATAATGTTTTCAGGTTTGTAATTTTTATTGTCCATAATCAAGATGTTTTGTCTCGCAATGAGCTTAAAATGAACTAATTTTTTACTTTTTAATTAATGTATTTATTGCACTTGACTGAGGCTAAACTCTGAAATCTTACCTCCAAGGCTTAAAATAATACACTTTGCTGAGGTTGTAACTTTCTTTACCATATTTTAAATATTTTAATGAAATAACAGTCTATTCTGGTGAAGGACAGCTTTACCAATTTGTCTTGCATATGTGATTCCTCTACTTCTCTATTTGACCCTAAGTATGCCTCTTAGATTACATTCATTATTGGAATAAATTACATCTTCAGGTATTTCTCATTTGGTGTAGTTATTCATCTGTCCATAATGTCTATGACAACAAAAACCAGCCATAGATGTTATAGTTTGTAAGTGATATCTTTGTTGAGTTTTATTGCAGATTTCAATGACCATTTTTATAAACTAAGAGAATGAATATGGATATATCTTACTTATTGGACTCTGACCCTGCCATTTTGCAATTGTGAATAATCAAAGTTGTTCACTGGTGTGCAATATTTCTGAGATATTCAGTGTGAGCATTATCACAGTAATATGTTAAATGAAATCCATGATATCAACTAATGGTCAAAAATAATCTAAATTAGGGACACCTGGGTGGACCAGGTCATGATCCCCGGGTCCTGGGATGAAGTTCCACTTTGGGAATCCCTGCTCAGCAGGGAGCCTGCTTCTCCCTCTGCCTGCCACTCTCCCTGCTTGTGCTCTCTCTCTGACAAATAAATAAATAAAATCTTTTAAAAATAATCCAAATCAAACCTTATAAATACAGAACATGCACAATTAATCAAATTGTTTTGTTCTGGTATCATGAGATAATTCCCAGCTATCTTCATATACTCTTCAAACTCTAGGAAAAGGCTCCTTGTCAGAGCAACAGAAATCATGCTTTATAGAATTTTATAAGTATGTTTGTCAGAAGGATCAATTCACTTTTGCTTTTGTTAAATAATTCTTAATTATGTAGAATTTAAGAAACAAAACAGATGAGTAAAGGGAAAGAGAGAAGGGGGTGTCTGGGTGGCTCAGTCGGTTAAGTGTCTGCCTTTGGCTCTAGTCACGATTTCAGGGTCCTGGGATGGAGTCCTGCACTGGGCTCCCTGCTCAGCAGGGAGCCTGCTTTTCTCTCTGCCTGCCATTCGCCTTGCACCTGCTTGTGCTCTCTCTCTCTCCCTGTCCAAAAAGAGAGAGAGAGAGAGAGAGAGAGTGTGCTAAACCAAGAGACATACTGTTCATTGTAGAGAACAAACTGATGGTTACCAGAGGAGAGGTGGGTGGGGGTTGGGTGAAATAGGTGATGGGGATTAAGGAGGGCACTTCTTGCGATGAGCACAGGGTGTCGTATGGGAGTGTGGAATCACTAAATTGTATACCTGCAACTAATGTGACACCGTATGTTAACAAACTGAGATTTAATAAAAACTTTTTTTTAAAAAGGTAGTTTTAAAAAAATATCTTAAAAAGTCATAGTAAGTAGATAAGTGGTGTACTAGTATATGGTTAACAACCAGTTCTCTGCATTTAAAGGAGAGGGACCCTGATTTATAATTTATAATGTTTGCTGATTTTCATGGTGTGAATACTCCCACCATGGCCCATTTCAAGTTACCAATGTGATATCAATTGGCAGGAAGAAAATTTTGAAAAAATTTTGAAAAGTAAATAATTGGTTCTTATAAGCCTATGTGAGCTGAATTTAAAACTACCCCATTTAATATTGGAAACTTAGAGTGATGTACAGCCCTCAAAACAAGAAATTCAGATTCCCAAGTTTAATAGCCTACTTATTTAATAACAATTATTTAAAAATATTCACAGCCTTTCCAAAGTTCTAAATCAACAAATATGCCATATTTCTCCCTTTACATATCATGTAGAAGAGCTAAAATACCATAAAACATCTGAAAGTGTTCTTTTCAAGTACGTGCATTTGTAGAATTAAATGTAGCATTAAAGCATTTAATATTTTTGTCACTGAAATAAACTTGAGTCTGTATAACTAAAATATATTACATGATTTGTAATTAATTTTTTATTATACAAATAAATGTGCAATCAAAAGATTTATATTTTATCCCTTAATAGGCTGGATTTAGTAAACAATAGAGCAAGTGATTTAATCATTAGTTCTGCTATATTGCCATGAGTAGAATTAATCTTTTTTTTTAAAGATTTTTATTTATTTATTTGACAGAGAGAGAGATTACAAGTAGGCAGAGAGGCAGGCAGAGAGAGAGGAGGAAGCAGGCTCCCTGTTGAGCAGAGAGCTCGATTCGGGGCTCCATCCCAGGACCCTGAGATCATGACCTGAGCCAAAGGCAGAGGCTTTAACCCACTGAGCCACCCAGGTGCCCCAGAATTAATCTTTTTAAAAAAGGTATATTTATTTATTTGAGGGATTGAGGATGGAGGGGCAGAGGGAAAGGGAGAGAGAGTTTTAAGCAGACTCCCCATTGAGCCTGACTGGGACAGGGGGTCGGGGGGCCTTGATCTTATGACTCTGAGATCACGACCCGAGCCAAAACCAAAAGTCAGACGCTCAATCAACTGTGCCACCCAGGTGCCCCCAAAATTAATCTTTCCTTGGTCACTGTAAATCTGAACCCTCCATCCTCCTCCTTAGATGTGGATATTGGCAAAGCAAATTCTTTCCAGTGAAGACATATTTTATCTACACCAAACACTTTTTAAATTTTTTTGCCTATAACCATTGTCCTCTATAAGCTTCAGTATAGTGCATTCTGCTGCTGCTGTTTTTCCTGCTAACAACAACAAAAGATCACCTTCTCAGAACAGTATTGACTCAGAGTAACGGTTTGTTCCATAGCTGCTCTCCCCACCTGTTGCTTCGCTGAAATGTTTGCACAGTCCCCTGGCTTTGACTTGAACCACATTGTCAGGAAAAGATACGTGTTTTTTGAGTATATCCCCAGACCACAAGTTAACCACATTTTCAGCTTTTTTTTTTTTTTAATCACTTGAAAACCCATTTTTGCCTTGGTTGGATCATGCCTTGAAATAGTTCAATGAATTGTGTTTTCTGGTATCTGTAGATGACCCTACATCATGTATCTTAGTCTGTATCGTACATCCAAGTCACCTTGGAATTCATCATTTTGATGTCTTCCAAACTTACATTTTCCTCTTTTCTTTACTTCTATTACCAAAGCAGTACTTGTTTTCCTGTAGAGCATTTTTTCATGCCATTAAAAATGTTTTTTTTTTTTAAATCATCTGAGAGTGTTACTACATGCACAGTAAAGCTGTATTGAGCTGAAGAAGTTGGCCCAACTCGCCAAGTGACTTTCTCCTCCCTCAGAATGAAGAAGCTCAAATTAGCAAAACTCCAGTTCACGGCACCTCATGATCTTTTGGGTCATTCAAGAGTGAAAGAAGCTGTAAATATAAAAATTTGAGAAAGCAAGTTATTATCTATATTGTATATAGGTATAGACCTGTACTCTAGCATTTTTTGTTTTCTTATCTCAAAAAGTGTGATAGGCATAGGTTACTTGACTCCCTTTGAAAAGCATTAGAAATCACTGCTTTCAAAAAAAAAAAAAGCACATTCTCTAAAACTAGAAAGAAAGATATTATCTTACAGAAAAGAAAGTTTCTGTTAAGCTGCAACTGTGGGCTTTTCTACATGTTTCTGTAGACAGTTCAGGCTTCTTTTGACATCATTTTTAATAAACAGCAATACAATCTCAGATCACTTGAGTAAATGAATGCATTTGCCACATTCATTTGGCACCACAGTCTCTTGATGATTATGGCATTTGATATGTTCTTTTTTGCCCTCTTTGTCAGCCTGGCTCTTCATGTCAATCTATAGTCTTTTATGTGGTTAACTTGACAGATGCAGGAAGTTGCTGCCAAGCTTTGAAATGAATTTTTTCAGCAGTGGCATCTGGGTATCAGATGGTCCTCTTGGCTGGCCTCTTGTCTTGCTGCATGTTGGTTTTAGTGGGGTCTGGTGTAGCATCACCTGTTGCTATGCTCCCTTTTCCTCCCATATGTCCATTTCCTGTGATTCATGGATGAAAGTGAGAATAAAAGCTCTGATTCTGTCTTTATTTCAGAAAAAAAATCTACAGAAATAGGTTAGAAGGTGCAGAGTTCTCTCTCTGACAGAGGGATACTTCCCCTTGGCTCTCATGCCTATCAGCTAATAATCTGGGTACAAACACCAAATTTTAAGATAGTTAATGAAAGGCAAGAAGGATGATGATGAATAATTAGTGGAAGTGCCAGAACTGCTTTATTTCCTTTGATTCACATTAAATTAAGATGCTCCCATTGCTGTACAACATAATCAGGGGGAAATTGTGTTTTTGTTTTTATTAGATGCGTGTATTGTACAAAGCTAGCTTTCTAAATTTAAAAATGAAATTATTTGCTCGGAAACCATTATTTTGTCTGCTTCCTGCAATCCAGAAGCTCACTGTTTATATTTGTATTGTCTTTTTAAAACATTAGGGAAGAGCCATAGGAAATCACTATCATGAAGAAGGCCTTCCTTCTATTATTAAGTCCTAGTGAGCATGGACCCTGGGAAAGTCCAGGGTGTGCTAAAAGGACAAGCCAGACCCTCCAAGCCCCTGTCCTCTGCCTTCCCCTGAAGTTTATCACATGGCTGTTAGCTAGCCTTCCATTCTTTCTTAGCAATACCATAACTTTGCAAAACAGCCCAGGGGGCACCATTCACATCACCGGTTAAGACAGCTCCTTTAAAGGGACCAAAATTTGTGTTCTATTCAATGCAGCCACACCTTCCAAATTGTTTATTTGAGAGGACTAGAAGACCGCAGTGTGGCCCTCGTGAAGCTTCTTCTTAAGCCATTTTGCTGGCTTTCGCTTCCCACTCTCCAGCTCTTAGTAATAAAAATCTTTGCCGAGTTACTTGCAAAAAGGAGTTTCTAGAGTCCTATTGACAAGGGAATTTGCAGTTAGTCATGCTGGCGAAGCCAGCCCAAGGAAGGCCACTACTGAATTGGTGACAACACAGGAGGAAAAGGTCCTTTTGTGGATATCTGCTATTTTGTCCTCGTTGTCTCCTGTGCTTTTGTAATTTGGCAGGGGTAAGCAGAAAGGACAGGAAGTATGCTGACTTTAGAGTGTTTTTCTTAATCAAACAATTAACGAAACAAAATAGCAGAAAGAAAACACTACCATGACAAATATGCGACAAATGCTCAGGATGTTTCACATTCTAGGCTATAGGAGCTTCATAGTAACTAGGAAGTTCTTGGAGTTTGATAAAACTGCCTGTTAAAAAAAAAAATCAGAATTATTATTCCTCTAGAAGGATTGGTAATTTCTGCTCATATTCATAATAACAAATGTAATGGCTATATTTATTTTAAATTATACTTATTAAATCTGATTCTGAAAGGTGTTTTAATGAAGCATATTCCCCTCTAAAAAAGCCAATCTGTAACTTATTGATTGCTTATTGTGTGCCAATGATTGTGTTAAAAACTATTGGAAATACTGAGAAATTATATGATACGTTACCTGCCCTTAAGAAATACATCTTTTTATTGAGGAATCTTGAGACAAATGAGTACAAATAAAAATTTATTGTTCAATTGCCAGAATATAATAGTCCCTAACATTTACGGAGTGCTTGGTATATATCAGACATTGTTCTGAGTAATTTTCAAAATTAAATTATTTAATTCTCACAACAACCCAGTGAAGTGACACCTGTTATCACCATCGTCCTTTTTCAGGTAGGGAAACAGAGGCACAAGAGGTCACATGATTTGCTCAAGGTCATTGGATGAGCTAGCATTTGATCCCAGGCCACCTATCTCCAGACCCAGGCCATCTATCTCCAGAACTTAAGCCCTTAACCACTGTGTTATATACTACCTCTTATGAAGTCAGTCGTTAAGAGTTGGAATGTAAAATAGGCCAAGCCATTTGCTACCCTGGAGGCTTTCCACTGACGATTTCCTATGGGGGGGTGGGATGGTGAAGGGAGAGGCATGCACTGTTTGTCCTTCAGCTTCTTTCCTGGGAGCCCTCGGCCACTCACCATGTCTCCCTTCCTTGCATCTCCACTCCACATGCCCTCTGCACCTGTTTTTTCTCAATTATGTTTCTTGCCTGGTCCTAGAAAGCACTGAAGTCAGTGATAGTGGAGTAGGATCACAGAGAGACAGAAAACACAAAAACTTTCATTTTAGGGAGAGGCCAAATTTTTCTAGTGTTGAAACTGAAACAAATGAGAATGAGATAGAGAGAAAGAGCTGTATCAGGATAAAAACAGGTGTATATAAGGATTCCATGGTATATGGTGTATAGAGTCCATGGTATTATTTTTCCCAGTAAGAGACTGAGACACCCACCCATTGACACAAAAGAGGGCAATTGGAAACACCGTGTTTGAGAAGAGTTTCTCTTTAGGAGGTCTGATATGAAGGGCTTCTTGAGTATTGTCAAAAAGTGGTTTCTGTTCACACTCAGACCATCTGAGTACTGTCGTGGATATGGTACTTACTTTGTTTTCTCTTTGTTTTCTCCCTGATGCCTGGTACATGGTGTTCGGTAATTTTTTGTATGAATAAAGGATGAATGAGTAGATATATGAATTGTAAGTTAACTTGCCCATTTAAGGAAACCAAGAAAAGTGACTGTATTTAATAATGACTTTAATTATCCAACAGAAATAGAATGGAAACTAATGTAATATTAACCCAGACGTACATTAAACCTATTAAAGTAGGTTGAAGTTACTACAATCATAATTGTAATAGGAACATCTGCAACTTTTCCTTAAGTGGATTATATATTTTCAGACTGTTACTTTTTTATCTTTAATTTATTTTGCATTTTAGAATCAGTTGTCTAAGACTCAAGATAGTATCTCTTTTCTATTCTTACTGTTCCATGGTGGTGGTGTCATTTGTCTCTATACTAAATTCAGTTCCTATGAGAATCCTCTTTTCTTTCTTTTAACAGAAAGGTTGTGGGTACCATCTGGATCTATTGATGGTGGCTGTCATGCTTGGGGTGTGCTCCATCATGGGCCTGCCGTGGTTTGTGGCTGCCACTGTCCTGTCCATCACTCATGTCAACAGCTTAAAACTGGAATCAGAATGTTCAGCTCCAGGAGAACAGCCCAAGTTTCTTGGCATTCGGGAGCAAAGGGTTACTGGGCTTATGATTTTTATTCTTATGGGTTCATCAGTCTTTATGACCAGTATTCTGAAGGTAATGAAATCTGCCTTTATGAAGTTAAGAGAAGGCAGAATATATTTATTATTGTTTAAGAAATTTCATTTGAATCAAAGCCATCAATTTGCAAATACTGTATGGCATGTGACAAAAGTGATGAATTTCTTTACCATGTTTATATAACTTCTTAACAGGGGAAGTTATGTGCTGTGTTTTGGAAACCTTAAATACCGAAGAAATTTGGCTTGGCAAAGTAAAATTTGATGTGTAAATTATTACTGTAATTTTGAAATAGTTACTAAGTTATGGGGAGAAGTCACTCATTATTTCTAACTCATTTGTGATCTGAATTCACTGCAGGCCCATATGAAATAAAGTCTCCATTTTCATGTCAGATGTATTTGCAATTAACATTACCTAGTATAAGACAGAGGTGCAGAGATGAGCCACGTAATAGTCATGGCCACATATGCAGTTTTGTATATTAAATGTTTCGTGAAACTACTGCATGGATATCACCATTGTATATCCTTACTTTCTTTACATTTAAAATAATTGAGTCCATTTTGAAGAGCATTAAAGAGTAATTATTTGTCATAGAATTTTGGCAGGTATTACCAAGGTATGTCAACTGTATTCTAAATTATAACTCATTTTAGTTGTCTATAATTTGAAAGTCCTAATGGAATGATTTAATCAGTTATATAAGTTAATTTAAATTTGATCATTTATGTAAGTACATTTTCAAGAATTTATTTCTATGTTATATAAGTACAGAGCTTCTATTATGCCAAACTATTCCAATAAAAAGAGAAAAACTGAACAGTCCACATGTTTGCAAATATCTTGTATACTATCAGAACATCTAGATGTTAGCTCCATTCTTCATCTTTAATCCAAATATCTTACCATTGTGAAACAAAATTCAAATTTCCCTAAAGTAGTATAATAGTAATAGTTAATATTTATTCTTTATTATGTATTTTATATGCCCTTTTATAGGTTTTGACCTATTGAATACGCATAACAACTGTATTATTACCATCCTTTTTTAGATACACATAAGAAAACTAAGGCACAAAGAGCTTAAGTAACTTACCTAAGGGTATGCAGCTGAAAAGTGCTAGAGCTAGGATTTGAACCTGGGACTTCTGGCTCTGCCTTATATTGCCTCTAAAACATTTATTTTTCTGTGTTTTTCTTTGATAAGTGAAAAATAACATGACCAGTTATTTGAAAATAACTTGTATCTTTTCTCCAATTGTTCTTTTACAGTTTATTCCCATGCCAGTGCTATATGGAGTGTTTCTTTATATGGGTGCTTCATCTCTAAAGGGAATTCAGGTAAATTGCTTGCAGTAAACCACGCACATCTGTGATGACCTATCTTAAGTCTATTGATGCTAAATCATGTGATAGCTAAGAAAATGACATCATCTGAGGAGCAGCTTTCACACCACAATTAAATTTCTTCACAATGGTTCATAATTTTAAGGTACTTTTGATTACCATAAGTTATATTAAACTGTATAAGGTTTAGACTGTATAGCCCTCTTGGAAAACTAATAATAGTACATTTCAAAAATATCCACATGCTTTTAATCTTTGATACTGTAATGGTGTGTATGGGACAGAAAAGAAGAACTGTATGCACAAAGATGTTCATTGTAACACATACTATCAAAATATTGGAAATAACCCAATTATCCATCAGCAGTAAAATAATTAAGTGGTCTATGTTACAGTCACTTAAGATTGGTAATTATGATGGCCATAAAAGGAACATGGTAAAAATGCTTATGGCTTAATGCAGAGCAAAAAAATAGGAAAACACGCTGTACCTACCATATAGGTTTATAAATCTGTGAGTGTGAATGAATCAAAAAGGAAGGTAGAGAAATAAAAGCAGTTTATTAAAGTAGTGAGATCCTGGGTGATTTTCTTCCTTTTATTTTTGTTGTTCTATTACTAGTATGATTATATTTACAGAATTCTTTTTTAAAATTAAATTAAAAATAAAGATATAAGGTAAGGCAATTTCAAGATATAAAGGGACGCTTATTACTTGTTTAGATAAGTATTAGTTAAATACAGTTGTATTAATTTTCTATTAGCAAATTATATGACAATTTATAACAAATTACAATTAACTTAGTGACTTTTAAACAATGAACATTTATTATTTCACAGTTCGTGTGGGTCATGAATTTGGGAACAGATTAGTTGGGTGGTTCTGGCTCAAGATGTCTCATGTAGTTGCTGTCAGGATGTGGGGCTACAGGCATCCGAAAGCTTGACTAGGACTGGAGGACCTATGTCCAAGATGGCTTATCACACAGCCCTGGGAAAAGGCATTGGTTCCTCTGTGGCTGTTGGTAGGAGGCCTCAGTTTTTTGCAAAATAGGCTCTCCATAGGACACTTAAGTGCTCTCATGACCAGGAAGCTGACTTCCATCAGAGTGAGCAATATGAGAAGAATGAAGGTGAAGTCACTGTGCCCTTTGACTTAGTCTCCAAAGTTACATATGGTCACTTCCATTTGTTTGTTTGTTTGTTAGAAGTGAGTCTTTATGTCCAGCTTGCACACATAGAGGGAAGTTAGACTCCATCTCTTGAAGAGAATATTACTGAAGAATTTGTGTACACATTTTTAAATGACCGCAATTGTATTCTAGTTCTTTGTGGAGGAAGTTGGCAAATTATTCATGCTCATGATACTACAGTGGTTTGAATAGTGTTTCCCCAGTCACGTCCACCTGCAATCTCAGGATGTGACATTATTTGGAAAAAGGGCTTTCGAGGATGGATTAGTTATGAGTCTCAATATGAGCTCATCATCCAACATTTGAGGTGAACCCTAAATCCAATGACAAGGATCCTTATAAGAAGAGAAGAGTGAGGGAAGGAAGCCACATGAAGAAAGGGAGATTTCTACTTAAATTTGCCTTGGAAAAATCTTGTCTTATGACTTAACATCATTGATCTAAAACACTTAAGTTTTCTTCAAAGGAGACTAATTTTGAGGGTTATTTATTGTAAAGTATAGTTTATTTTTGTTGACCAAAAGGAAAACATAAGCTGATGCTTTTTCTAAGACACAGCTAGTCTCATTGCTGTTCAAAGATGTGAAAGAAAAGTCACCCGACTACTATGAATTTGTCAAATTAACACATGTGAAGTGGAGCACAGGGCGCTGGATGGCAAGCTGTGGTACAAAGATAGACTAGAAGAGAAATTGAAATAGGTAATTTATTACTCACTGGTCCTGGAGGAAGTACCTGGTACACCTTAAGGGTCTGTAATGGGAAAAAATCAAGAGAAAGAATCAAGACCTGTGGCACATGACTTTATTAAGATTTGTGGGTGGAGTGCTTTGGGGTTATTGGTCTAAGTCTGATTGATCAATTCAAATAAAAAGCAGGGTTTTGGTAAGCCCCAGGGGTGGTCTTACCTAAGGAGCACGTAAATGAAAGGCTCTGGGAGTTAGGGGAGACTGTTGACTGCAAGGACATTTGAGGGAGTCATCTCAGGAGCTTACATTTACTTGTGACTCTGCTGGCAGTTACCTAGGGCATGTGCCTGCATGAGGAGATAGTGTTGATCCAGGTGACTGCAGGGCTGCTTAGCCAAACAAGATGGGTTCCGAGGCAACAAAAGCATGGGGTCGCTTAGCTAAAGTCTTTACACTGAGGAACAGGCAGCACAGAAACTCTCTTCCTGAATGAACAACCAACGAGTTTCTGACTTTGGGAGAAGAAAAAGCACTTCAGCCTTAGGGAAGACTAGATGTCAGAACTGAGGCAAAATTTCAGTATGAAGTCATTGAAAGATCAGTGGACTCCCGAAATAGGTACTTTGACTGTTCTTCCTGACACTCGGGTAAAATTTACTTGGGAGAGGGAAATGGTTGAGAAGTGTGTTATGCATTTAAATTTTACTCTAATTAAATTTAATTTGCTCATTTATAATTTCATGTACGAAAAGTATATTTTGAAAGACTTGGTTTGGTAAGGCAGATAGAGAAGAGTACTGAAGAGGTTTTGTTTACTTGTTTTACTGTTTTTTGCCTTTGGCAAAAGTTCCACGAGTACTAATTTCATCTGTAAGTGAAAAGTATTTATTATTAGGCCCCAGGCTCCCATAAATACAGCAGCAGAAGTTTAAGAAACAAAGTAAAATCATTTTGATAGGTTTCAACAGATTTCTCCCCCTAATTCCACTCACATGATTTTATACCCATGAGGTTTAGAACTAAACAAGAATGTCAAGTTTTGGAATTATTTGGGGTGTGAATCTCTCAAATGAAAATTGAGGAAAACATTATTAAAGGCCTATGAGAAAAGTATAATGCATTTAAATAGCACAAATGAAACAGTAAGCAGGGTCTCACACTGAGACACAAGGTTAGTGAAAATTTAAGTGAGCCCCAAACTCAGGAAGTCTAAATTCCTAATTGGGATTTTGTGGCTAACTGTGTGGGGGAATGGAGTATTGTTGATATTAGGACAAGGTAAAAGCCAAGTGCAAAACTCGGGATACATATACCATGATCATCATTACTTGAGTAGTAATATGCATGTACTGAATCCCAACAGTTCAAGGAGCATGTTAATTAGTTACCTTCTATGTTGAAGGAACTTATATGCTACCTGATTGTTTGGCAATATTATGAAACATAGTATCTAGGTTTCTCACTGTGCAACATGGCAGAAAAAACAGATCACAGTGTTCTTATGAATGCCGTTTCTGTACTCAGATATATAACCACATCTATATTCATTCCAACACTTCAGGAATCCAAAGTAAAGCAAATGTGCCATTTAAACAATAACAATTGAAGCACCCACACACTGAAGTACACTTATGCAATAGCAGCTTCACAAATGGAGAAATGGTGGCTGGGAAAAATGAGTTCTATAGAAACTGAAACATGCAGCTGCAAGCCAGAGGATTTTACTTTATTTCTTCCCTATTCCCACCTCCACCAGTCACCGAATTTGGTTTGTTTAATGACATGTAACTTAAAGAGAAACTTAGGAGATAAAAATAAGAAGACCTAAAGAAATATTTGGAGGCAATATGGAGAAGGATGAACCAAGAAAAAGAAATTTAGCACTTGGTACTTGCATAGAAGTACATTTCAATAAATGATTTTGGAAGGCATTAATGAATATAAACATAAATTCATTAAGTACATGAATAGTGGATGAACTAAGCTACATATGATTCTGGTTTAGATGACTGAGGGAAGAAATATCAGCCAGGCTGTGCCATAAGTCAAGGAATACAGAAGAAAAGAGGGATTTATGTTAAATTTGAGGTTCCTATTATATTGTTAAATATATTAACAATATATTACGTATTATGTTACATCCTTTTTGTTATTTATTTTAATATTTTAATACTTAAATTTTAAATATTTGTATATATTTTAAATTTCTGTTTCATTTTATTATTAATTATATATTAACACCCTTTTTGCATATATATTTAAATATATATGTTTTGCTTTAAAAAAAAAGTTTTCAACCCTAACATTTAACTCCATAGATACTTGTCCCTTGGTTTATTAGAGTAATTCTGGAATATTTGATGAGAATTGCTTACAGTTTTTTTCATAATTTAGACAAGAAGTAAAATCAAATATCATTCTTTTGAAGATGCATAATAGATATTACTGTAGGAATGGCATGAAATAGAACTGACAGTGCTTGAAACCATCATTTATAAATAATCACTTCTTGTTGGAAACATTGGAAACTATTAAAATCAGCCTGAGAAAAATTAAACAAAATGGTCCACATAAAATAAAACTAACATGTAGCAGCACAATTTGTTAGTGAGTAAAATGTGACTGAAGGTTTAAGGTTCTTGTGAAAATTTAATCTATAAAGTTTGAATCGAGAAAATTTGCTTTGGTAGACAAAACTCAAAATCGAAAGTATAACAATAATATCTTTATAGTCCAAAAATAATTGTACTGTCTTCATGGTAAAATTTAAAACAGAAGTAACTGTTCCAGATGAAAATAATTTAAATAAAATACAATTGAAAAATTGTAAATGGCTCGACAGTGCACTAGAAGAAACTGAACTAGAAATCAGTTAACAAAGTTTGCTCTGGAAAATAATTAACAGTAATTCATCTAGGTTAGATCTTTGTGGCTAAGGCTGTTTGTAGAGACAGCCTCAAAACCCCGTTGGGGGTCAGTGTGGTGAGGCCAAAACAGCAGAGTCAACACATCCCACTTAACAGCAGGATGTGGGTGGAGAGCTCTGGCAAGAGAGAGAGAGAGAGAGAGTGCGCGAGTGCATGTTGAAGTAGAGACCCAAGTCTGGGAGTCTCTAACAAGCATGTAAAAGTTAAAGCCATGAGAATGGATGAGCTCTTTCAGGCAAGAAGAGGACAGAGATTGGACCCTAGTGCTAAGTGGGCAAATAAAAGGTAGAGCTTTGTGATGTGATAATGAAAAAGAGGATGATGATTACATTTTGTCTTTCAAGGTTACACTCTCCCAGGTAGCAATGTTTATCACTGGCTTTAATATTTTTAAACTCTTCTAAGTTATAGCCTGTCTCCATATTCAATAAATATAGGAAATTATGAAACTGAAATTGTGCATTTCAGAGTGTATGCATAACAATCCTATTGTCCTGATGCCCAGATGTCAGCTTAAGTGTGGTCTCGATATATGATATTTTGGACCATATTAAACATCTACTTGTCTTTTATTGCCTGTAAAAAGCAATTTAGTCTGTTTATCTTTTAGTTCTTTGATAGAATAAAGCTCTTCTGGATGCCTGCAAAACACCAGCCAGATTTCATATATCTAAGGCATGTACCACTTCGAAAAGTCCATCTCTTCACAGTGATTCAGATGAGCTGCCTTGGCCTTTTGTGGATAATAAAAGTTTCAAGAGCTGCTATTGTCTTTCCCATGATGGTATGAAACTTCTAAGTCAACTTTTTTTCTCCTCCTGACTTTCTGTTCTCTTTGGAAACACATATAACTGAAATTGGAACAGTAGAGTCATTTTGAACAATTATGGGAAACCATGATGTAAACTTTAGCTGCTAAAGCTAGTGACTAAGATAGGATTTGAGATTATATATGAATTTCAGTGATGCATATTAGTTTTGTCTCTATCATTCTAAATATTCGTGGTGGTTTGAATTAACTGAAGTTGTGTAGAAGAATGTAAATTTTCAAAATGTAACATTAAAGATATACTAGCAAATCCGAAAAACTAGGGGGATTTTCTAAAATTAAATTTTATTAGATATTTCAGATAAATTTCAAATACTTCCAGAAGTATAGCAAATTTGAATGACTATAAATTAAAATACTATCAGCATAGATACAAATAGTTTAATGTTCATCTAAAATAATGCAAACTATTAGCTACATCTATTGAAGAAACAGTCAAATATATTTTGTAGGTTTTTCTTTTTTTCTGAGACAGTTTCTTTAAATGACTCCTTTACTGCATAAAATGAGAGCTATTATTCTGGGGATGTGGTAAGGAAAGGAAATGAAGGATGCAAAGATACAATGTTTATTATACACACATGTCTTCAAATGTCACTTTGATCTCAGTCTTAATTGAAATTGACTTGTTCCCCCCCACCAAAAAAAAGCAACAAAGCTACCTCTCACCTCTCCCATTTTTATTTTTTCCCTGTTATAAATTATTTTATTTTTTTGCTTTAGGTGTTAGCTCTGGTATTTGTAAGAAAACTGATGGACTTTTTGTTTACGAAACGGGAACTCAGCTGGTTGGATGATTTAATGCCTGAGAGTAAGAAAAAGAAACTAGAAGATGCTGAAAAAGAAGTAAGTCAGAGCAAAATCAGTATCTTACAAAGAGAAGCAAATGGAACACTCGCATAGTAACCACTCCTTGCAAAACCAAATCATTGTGTTTATCTTTAGATAGTTAGTGGTTACTAACAACCACAGGTGGACTATTAATGTTTGGAAGATTAATGCTTAAAATCATAAAGTTGAAACTTGAACACAGAGAGAACACAGGTCTTATATGAGAAAACCAAACCCTTGTGAAATATGCAAACACTTTGTACTTCATTATCCAAATTATGAGGTTTACTTTTCTGTTCCCTCCCTTGTGGATAGCAGAACCTTATTGATGCTTACCTATTTCCAAGTTATGGTCCCGCAATGGTTGCTTTTTGATTGAATATGTGAGAAGGAAGGAAAGAGACAGTATTCTTGTTGGTATTTTTTAGGGAACAAACTTTTAATGGCAAGATTCTAATTCTAATCAAAAGATTAAATTAGGGCACCTGGTTGGCTCAGTGGGTTAAGCCTCTGCCTTTGGCTCAGGTCATGATCTCAGGGTCCTGGGATCGAGTCCTGCATCAGGCTCTCTGCTCAGCAGAGAGCCTGCTTCCCCCCACCCTCTGCCTGCCTCTCTGCCTACTTGTGATTTCTCTCTCTGTGTGTCAAATAAATAAATAAAATCTTTAAAAAAAGATAAAATTAGTTATTTTTGAAATAGATGAAATGGTTATGATCTGATCTGCTTTAAGATTGAGTAAATGTAGTTTGAGAAAACTTGGGGATTTAATTACTTCCGTGAATTCCTGATCTATCCTATTCTGTTTCATGCATTAAGATGATTTGTTTTAACTTTTATGGCATATTTAAAGATCATGTGTAAGTCTAGGTCTCCTTTAAAGGCTATTAACCATAATATTTTTAAGAAGTGCTTAAAAGTTTCTATAAAAACTATGAAGAGTCTAACTGAAAAAAAAAAAAAAAGACCTGTATACTGTTTACTGAAACAATTGAGTCCATAGGTTGTAAAATACAAGAACAACATTTCCATGTGAATAGAAATGAAGATGAAAGAAAATATTTGGTGAGAATTCTTTCTACTTTTCCTTCATCTACAAGGTGGTCTGTATATATGCTGTTTCCTGTCTATAGCACAGTTTCTCAAACTGTGGATATATTCCTCTCTCCTTTGGGGAATTTGTTTGCAAACACTTCAGTGGTTCTAGCTTTTACTCAGTCATTAGGTAAAGTCAGGTTAGGCCACAAAGTCTAATGAAATTTCTCCTCAGATGTTTTTACAAATATGGCTATCTAATATGTGACTGGCTGACATTCTTTTACTTTTCCATGGTGACCCATCACTGACAAAGGATTCCCACGTTAGAGATGATCATGATAATGTATTTTATATATACATGTATACATCATGATGATGTATTGATCATAATGCTGTATCTTAATTTTGCACAATTATTTCAATTTTCCAAAATAATGAAGAAATAATTAGAAACATATTTTTAGTAATATTATTACAATATTAAAAATGTGATATCATAAAAATATCATTATTACTTTATTTTTCTGTTTGACATGCTTAAGTATGAGATATTTTTAAAAATATTTAAAAATAAAATTTTAAAAATATTTTATATTAATATAAATGTAAATATTTATATTTAAAATATTTTTAGTAAATATTTTTAAAATTTTTAAAAATAATATTTTAAAAAATACTTTAACTAGGGTATTTCTTTTTAGGGCTTTAGTAAAGGTTTTATCTCCTCCTCTGATACCATTCAAGAAGAATAGGACAGAATTTGGCATAAATTAAATGTAAATAAGATGGACAGTGGAATAAAAATTCTGCAGGTTTAAGTTATCCATACTTGATGTAATTAAAATTATGCAGGTTAAGATAATCCTCAAGAAAGTTGAAATTCCAAAGAAGACAATTTTGAATATAAAACTCATTGACCATGTCCCTTCAGTCTTTCTGATAATGAGAATACTGTAAGTGTACTAAGGCAGTAACTTATAAATATAATCTTGCTTTATTTTCATGCTTTGATTCCCTGTTTAAATGTCTCTACTACTTCCCTAGAATAAGTTAGCAAGAGCCCCAGCTGTATAATCGTCCCTTTCACAGCATTCTCCTTAGGTCATATCCATACCATGGAACATTCTTTCCCTTCCAGAATTTTGTAAAATGAAAAATGGTGTGTATATATAACATACTATGTTTAATATTCTTCCCTTTTAAGGAAAATTTTAGATTCTCCCTTTATATGTCTATGAAATATGGGAGAACAAATTTGATAGTAATCATAAATTTATTCACATCTCTCATTTCCATTGCCCAGAAGCACTCCTGAAGCTGTGTATGTATGGTACATGTGTGTGTCCCAGTTGTTCCATTTTGAAATTTATTAATCTCAGATAGGCAGAGACCCTATTCAATAAGCTTCTAACTTTTTTACGTCATAGATCCACTGTACTCCAATGGGTGTTTACTGTTTTTTGATTATGAAGATATATATTTTAGAAGTAATCAAATACTACTAAATTTCCTAGAATTCATGTTTTCCTAAAGGATGCAAGCATAGATTAAAAATTTATTCAGGCAAATTTACCACCGTGTTCTTCAAAGTTGAGTCTAAGAAAAAGTGGGGGGAAATCCCTTGCAATACCTCAATCAGGCAGCTTTAAAATCTGTGATAGATTAACGTGATGACGCTTGCGTGTGAATCCCAGCACGTGGAAAGAAACAAGATAATCAATAATAAAATGTGGACACAATTCATTATTGAACATTTAAATATAGTTCTGCAAAGAAAGTGCAAAGAAAGATAATTCTCCATCTGACAACTGGAGAAAGAAAAAGTTTAAAGATGTTCACTTTCTAACTTGGAATTGTTACTAAAAGCGCATGATCAGTATAGCGAATGGGATGATTTAAGAAAGATTGCACTAGATCTTAAATCCTTGTTGGTTTTTTATTTGGTCACCCAGATCTCAGTATTGCATTATCTTGAGGCTCTGGACTCCACTGATGGATGTGATCTTGTGACTGTAGCGTCTTATATGAAGGCCCAGTCTTCTACGAAATTGTGCATTCAGGTGGTAAATGGACAAGTTCTCCAGAAATGCTGCATTTCTGCAGTTGCTCAGATTAATTGAGAAACTTTGATTGTGATCTGGAAAGACGGTAAATAGCAGAAAATGTTCAGCTCCCTGAGACTCGAATTTAAAGTAGGCTCACCTCTTGTCCTTTTGATGATAGTTACAAGCTTGTACCTTCATCCTCCAGGGTTTTCTTATCAGTAGCCCACTTCTGGTCTTATGGCATTGAGAAAACATTAGTTTGACCTTAAAATTCAATAATGAGTTAAGCAGAATAAATAGCTACACAGGCCAGTCCAAGGTCGCAGAGCTTCTGTTCCAAATTTTCATGTACTTCATGCATATGCATATGCATATGCTTCAGTTTTTAGAAAGAAAGGATTATAATCAGGATAGAAATGAATATTGGAACCCTGACATTTTGCACATTGCTCTGTGTAAAGGGAAGACTGCAGAATCAAATTCTGGATGTCCAAATGTGCTCAGAGTACCAACATGCTTTCCTTCCTACTTAAATATTCTCTAGGACATTGTACACATTTGACAAAAGGGCTGCTGTTAAAAGCAGAAAGCCCCAGCAGAATGTTTGCTCCTGGGTGGGTGGGGGTAGAAGGCAGTTAATGTTAGATAAATCCTGGAAATTGAGCTCTGGACAGTGATCATGATATTGACACTTCTTGGTTTACGGAGGTTCACTCTAACATATATGCTATGGGAAAAAAACAAAAAGAAGCAAGAGAGACTCATGATCTGTATGAAGGCAAGAAGATGCAAAAGTAAACTAAGAATAAGTGCAATTAATGCAATTAAATTACAGAGCAGGTCTTACTGCTAAGAAAGATGAGAATTAGTTATGGATTGGGGAAGCATGGTCTAATTACTACACAGGCAAATGCTATTTCTAACTGAATCTTAGAGTAAGGCAAGCATAATATTCATCAAGCGGTGATTTTCAAAGTGTAGTTCTAGGACCTTTGCTGCATCAGCCAACACCTGGCAACTTGTTAGAAATGCAAATTCTTATACCACATTCCAGACCTATTGAATCAAAACTCTGTGGATAAACCTATCCACAAATCGGTGTTAACGAGACCTCCAAGTCCTTCTGACGCATGCTAAAATTTGAAATAAGACCTTTTCTAAAACCACAATATCTGTATCTCCAGAATATAATCTTCTAAATCCAAGCTACTCTATCAAAAGTTCTGTGTCTTATAATAATTTTGATAAGTCACTTGGAGATATCAAATCAAATGTTCTGATAAAAACATGCCACATCCAGTTATTTATTTGAATTCTATGTAGACTCCTCCTTCTCTCCATTTTTCCTTGTTTAGCTTTCATTGTTAAAGTGATTAGTTGTATGTACTGGTTCTTCTATCTACTGGAAATTTTAATACATCCCTCTTAGACACATCACATTTTATGGCTTCCAGAGTACTGTGTGAGTGCGGGGGGTGTGTTTAACATTTGCAGCGTTATCTTTTATACCAATAATCAAAAAAGAAAGTGGTCTGAGTTCTACGGACATTGTTTTCCTCTTGGATAAAATAAAGGGGTCAAACTTGATTGCTGACGTCCCTTTCATTTTTTAAGATTCATGAATTCTAAAATTGTTTAGTATTTTCTGTAATACCATGTTTGTGAACATTGGCTCTCTGCTGTTGTTCAGACTTTGAGCTATTTGAGGGTCCTACATAGATACAGATTTTACCTGAGAAGTGGGTATAGTAACAGATGCTACCTATTTCACTAAAGGTAGAGCATTTGTCATGATAGATGAATGATCTTTTATGCTATCACAAAATATAATTCAGATCTGTACTTCCTACTAATCAAAACACACCATAATTTTTTTAAAAGACCGCGTTTATTTACTTGAGAGCGTGAACATCCGTGTAAGAGAGAGCAGTGGGGGGAGGGGCAGCGGGAGAGGGAGAAGCAGACTCCCCACTGAGCAGGGAGCCCGACACAATGTAAGGACACAAGGCTCATCCCAGGACCCTGGGATCATGACCTGAGCTGGAAGACAGACACTTAGCTGGTTGAGCCAAGCAGGCGCCCCAAAACACACCACAATGTAACTCCAATTTTATTTTTCACTGAGCACAAGCCTTTGTCTCTAGCTGGGCTAGTTGTTATTGTCCTATTTGTTTCTACTTTTTATTCTTAGCCTACATTGTTTCTAGAGTTTCTTCCTGTCTTCTACCGAACTGATCAAATAAGACTGGTTCAGATACTACTTCCTCTCTTCCTGTATTTTGTGCAGTGATCCTTCTTGTCTATCCTCTGAGAGAATAGTGTATGTCTTTTCATTGCTATGTCACCAGTACCTGGTGTACTACTGTCATGTAGATTATGCTCAATACATATTTGATAAATGGATTCGTGAGTAGGCTCCTGGATGATTCACTCTGCGCCTAGCCCATAATGCGTGCTGAGTGTTTTGAGTGCCATTGATTTGATTTCTTTTTTTTTAAGCCTCAGTTTTCCTGCCTTTTACTAGATATAACATTAACTATCCTTCACTTATGTAGTATCTGAAAAATGCTTTGACTGTCTTAATTAAAAGATGGCATTCAAATCACAGCATGAGTAGTCTTCTAGTCAAATTGGTGAAACCCTTCAAATGTTCTTGGGTAAACTTGGATCATCATCCTTTAACATCTTCACCACATTGTAGAACTCAGTGTATTTTCGATGGACCCCGTGTAAATGAAGTGCTACATGGAACTCATTTTCAGGTCCTTCTGACTTATAAACTGATGGATACCCAGTTAGCTTTGTGCTCTCACTCTTTTTCCTGTATGATTGAGATAAACTAGGTTGTCATTGTCGTGACGGCCAATGCCTGATTTGACTGTTCCTCCCCAGAAAATCTCAGATTTTTGGCTTCCTCACAGTGCTGCCTGGGATGCAGCCGGCCCTCCATCCCTGAGCTCTGGGGCCCACCCAGCTTCCTTCTGGCACTGAAGGCAGCGGCTGCTCTGCCACCCTTCTCTTCAGATAAGCATGGCTTGGAAATGCTATCTTTAGAGGTGATGAGTTTTTGTTTGGATAGAATTATGACTAGTATAAAGCCCACACATGCTAACAAGCCACAGAGTGCAAAATAATTATTGAAAGCAATTTGAGAGAAAAGTGGAAAATCATCTGAGGAAAAAACAAAATTGTTCCCAAAGCTTTGGTCCAATTTTTTGCTGTTACATTGAATCTTGAGCCTTCGTTTTCTGCTGCCAGGTCACCTAAGCACTGATGGCAGTGTTCTTCTCTCTCTCTCACTCACTCTTTTTTTTTTTTTTTTAATTTTACTCTTTATTAAACCTTTTGACGTGCCTTCTTGACATTTTATTCCAAGTTGGTCAGAAATATACTATATACCATTCTTACCTTCCAGTGGACTACCAAGAAAAGCATTGCCTTTTGCTTATATCTTGGTTTTACCTAAATAACATTTGGGATCACTGAATATTTTCTCTTTATGTCCCTCCATGTGTATTAAGGTAATGTTTTCTGTAGAAAAAGTAAACTTTTTTACCTGAAAGAATACATATGCTCAGTCCATGGCCTCAATGTTGTGCTTTATAAATCAATATGACGTATGTATTATGTTCCATATATAGTGACTAGCCCATTTGCAGGGGATGCCTTATTCCAGGCTACAGCTCTGCTCAAATGCTAAAATGTGTAATTTCAAACCAATGATACTGTCTACTTATTTTGAATTAGTTTTAATAGTACTGCCAATGATAAGAGAAATAGTCTTAATATACATGAAATACATGTTAATAAAGTATATCATCTGATATCTATAATTACATGCATGTTTTTTGATGCTTTTATTTTATTTTATTTTATTTCATAAAAGGAAAAATATTCTTGAAGGACAACAGAGAAAAAGAAAAGGATTAGTTCCTATAATATAAAGTGGTAACTAACAGGTGCCATTCCTACCACAGCATATAAATGTGACAAAGTGTTTGTGTTTGACCAGGGCAGGAACTTACGAGAGAAGAGCAGCAGAGTCATGCAGTTCCCTGAACTTTCCATTATTACACAGCACAGTCTGGCCATAGATAACTGTAGGCAGCGTGGTTAAAGTCCCGGCAGAGGGAAGCCTGCCTTGGTCAGTAGGTTGGATGTGGACAGAGAGCACTCCAAGAGTGAAAATGAGACCTGCCCCCACATTACATTTTATATTCATATGTTAGCTAACAGTCTCTAGAAAACACTGTTTCTCTAAGTAACAAGAAATAAGGCAAGGACTCTTAGAGGCGGCATGCAAGTTAAGACCAAGGTCTGGATGGTGGTAGGAATGGCCTTTCCTGTCAGAAATGACATCAGCCAAAGGTCATGTCTTTCCGGAAGCTGATTTAGATCAGCCAAGCTACGGCTAAGCTCCTAAAAGACAGATGAGCCTCCAGGGTCATCCTATTTTCTCTAGCTCTTCATCTCTAACTTCAAGTTCCATTTTTGATATTACACAAGGACTAGGATCTTGCCATCAGTGACAATACAGATGCACCTAGAGGGTAGTATGCTAAGTGAAACGTCAGACTAAGACAGACAGATGCCAGAAGTTCTGATTGATTCTGATGATTTTACTCATACATAGAATCTAAAAAGCAAGACAAATGAATAAACAAACAAAAAGCAGAATCAGAACTATAAATACAGAGAACAAACTGATGGTTGCCAAAGGGAAGTGGTGTTGGGGGGATGGGCAAAATTTGTGACAGGGAGTGGAAGATACAGGCTCTTGATTATGGAATGAATAAGTCACAGAATAAAAGGCACCACAGAGGGAACATAGTCAATGGTATTGTCATAGTGTTGTATGGTGACAGGGGGTAGCTACACTTGTGGGCATAGCAAAGCGTATAGAGATGTTGAATCACTATGTGTACACCATGTGTCAGTTACACTAAAAGAATACATTAAATAAATAAAATTCCATTTCTGGAGTTAGAACTAATGATTCTAACATTTTTAAATGGCCCCAAATCATTCTCTGAACTTGAGTGTTGCTAATTGACCCATTTGAAAATAAATGCTTTATATAGGAGCTATATTCTATAGATAACTAAAATTTTTTTGGTGCATGGAAAAAAGTTGATAACATTATTGAAAACTAAACCAGGACATTTCAATATGGTAGGAAAAGATTATCTGTGTCTTAAAGATATGGTTTTAAAGTGTTCTATATGAAGAAATGAATATATGAAGTGTTCCTACCTTTTGGGGATGGGTAGGATATTGTGGCTGTAAGAAGAAATCTGAGGCATAAAACAAAAGCCCAAGATGTGTCTGGTGGAAAGCACACCTGTGTTTTTGTCCATACAGAAAGGTGACATCTCAGAAAAAGTCTCTAGAGCAGTTGTTCTCAAAGTGTAATCTTTAGACCAGCATAATCAGCATCCCCTGGAAACTTACTAGAAACATAAATTCTTAGGCCCTACTCCAGACCTACTGAATCAGAGACTCTGGAGGTGGGGCCTCACAATCTGTATTTTTTTCAAAGCTCTCTAGGTGATTCTGATGTAAAATAAAGCTTGAGAACCACAATGCTAAATATATCCCTCATTCCCTTCTGACAGAGCATTCTGGGATTGTAATTTAAACCTTATAACAATGAAAACAATTACACTGTCCATATGTTTTTCCTTTTAAAATTTGGATTATTTAAAAAATAATCTGCTTGGAAATTAACCACATTTTACATTGAGTGACATGAAAGAGATTGTTGTTAGCATTTAAATTACTTTGTGGTATGAGACTCTCATTAATTACTTATGTTCTTGGTAGCTGGTGCTTTATTGAAAGGACCTGTGCTAGCATTAATAAATGCAAACAAAGTGGAAGGTCCTGAGGTTAATGAGATAGTGAAACATTAATCTGTGTTTCTTCTTTAATGTAAAATGGAGACTCATCAGGTTCACTTTATATATTTTACATTTGTCTTTCCAGGAAGAACAAAGTATGCTAGCTATGGAAGAGGAGGGCACGGTGCAGCTCCCATTGGAAGGGCACTATAAGTAAGATATACACATAAAAGCTTTAAGTCATGGAATGTGTTCTTATATGCTTAAGAATTTTCTACTGTATGGATTCCTGCAAAGATTTGTTGAAGCTGTGTTAGAGTAGAAAGAACTGAAACTAGGAGTTAAATTACCCTGTCCTAGTACTAAGTTCTGACACTAATAACTGTGTGAGTATAACCCAGTAGCTTAAAATGAAGGGGGAGGGGCAGCAGGAAACCTTGTTTGTAGTCTTTTCTTCTCATATTTTATAATGTATACAAGAACATTGTATTGCTCTCTTTCTTAACCTTGAAAAGCAGCAGTTGAAGATGGGTTGAGATTTGATGCCAGAATACATGAGCTAGGTATTCACTAAATTGATCCCAGGTAAATGTTTGAACTCTGGAAGGTTACCCCTAAAATATGGCATTGCCAAAGAGATGATCTATTTCTTGAGTTAGAGGATTCAGTTTTTTTTTTTTTTTAAGATTTTATTTATTTATTTGACAGAGAGAGATCACAAGTAGACAGAGAGGCAGGCAGAGAGAGAGAGAGAGAGGGAAGCAGGCTCCCTGCCAAGCAGAGAGCCCGATGCGGGACTCGATCCCAGGACCCTGAGATCATGACCTGAGCCGAAGGCAGCGGCTTAACCCACTGAGCCACCCAGGCGCCCCGAGGATTCAGTTTTACCAGTCATTTTAGGAAATATTTATGTAACTCTCCAAAATATGTTATTCTTCTTTAGACACAACAACATGCAAAAGAATCCAAACTCCTATGCATTAAAAAAAAGACCTATGAAAGTATTTGGCCCAAAATTGTCTGTATGCATATGAGACTAATATATAGTCTCAAAGTGCTTAAGGATAATTTAAGGCCATACCAGTAAAAAAGGAGAGAAAATTTTTCTCTGAGGAGGGAATTTATCATACTATTGACCAAAAAATTAGAATCTTCTAGATCTTCAGGGTGTGCTGTAAAACCACATTCCCTAGGTTTTTAAAATATAATCATCTACCACAGAATCATGGAAAGTCATTTTATCTTTTTTCAAGCAATATTCAAGTTTTAAAATCCAAGTTTTAAAATCCTGTTGATTGTTTTGTCGAATCAATATATTCCCACATGTATGTTGTAGAAACTTAGTCTCATGTGGTACCCCTCCTGGAAAGATGTTTTGGTTAGATGTATTTCCATACTGCATTCCAGTGTGGAGACTCACAGTGCATGCTGCCATATTAAAGAATCTAAGGGGTACTGCATTTTTTTAAAGTTTAATTTTATTTAATCCAGCACTTTCTTTCTTTTAAAAAAAATTTTTTTTTTTAATTTCTTTTCAGTGTGCCAGAATTCACTGTTTATGTACCACACCCAATGTTCCATGCAGTACGTGCCCTCCATAATACCTACCACCAGGCTCACCCAACCTCCCACCCCCCGCCCCTTCAAAACCCTCAGACTGTTTTTCAGAATCTATAACTTTCTAAACTCTTTTGCTTACAAGACTCATTGTCATATAATATCATGAAAAACGTGTATTCATACAACTTTTTTTTTTGAAACTGGTTGATCTCATGCTTTGACTCACTAAGGGCTGCTGGATTTGAGGAACTGAAGAATGTATTTCTAGACTGGGAGGGGAGGGAGCCTGTGAGATGCAAAGATTTGCTCCAGACCTTTGGTGTCCCTCTTAAAATTCTTACTTGTTGCCCTCTGTGAACAACCACCAATGAGGGTCATGTGAGGTCAGCCTAGGATTTCTCTAGAACATGTTCCCACCGCCCCCCAACAGCAGGCTATCTTTTCCACGTGTAGTAAGAAGAGTACTCTTTTCTCACTAGAAACTTTCTTCGACTTGGCCTGTGATTTATCTCTGCTGCTATTTGGTTGTGTTTCTAGCCCTGGGAATATTTTAGAGAGTTCTGAATGTCACCTATAATTGGTGTCATTTTAAAATGCAGGAAAAGCGCCCGACATTGTACATGTCCTGATATTGTAGGCTCCCCTAGTCATTTGGAAAGACTTCTGCCAAATACACAGACTGCCTTCATTTATTCAACAAATACTTGTTGAGTGGGTACCAAGTGTCAGGCCCTGTTTGAGTCTTGGGCGAACAGTCACAGACAAATGGTCAAGAAACCTTGTTCTCATAAGACTTATGTTCAAGTGGAATAGATCGAGGTAGGGGAGTCAGAAAATGAACAAATGAACAAGTAATAGAGTACAGTACTTTAGATGGTGAAAAGTGCAGTGAAAACAAAAAGCAAAAAAGGATAAGTGTATTCTGAGGGGATGGGAATTGAAATTTTAAATAGAGTAGTCAGCAAAGACCTCTCTGAGTAAGTGACATTTAAACAAAGGAGAGAAAGTGTTGTACCATGTAAAGGATCGTCATGGGTAGAAGGAAGAACAGGTACAAGGCCCTGAGGCAGTAGCTAGCCTGTAGTATTCCAGAACAGTCAGGAGACCTTTGCATTGTGGCTGGAGAGGAAGGAGCAGGGTTGTGATGGCAGGAGATGGAGTTGGACGGTGAGGGTGGGGTCAGAGCCTATGGTCCATCTACTAGGCTCTTTCTGAGTGAGTGAGAGCCACTGTTGAGTCTGAGAGCTATGAATGTAGCGGCAAGAGCCTAAGCCGTGAACACACAGAACCTCATCTCTGTAATTTTAAGTGAATTAGGAAACAGTAGCCAAAACCAGTTTCTATATAACTAGAATCTTTGATTTTGATTTTTCATAGATTTTTAAAAGTAATTATGAGAATATTCCTTATTTTTTTAACTATCAAGAAATACTGTACTAAGGCACAAGACTGTCCTATATATAGTATGTTTCTAGACAACTGCAGTTACTTATTTAATTTTTTAAATTTCATTTTGGGTAAACTATCTAGAGATGATCCATCTGTGATCAATATTTCTGATGAAATGTCAAAGACTGCCTTGTGGAGGAACCTTCTGATGACAGCTGATAACTCGAAAGATAAGGAGTCAAGCTTTCCTTCTAAAAGGTTTGGATTCCAAAGTGATGTGAATTTGTATTGATCCCAACCATTTTATGACATGAATCCATTAACAAAAGAATAGTAATTGTTTCCATTGAATTTAGGTCTAATATATTTCAGAAAGTTCTTTTTTAAAAGTAGGCGAAAATTGTAATAGGTACATTTGTTAGTTTGTTTTTCAACATCTTCCTTTCAAATTAAAAGCTCACTCCAAAACTATGACAGTGGGGAAAACAATGCTATAAATGAGTCCCAATGCATGGCATTTTTGGACATTCATTTGGTCTACTCTTTTGCAGTAAGATTCCATTACATTCCTTCATCACCCACTTTCCAGGACCCTTTTAGATGTCTGACCTCATTTTGCACTCCCCCCTTGTCCTTTCCGAAACCCCACGTGCATGTGCAATGGTTATTTCTTATTTAGTATATTTCCAGGCCCCTATTCCAACCCCTTGAAAATCTTGCCTAAATTCCTTATTCTGAAACTTTCAGCTCCAGAAAGTTCTATGGATTCTTATTTCTCTGTATACAAACAACTCCCATAGTTGTAGATGCTAAGCTTTAAATGCATGCTGGGGGAGGAGTGTGTCCTTAAATATCAAGAGTCATCACATGATTTCCATTGAATTTTCCAGAATTAGTAAATAAGGGTTCAAACCACCCAGGCTTCTTAGTTGCTGATCTGAAGAAAAATCTCTGTGTTATGTTAATAGCATAAGAGTGATTGAGGGATTTGGGACAGTATTTAATTATTAACTTCCTTTATTTTCATGACCTTAAATTAACTTTTTCTACTTAATTTTTATATTACATTTTTGTCATAAGCTCCCCTTCCTAATCACTCTAGAAGCTGATTCCCCAAAGGTAAGACCCTCTCCCTCAAACCTATTCCTTGGTTGTATTTCCTTATGTTAAATGGTGTCTTCTAGAAACCTGGTCAGCCTATGTTCTTTATGTGAGTTTTGGGGAGGCAAAAGGCATGGAGAGTCTTAGATCCAGTATCAGACTAAGTGTTTATGGTATTCCTGTAAATTCTCAACTCTTTAAGATGGTTTGAAACTTGAGTGAACTTTTTTCCCCACATGATTTCTACAAATGCATCGTACATAAATCAACAAATCTCATAGAACTATATTAGTAATGACATCAAATTTCTGTATTGGAAAAAAGAAAATTTATCCTTTGAATTAAGAAATTGCAAAGCTGGGAGCTTTTATTTATGCACCACATGCTTCCAAACCTTTAAACTTTATCTGGCTTCACGAGAAATATTTGGAAATGAGGGCTCAGAAAAGATATTACATTAGACTTACAGAATCTCTTGTTGCTGGTTTTTGTCACCCCAAAATGGCATGCTGCTTCAGTGTCATCTCTGTCCCAAAAAGACAAACAGTAGACGTGCAGAGTCTTCATCCCAGAAAGCTGGGGATTAGTCATCTCTCTCTCTCTCTCTCTCTCTCTCTCTTTTTCTCTTCTTCCCACCCCCCGCCCCGACCCCACAGACAACTACCTCTAACACACCAGAGGTTAGTTAAGTTAGTGGGCTCCCTCAGATTTTTGATTGATGTCTTCTGTCTTTAACAGGGCTTTAAATTCTTCATGTATTTCTTTGCTTGGCTCAAGCAGAAATAATATTTTATTCTAAATCGGTCTTTATATTCCTTTCCCAAAGATCCTTTCCACAGTCTGATAGAATCATCCTCACAGTAACTCTGTTTTGGTAGAAGTCTTGGAAGAAAATCAGAGTTAGGAGAAGGGTAATTTCTCAAACCCATTGGAATATGTGTTTGTGGACTCTTTCACATTAAAGATATGGCATTTCTCTGATTCTTTAAAAAATGGGAACTCCAGGTTTATGAGCTCCAAATAAAATGCCAGCCATGGGAATATGTGAACAATTTGAGACAACCAAACTTACAGATACTGTTCTTCCTGCACGAAATGGATCCAGAGTACAAACACTTTCTTGGTTTTCTGTTGGTTCAAGCAAAAAATTTTATGTCATGATATTTTAGGTACTCCTTAAAGTGAATAGTAAAGTCGAGTGATGCTTTTCATCAGAAAACCTTAGCTGTTTTTAAACAACACAATGTGCCTTAAGCAGGTCCAGTTTTATTAAGACCATCCTTTATAATTTGATATGATCACTCATTTCTTACTCTTTGAACATACGTTACCACTAACATGAGACTCAAACTATTGTGCATGGAAGTTTACCCTTAGATGTGATGAAATCTGTAGATTTCCATGTGAAAATATCTATTGGTTCATGGCTAATGTCTTTTATCTTCATAACAGTGGAAACTGGCAGAAAAAGTGTGGCTTCCATAAATCCTAAAACCACCCACACTAATGACAATACCGTCCCAAAGCCATTGCTTTCTCATTGTGTGTTTGTTGAAGGCATTGAAGTGTGATGACCAGGAACTCTAAAAATTTTCTGCCTGCTAGAGTATCTGTTGGCAAACGAAATAAAAACAAAACAAAAGCCTAAAGACCAGGTTAGCAGGATCGGTATCTCTTGAGACCTAAGCTGGCTTCCTGGCAGTTTTTGGCTCCTGACCCCCACCCCGTAATCCATCCTGTCCCTCACTATTTGTCCTGCATGCCTGTCAGAGCATCAGAGAAGCCTAGGTATTTTTCCTTAGTGGAATTTGGAACAACAGTTGTATTTTCTCCATCATTTCATTCACTTCTCACTGCTAAAAATGTCTTATCCAGTCTGACTGAAAGAAGGATCTAAGAACTAATTGCAAATTTGACCACATCTGTAGGATGTCTAATTTGATCCTTGTTCAACAGTGCAATGCATACATGTGACAAGCTCCCCTGTGGCTTATTGAATTGGATTGGCAGAAATAGGTCTCATTAAAAACCACATTGCATGAGAATAGAATTGCTATGTTTTATAAAACTGACACCCAAGATTGACATTTCTTGGGAAGGTAGCCGGCAACATTGGGAAAAACAGCCCTTGATTTTTGTCCTGGTGGCTGAGGCTAGGCTCTGGGGCCACCTTCTCTGCTCTCCTCTGGCTACCCACTTCTTATATCCCAGATTCTCCTTCTTTTCTCTGATTTCCTAGGCCGATGCCATCTCATGACTGCTTGGTAAATGTTGTTCATAACAACTATTTTGGTGTGATTGAAACATAACGGTTTCATAGATTGCTTGGCAACATGAAGGTAGCAGGTCATGTTCTGCTGTCTCCTGAAATACTATTTCCTTATATTTTAAATTGTAAATCCTTGAAGGTCAGGGCACTGTCTCATCTACCTTTTATCCCGAGGTTTTGCAGAGGAGCTAGTATATAATAGATATGTAATATATGTCTATTGCCATAGCTATCATAGATATGACATATAGTTGATAAAAAGAAGTAGTATGTTTGTTACAATGAAAGTTTAGAATTGATTGGAATCCTGAAAAATGAACATAACCAGAAATAAAGAGAGGAATAGGCATACAGTAAGAAGGTAGGTTCAAGTCAATCATATTTTTCATGGAAATCTTGACCTGGTTGTAAAATTTCTGCTTTGTAGTTTGTTGAAATCTAATCTGATACCCAAACCACTGGTTTTAAAGAGGGGGAAAACCCCCACCCTGATCATTTCATTGATTATTGTTTTGTAACCAAATAACCAGCATGACCAAAGCAGGACATGGGGACAAAGCAAACCTGTGAATTAAGTCAACATTCTGAATCTTTTCTCACTGCTCGGTGACTAATAGTGCCATTGGGAATGTGCTGGTTTCTAAAAAAGTGTTGGAGCAGAACATCGTGCTCACAGGAGCCGTGTCTGTGTGGAGAGTCCTGTATGTCTCCATCCCTGCAGTCTCCTACAGAGATGATCTTTTATTCTATTTTCATTATAATTGAGAACACCAGCCTCAGAATTCTGGCATTTGAGCTGTAAGAGAATTTAGGGACCGTATAGTCCCAAACTAATTTACAGATGAGGAAACCAAGTCCCAGAGAGATTAAATAACCAGTCCAAGGTCCCACAGCTCTTCCTTGGCTTCTGGGACCTGAACGTAACCTTCCAGTTTCCAGTTCGGGCTTCCTCAGCTGCCCCCATGCTGCCCTTTCTCGCTGGCTTTGTGTGGGAGCCAGGTAAAGCCCAAGGGAAAGTTAATTTGGAAAGTAGGGTAGCAGACACTTGTCATATGAAAGGCACTTAAAGTAGAAGAAAGTGAGTCATGCAGATAGGGGAGTTAAAAATACAGAGTTAAGGCTCTCAACACATCATGTGCACACTGTCATCTCTTCTCGTGGAAGGAGAAAAGAAAAGGGAGAAAAGTTGCTTTGCTCTGACCTGTAAGTAGTGTGTGCTGAGAAGTGTGGCAGGCGTACACGCGGGTGCCATAGACACTCGCTCACACCAGCTCTCAGCGCTGGCGGCGTGCCACAGATGGCAGAAGCTCGGGCACGTCTTACCTGATGGTGCCGGGTGGCGGTGACAACTGAGAAGGGCTGTTTCTAGCTTGAATTGGAGGAAAAACAATTTTAAAAACACCCTCGTAGAATGTGTCTAAGTTATTGACCACTAAGAACGCTGTGCAGGAGGCCGCGTGGAAAAAAAAAAAAAAAGGTTTTAACTGTTGATTACTTTGAGAAGAGTTAGAAAACCAAGGGTTTTCCCACCACCAACTATTTCATAAATTTATATTTAGGGACAAAGTTAGTGGTTAAAATGGGTGGGCTCCTCTGGCTCAGGGCCCTAGGTGGCAGGGAGGGACACAGGAGGCCACAGATGTGGTGGGCTCTGCCTGGTACTGGGAGTCGTTGGGGAGTGAGCGCATCTGCCCCTCGGGAGGCGTGTATTTCTTGCTGGGAGCTTCCTGCTTGTGAGCATGTTATTTGACTTCTCCACGAGAAGTGTTAACACGAGAGTAAGAAGAGTGTTCATTGGACAGATATCGAAAAAAAAGCATAGACAAAGATGGTAGAGTCTTATTACCAGCTTGCCCATCCCATAAGGTTAATTGGAGAACAGACAAAATGGAGTCACTTGGGAATGAGTTGATTCTGGAGGGAGTGAGGTGATGAGGGAGGGAGGAAGGGAGGCCAGGATGAGGGTTAGTCTGCACAGGTGTTTGGAGGGTGGGGTGTGGGGACGAGCACGTCCTCTAGAGCAGCGGAGATATGTCTGTCCTGCTGACCGCAATACAGTGTTCACCAGAGATCAGGACCCAGCTTGGGCACAAAGGATGAACCCCTTGCAGCGAGCCCTGAGCTTCGTCCCACAGCATCTCATTGGTGTTCCCGTGGTCAGTGCTTTCTTAAGACGGGGGCTGCACTGGCATTTTCAGCCACCATCACTAATTCTTCTGGCCAAATGAGGACAATGGCATCGATCCTGCATGCTTCTGGAACTGTTTTAAAATGTGTGGTTTTTGTTTCTTAGTTTTTTTTTTGTTGTTTTGTTTTTTTTTTTAATTTCCCCCTTTCTGCAGTTTTTGGTTTCTACCTCACGGAGTGCAGACGATTTTAATTGTTGCTATCTATCCACGCTTCGCCGCATGAAAGTGCAATGCTAAGGGCCCATGTGGTGCTTTGGGGTTGATAGGTTTTGTGTGTGAGCAAGCAGATCTCACAGTAGCCGTGCAGGATTGCAGTAATAAATGTCTCCTTTTCTCCCCCCCTGTAGCACTGAAAGCCGAAAAGAGAAGAAAGCTGACTCAGGGAAAGGTGTTGACAGGGAGACTTGTCTATGACTTGATCTTCAATTTATTTTTTACATATATATGAGAAGAGTGCCACAATTATTAATAAAACTGCTTTGATCATGTATTGTAAATTCTGTCTCTCATCCCAAATCCGCCTTCATACTGTAAGTAGTGCAATACTTGTTTCATTTCTGTGTTTAAACTTCTGAACAGTGAGACACCCTCGTGAGCATATACACTAGCTAATGCAAGAATCTCTGTGTTCCTTGCTGTATGTTAGATGTTTGTCAACACTGGATTCTCATGGTTAGTTTTATGAGAGCAATAGCTTTCTTAAAGAGATGTCACATTTACCTAGTTTGTATTTTCCTACTTTAGTGATCTGAAGCTACCTGATAATTTCATTCAGAAGAATTTTGAAAGGTAGTCTTACTCCTTTTTATTTTTTATAGCTTAGCATTAGTGACTTATTTCAAAAGACCCAAATCAAAAAGTTAGTTTGGAAGCATTTTTTAATAATTGTATTTATGCATTTCCTTGATTTACTATGATACATTTAATACTTAAGAGTTTATATGTAACTAAAACTTAAAGTCATTTGAAAAAAATATATAGAAATCTGTTCACAACTTGTTGAAAAGAATCAGAAACTAACGCAGAGTCAGGTAGTGTCTGCTTAACAATTCAAGTTGTGATTTATACCATCAAACACTAGGCTTGTAGGAAATGCTTCAGGAAAACTTTGTAAGTTTTGTGAGATTTTCAGTATAAACCTTTATCAGAAATATGCCGTTAAATTTCTCTCCCGTTTAAAACAAATGTTTCCCAAATAAACTTATCCTATACACAGCTGTGGAAGGCCATATGGTGAGTCCTTGTACATGAAATTTCACTTCTATGTAGTTTTTCTGCTGCTCAAGGTCCAGTACTGCTTAATGCTGCTTCTGAATCATGTTCTAACGTTAGGCTGACAGGTCTCCAACTATATTTTTCTCTTCTGCAAAGCTCTTTTCCACTTTTTAATTGAATGCATGTTGTAGAAAAATAGTCTTTTCAATGAATATTTCAGATTCTGTTCGAGAAGATTCTGTAGATATTTCAGTCCATATGAAAACATCCATTTTTACTAAGCTTGCACAAGAGGAAGGAAAGTTAAGAATTTTTGAGCATTACTAAAAATATGGTATTTCATTTCATTTTAGATAATGTGAAGTTAATAAAGATGGAATCTTGTAGTACTCTCATTTCCTAAGTATGACCGGTGCTCATTAATCTTATGATCTGCGGTGTCCAATTTTACAATGATTCAGAGCCCCATGGCTTCTCCAAACTATTAAGTACATATTTTGTGTGTAAGTGCACATGAAAAGTGAAAAAAAAAATCCTCTTGTGATCAAGCTTATGAGGGAAATAAATAACCCCAACAAAGCCTCCATCAGATTCAACATTTTGATATTTCTGAAAACTCCCCTGACAATCTTTTAACGAGCCATTTCTTTCATGGAATGTAAACCTAAAAACTATAAGAATAATTTGCAGCTAATATAGATTGTGTTTATAAATTCCAAGGAAAAATACAGAAGCTTTCCATTCCAAGTGTGTTGCCCTTGTGTGTTTTATAATACAGATACCATATTGTAGACATCCCCATTGTTGTATGATTTAGACTAGCTGTATAGCCAGTCAGTCCCCAAAGCAGCCTCCTAGTGTTTTAATATATTAATAACTGTTCTATTACAAATGATCATAGTGAATTAAAACCTTCACATGATCACTTATTTGAATAAGCAATCATACCCAATGAAATTCTGTATTTCTGAGTATTTTTATAGTATTTTGTTCTTGTGTGAATTTTAATGCTATCTCTATGTTAATCCTAATATTTTGAAATCGTATAAAATATAAGAAAAAAAATGTAGTGTTATATATTTCCTCCTAATTTCAGATTCCTGGTCAAAATTACTAAATATCTTGAATGTAATTTATTGCAAAGTTCAAGTAATGTGTAAATGTGACTAGGATATTGTGTTTTTCACAACTAAGAAATGTTATGTGGAAATAAATATTTATCCTAATTAATTTCCTTGCACATTTTAAATTGTGATGCAAAGTGTCTTGTCTTTCTTCTCTTTAGTGTTAATCAGTAAATCAATGTAGAACATTTTAACTGAACATAATATTTAAATTTAAACACCCCTATTAAGAAAATTTGGTGATGTAATGTTTCAAGAGTACTCAGACAATTTGGAGTTTATAAAAAGAATATTATGAGAGCTACAGTAGGATATATCTCTTCATTTTCTCAGGAAATTAGCGACTTGGGTGCAAATGGCATTGCTCCCAAGACTAGCAAAATCTTCCAAGGTCATTAGTAGGATTTCCCATAAGTAGAACTCCTTAGACTTCTGTTTTTCTGCCCTACCCCCATCACCCACCATGGGAAAAGCATTTCCTAAAATTTCTCTGCTCCCTCTTTGTTACTCTGGGTCACATGGGTCCCATAAATATTCTTTTGTAGCCATCTAGCAGTACGTTATGGAGGTAATTACATTCAGAACTCTAATGTACAGGTTAGAATTTTTTCTTTTGTCCCATGTGTTTACTTTATAATTCCTACCATTTATCAGCCTTTGATATAGGGAAGTTTCTTCCTAAATTTAATCTGAATATCTTCTTGGTATTATTTAAATCCACAGCTTAATAGAAACTTGCCACTGACAATTCACAAGCAACTTGTCTTTCAATGCTATCCCTAGATCTGTTAGGATTTTTCTTGGGGCTCTTAAAAGTGTGGCTCACCCCTTCCTTCCTTCCTTCCTTCCTTTTTCCTGTCTGGACCTCCATTCCTGTTTAACTTTAGCTGTTCACTCCTGGTCACTTGATTATTTTATGATTATTTCAAGATTGATACCCAAATGTTCTAATAAGTATCTTGTACATTCATTCACTGAAATGAAATAAAATTTACAAGCACTTGAAGATTTGACGAGAGTAATTTGGATATAATGGTTCTCTAACTATCTATTTGGAAAGGGTACTTGCCATCATCCCCTTGAAGAAGCCTGATATTCAAGGATTACTGGTAATGCTTTGTTTTCTAGATCTCCTGGGATGTTTTCCATAGAAAGCTGCAACTCACTGATAGAACCGTCACTCCACTTCAGCTTCTGTTGGTGTAGGGCCACTACTTTTTGAGCTGGAACATTGAAAATAGAACTGCGGTCCTTGCTTCTAAGAGCGTGGTAGACACGTAGCCACAGCACAGTGTAATACGTACTGGGTTGGCTGTATAAGAAAAGCAGTGAATAACCCAAAGATGGATCTTTGAGTAGGGTGGAGTTTGAGGATAATGTTATATAAGAGGTAGCATATGAATTAGGATGGAAATGGGGAAAGAAACCTACTTCAAGAGCTACAAAGATTCTCAAACACATGCCCGTATTGAAATAAAAATGAAATAAAAAAGTAAAGATATATGGTGTAACTGGAGCCTGACATAATGGAGGTGTGGCATGTTTGGAACCAAGCGAATAGCCCAGTGTGTTGGAGTGTTAGGAGAGCTGTGAAGACCTGTAAGAAAAGGTAGAAATACGAGTCAATCATATTATAAATGATGTTGAAGTCTATATTAGGATATTTGAACTTCCTGCCTTAAAAGTTTTGAGGAACGTAGAGACATGAATTTTTGGAAAGATTAGTCTAGCAGCACAGTGGAGAATATAGTGGCAAAAAAGTGGAATCATTTCCTTAGAGATCCTGAACAGGATGACTCTGAGGCTCAAACCAAATTCTCTGTGAATGGTCTATAAACTTTTATTGTTTTTGAAACCAAATAGGCTTAAGCATGCTCCTTAGGTACTTAAGTAACTCCAGACACAATAGCTTTATTATAAATAATTTCGTGTAGAACAAGATAGATGGATAGATAGATAGTATGTTTTGAGTTGTATTTGAAAAAAAAAAAAGTGTTCTGAAAAGCATGGTATCAACAGTAATACTGAGACTATTAAAGAAATCTAAACGTAGGACCAAATTCAGCCAATGGCAGCACTTATGAATCCAGAAACCAACTTCCGTCACCTTTTTCACCCTACTCATCTCCTCATTCTTACCATAGACTTAGCTTTATGTCTAAGTACTCTTGCCTTCAGGTGTGTGTAGTTATAGATTACAGATTTCTGCCATGTGACTTATTTCTTCCATTTGTTTATAAGCTTCTTCAAGATAGGAATAGTGTTTTATCCCTTCTTTGTAACTCTTCAGAGCCTAGGTCTGTGCTTGGTTATTTATCCAGCTGGAAAAGTCTGTGGACAGAGCCCTAAGTAAAATATATCACAAGATGCTGCTTTTCAGTTTATTAAGAATGATGAAAGATCCAAAAAGAATTCTCACTTGCATGTTAGAATAGAAACAAAAGCAAATGCTTCTTGAGTACTTCATGTGCCCAACACCTGGAGGTAGACACAGACACCTAAGGTGGGGACCCATGCAAGCTATGGAGTCATCAGTGGAGTCATCACACCTGGATAAAAAGCTAAGTAGCTGTGAACAGGGGGAGAAGGGAGAGAAGAAGGTGGATATGATGCCGGCAGAGTATATACACAAATCTTCACAGAAATGGCACAACTCTTTGAAGTAGGTGTTTTTGTACTTCTTTCAAGTTAAGAAACTGAGGCTCAAAGAGGCTGAGTAATGTTCTTTAAAATGTTTCTCACTGTGAGTGATGATGGTGAGATTCTAACCCATGTTGACCTTATCTAGGCTGCAGTGCATGGAGTCTCCGACAGGAGGCGATGTATGACAGGCTTCGTTCTTAACAGGCTCCTCCTTCTGGGTCACACATCCACAATCAGGTTATGATGAATAATATTTCTTCCCAGGATGTTACATTTTCTCTGTGACTCATACTTCTGTGATCAAGATTGGAAACTAGACTAAGCCAAGGAAATACTTTGCTCACAAGTCACAAGTATCATGACTCTGGATAGAAGAAACTTCCTGAAATAATCAGGGTTTTGGTCATTTGACGGGTCACTCTTTTCACCAAATATGTGTTTAAGTAATCTGACAAACTTGGGATGAATTGTTCAGATGAAAGTTTATGAAGAATAAAAAAAAAACTTAATTGAGTTGGTTGAAATTTAAAGTCTGTAACACTAGAAAAGATACCCCTGTTGCTTTAGCAGTGAGGAAATGAACTTTCCTTTTGTTAATTCAAATTCTCAAGTTTAAATGTTAATATTGTCACAGAAAGGTGACATACAGAAAGATGATGTTTCTATTGAGCATGAAATTGGTCTTATTGATAATATCATACTCTGAACTTTTCTGGTGGGCAGTGACGTTATGCTTTATTATTCTCAATCCATGAGAATGAGATGATCCATGATCATGGATCCTTCAGCCATCCTGAATGCACACTCTGGATCATTCAGGATGTACGTAAAAAGGTTCTTGGACACTGCCGAAAGAACGGTCTCAAAACTGGCAGAACAAGTTCTCTGACTTTATGAAAAAAGCCATCCTGGTGTTTTGGTATGTTTTTCACTTAGAACTTACTGAATCCTCAATATTGTACAAATCTAGTAGTTTTATAAACTGGGATTCTCACGTCATCTTAGAGCAAACAGCAAATGCCATGTAGTAGGACTGGTAGCTTCAGTGACCACATGCGAATAAGAAAGAAAATATCCGAAATGACACACAGCCTGAGGTGATCATTGATCTTTGTGGTGGTGGCTTTGAGTCATTAAGGATACACTGAATTGTGTTTTATGCCTTCTATTTAAGGAAATGTGGAGGTATGGAATCATTTTTAGCAAGATTTCCAAAAAACATGTTCAAAAATAACTTTTAAAGTGATTTTCTAAAGATCTTGAGCAAAACTGAAACTCTGCATCCATAGAAGAGATGTGAACATCGCTCCATTGGCGTGCGTGTCTCTGCACCATCCCCCCCTTTGCCATGCTCTCCCACAAGTTGTATCTGATGGGAATCTTCCCATCCCTGGGCCTGCTGAGGTTGTGACTGTCAGTGGTGGGCAAGTCTGCCCATCTTCATGCTAGCATTTGTTTCTGTGTGTTTCCAGCTTAGCCTCAGACTAAGTGTCTCTCAAGGTTGTTAACATCTTGCCCTTCCTTTTCCAATCAGCCAATTTCATTTTCTTATTGGAGAAGAAAACATGTCCTGTGAGGGTTGAATGAAACCTACTTTAACTTCAACCACAACATCGCTTCTCGGCCTTTTGGCTAAGATCAAGTGTAACTTCAACCACATCATTACCATTTGTAACCCTCACTACGTGAAAAATAGGTGCTAGGATTTTTTTTTTTTTTTACCTCTGGGCTCCAGAAAAACATGTTTAGAAATCAAAGGAACAATGAATTGTATAGTTTTGATATTATACAATAGTTGTACAATATCAGCTATTATATGATGGTCTTAATATCTGTATAGTATTGGATATTGTGCAATATCTACTATTGTACAATGGTCTTATTGATATCTGTGAAATAGCTGGTATTGTGCAATGTCTGATATTGGTAACATCTGATATTGCCAAATGGTTTTAATATCTGTACAGCATCTGATATCGCACAATATCTGGTTCCAACTAAAATAAAAGAAGAATTTCTATTTAATTTGCTCTTATGACTATTAACTCAGTCCAGGATGTGTACATATGATCTATGACTACTGTTCCTGGATATAGAACTTGGCAAAGATTGTCCAGTTACTCACGATGACTGAACTCTATTAAGGAATAGAATTATGACAGGAGCCCTACAGGTTTGCAGGTTGATTTATAGCTCTAATGGATGAGTGGAGTTTGGGATGTAAGGTGAAGCTACTCAATGGCATGCTTGCAAAGTACAATCAAAGCTGAATTTCACAACGCTCTGTCCATTTGTATGCATGACTCACCAGTCTCATATTGAATTGATAGATTTTTTCCATTTCTTCTACTTTTAGATTTTTGTGCTGGAGCTCACTCTGAGATAACTTTTTCCAGTGAATGGTTGGAAGCTAAGTTTGAGTTACAGAGAATCAATGAAAAAAAAAATGAGGCCATTTTGCAAACAATTGAACAAAAAAATCATGTTTCCTCTGTTGTTTGCTAAACTAAATTCAGCATCTGAAATCTATGCTTCCGTTAATATAGGTACGCCAGCCAAAAATAGCCAAACACTTGAGTAACTGACTTTATTTCTTGACTTAGACTGAGATGATGTTGTTAATATTATTTGTTCTTATAACATGAGCCTCAACACAGTTTCCTGGAATAAAATTATAAATTATGTATTACATAAAAAATAAAAATTATTTGGGTGTTTCAAAAGCTATATATGTGTGTGATAACAAATTGTGTATGTTATTACATAAAAACCCATACGAACTGCTTAATTTAACACATTTTTATGTATCTTTTTTTTTTTTTTTTTTTTTTTTTTAACAAAAACTGAACTCTCTCCATGTTTACGAGGCAGTCTGGGGTAGCGAGCAAAATAAACAAGAGTCTTTCTGGATAAGCGTGTCCATATGCCAATGTGGTTTAGGTCTCATTCAAGACACAAAATGCATTACCTCTGAAAAAATGAAGGAACATTTATTAAATGACCAGGAGAAATTCCACAGTATGGGAATAACAATACATAACTTTGTAGTTTACTTTTTATTTTTAAAAACAAGTCCAAGGAAGTTAAAATATTCTTTTCATTAAGATGCTCAAAGAAATGAACTAAGAAAAATTGATGCAAGGACTCCTTCAAGTTCGAATTTGTGATACAAATATTTTCATCTTTTAACAGGGCAAGCTGATGTGTTCACATCTCAGTTCCAAACTGCCTCTTTCACTAGGAAACATCAGTGGTTTTTAAGGCACATTTACAGTGCTTTCCCCTCCCCCTTGCTGTGTGTTTGTAGCACCTATAGCCATAGTTGGCACCTGGGGGCCTTGCATTGTTGGCAGATTCCCTCTCATTTCTTTGGAGTCTATTCAACTGCTGTGGTTTTACTCAGAAGTCAGTGCTTTTTGCATATATGATTTCCTGAGACTGAATAGTCTTTCTCAGAAAACTGTGCCAGTCTGGCTGTGAACAGCTCTTCTCCAAGAGTTGCTGACAGGAGCCTGGTCGGGTCATTGTGCTCGGCTGTGGGTTCCCAGCCAGGCCTCCTCGCTTCTTCCCCTACCCCTTCCCTTCTTACCTCTGCCTCAGTGACATCCCCACCCACATCTTGCCATCCCTTTAAAGAAGAGAATGAGATTTGCACTGGTCCAGTTAGAAAAGAATGAAATGCTTCCCAGGGAACCTATGCAGAGCTCCCATAAAAACAATTCATATTTGTTGTTTCAGCAACGGATGTGGAAATGATTTTAAATAATAAACAAAACCAGACGGAATAATTCAAACTTCAGTAAGGTAATAATCTGGTGCGAAGACAGAAGTCCCAATTTAAGGTTACAGACATGAATTTTGGGAACAAAGGTAACCTTGAATTTCTTGATTTGAGTGTATTATTATTTTTTTTTTAAAGATCATCATCTTAACAGTGCAGTTTTCAGACAGAACAAAAATGGTTTTCAATAGGTCAGGCATGCTATTCCAGGGCGCTAAGGTAAAGAGAAGCATTGTTTTATGAAGTGACTCATGTGGGTGTATATATGCTGGTGGGCTGTGCTGCTAGCAATTCCGTGGTCTTCATCTGTATACCACTGCAGAGGAAGACAAAGGTCAGAAGAAGGAAGTCAGTTGTCTTCTTTTTAAAAAAATAATTCAAATAAGCTCTCACAAGCATACATAGAATTAAAACATTGTTTTAAGGGTGTGTGTGTGTGTGTGTGTGTGTGTGTACATATTCTAATGAAACTATCCAAGTGTATTTTCAGATTTGATTCAAAGGACACTTAGAACCACATCATGCATAGAAGAGAATGTTTATCCCATTAAGCACACTAGTTTTAATTAAGTGTTATCAAGTGTCAGATTTCTCCTACACTGCAGGAAGAGAAATGAGTTTTTCAAAAGCACTTTTTCCTAATGTAGGTTACCAAGGAACTAGAAAAATCTATTCCAATATTTCATATATATGTTTAACATAAGGTCAAAAGTCAAATGTATTATTTGCAAACACTTTGATTTTTCACTCGAATTTTCTATCTGGATGTCTGACATTTATGGAAGAGTGGATGATCTGAGACAAAAATTTATCAATGCATGCCACATTAAACAAGTGGGAGGTCACTATCAGGCAAACATATATTATGGAGGCATAAATAAACTTTTATAAAAAAATTGCCTAATTAAAGTATCATCTTTTCTTTGAGTTGTAGAAAATGAAACCTCGACCTCTTAGAAGAATCTGACTCCAAAAGACATATAAACGGGTGGGTTTTGTTTTTTGTTTTGTTTTGTTTTTTGGTATTAACTGTCCCACTCTGATTCAGTGGGCACCATTTGAACTGATCACAGAGCAAAGAGGTGTGTGTGTGTGAGAGAGAGAGAGAGGAGAGTGAGGAAAAGTAGGTTTTCTACCTAATAACGGCAAGAAAGCATTTTATACAAAAATATTTAGTGCACCACACACATGCGTATACATATAAATATACAAACACACATTTATATATATGTTATACACACACACACACACACACAAAACATCTTTTCTTTTTTCTTCTTGATCTGAAAATGAATCTGACTTAATACCTAGAAACAGCTTACTGTATAGGCAACTGTATAGGAAATAGCTCTAGCTATTTCCAACTCTATAAAACAAGCCTAATTGTCTATTGCTCGTGGTTGTTCAACAAAAGATAACGTTGCAATTGCAAAACCTGAAGCATGCCAATTATTAATGTCCCACTGTTAGAATGGCTAGTAATATGTACTAGACAGAAATGGATTTTCATATTGGATCTGAGCTATTATCATGCTGGTTTCACTTTAGAATTACTCTGCCACACATTTACTGAGTAAGTGATTACTTTTGAATCCAAATAGGGAGAGACTGAAGAACCACATGGGTAGGAGAGCACTGTTTTGACACTCCCAAGATATGCAATATTGTGCTTCTCAACCCCCAGTTCTCTAATCGTTTTGAACATTACTCTGTCTATGGCTTAAGGATATCACTTCTGACTTCTCATTGGACAAATAAAAACCCTTTCAATTCTGTCCCTGTCTCCTGGCACTGTTTGACGAGAAGGAGCCGGGACAGGGGAAACCAAGACCCCACCAGCAAGTTCTCCCTTTGGCACCAAGTTTTGTGATACCATTGCTTGGAAATCCACTCCTGCATCCACCAGGGCTTTGGAGATCTGAGCTGACTGCTGAAAGTGAACGTTATCTGCAAGGAGAGAAAGGAAACACAAAGTAACTAATAGCCGCTCCTTTTCTGATGGGAAGGGTGGGAAAGGCACAAGAAGAAAGGGACTATTTGAAGTTCTAGGACTTAGCATCCCATTTAGCCCAAGACAAGTGAGTTGTGGAAAGCAACACTGTTTTATTGAAGTAAATGTAACAGTCTTGCCCCTCATGCTTTTGTTTTGTCAGTAGTGAAATTGCAAACCTGTCTGTGATACTAAAAAGTCTAATTAACTGAAACTCACCATCTGCTGTTCCATGAATAAGGAGGTACTCAACTTGTTTAAAATTTTCAGCTCTGCTCATGACTGTTGAATTCTGGAATTGGGAAAAAGAATGTCATTATTCAAAAAAAGATCTGCCATAAACTGATTTTTCACTTCAGTTTACAAAATAAAATGTTTTCAGCTGGGGCCCCCTTTGATACAAAATATAGCAAACCGATATTTAAGCAAATGCTGTCTCCATGCATGGCAGAATGCACAGCATGCCCTGTGCCTGGGAGACAGGACTGCAAAGGGAGGATGCCACATCTTCTTTGCACACGCAGGCAGAGGGCACCTGCCACCAGGGCTGCACGCAAAGCCCCTTAAGTCCCAGATCCCAGATTGGCTGTGTCCTATGCATTAGCACAGGGCAGAGTCTCATATTAGCAATGTATGTTCCATGGGCTTATGCTGTAGTTCAGCCAAAAAGTGTATTGCCATGGCAACCGTGTGTCACATGGTGCCATACATGCTACATTTCAAAGAGCCTGTACATAGCATTTGCAACTAAACATACTCTGCAATATGTCATATGAACTTTGGTCCACATTGCTAGGCAATGAATGAGAAGCAAGTATTACCTCTTTTGGAACAGATGTTTAAAACCCAGGCAAATGTAACATATGGGAGGGGAAAGGGGAGCAAAAGATCAAGCATGGTCTTAGAAAATCGGTGGGTTGTTGTCTGCCTCATTCCGTATCAGGGAAAATCTTGCGATTGGATCAAGTCATTTCCAAATCAACCAGAGAAATAGGGCAACAAATTGGGAGGTAAGCTTTTCGAAGACTGGCCTTAGGGAGGCAGGACTTCTAGAACTGGGGTGGGGCCTCGGATGAGAAAGCCGTTGGAAACGCAGAACTGGTCATCTGATCTTGATTTGGGGATGTTTATCAAGTTGGGAGGAAGGCAAAAGTGTTACAGAGGCATCGTAGGGCCTTTGGGAGGGGTCAAGCTGGAGTTCGCTCCTGTTGTCTTCTTAGGGGCTGGGCAGACGGAGGGCCCAGCAGTTTTCCTATAGGTTTAAAAATCATCCAGCGATCATTCCTTTAGCACCTCGGTAAATCAAAGTCAACTTTACGAGTGCCAAGGTATGTATTTTACAGATCCCTTTGTAGCTAACACCAGCTTGGTGTTTTTGATGGGAACCCGGATGGTCTGGCAGGAAGGGGACAGGGCTAAGGTGTTGAATGTGGAGTCTAGCCCCAGCTTCAACATTGGTGAGCTGTGCGCCGGGAGACCTGCTGCTCCCTGAGTCTGGTCTTCTGTAGAACGGGAGTGTTTGTAAGAAGCACTGCTCTGTTTCACCCTGCCAACATTCCTCTGAGATAGGTCTACAGCAATCCTGCTTCCTCCATGGAGACCCCAAGATTCAGAAGCAGGAACTCACACTAGGTTACATCTGTAGGAAGTGTCAGAGCTGGACACAAAGTCTGATGGCAGAACCTCTTTTTACTTCCTATGCTGCCCCGAGGCCATGAAAATTCCAAACTGCTCATGATGTGATCTTCCAGCAAAGGAACAGTGAGAAGTAACTTAACAGGCCCAGAATCTGCCCCGCGCGAGTACGCTGGGTATCCCTGCGCAGGGTTCCCATGCCTGTGTAGACTGAACGAATCAAAAGAGAGCGGGTCTGCAAGGCCCCCCAGCCCCCGAGATTGGCAAGGCGGGTTTTTCCCCCTGTACAGCTGCTGCAGAGCCCAATGCAGCAGCCAGAACCCGGAGCAGTGTCCGCTCTCCAGAGAGGAAAGGGTCAAAATCAATCTCCCCCAGAGACAGAAGAGGATTTTGAGCTTGAGCTGCCAGACGCTGGGGCTCCCCCACCGCCAGCAAACACCCATCATGTGAGCCACAGGCCCCCCACCCCGGCCATCCTCTGGCCAGTCCTGCTCACAGCCTTGCCCCCCAACTGCCTCTCGCTCTGCCGCCGTCCCCCCGCCAACCCCAAACCTAGCGCTCTGCTCCCCCAACACACGCAACTACCACATGGAGACCCGACCCATGCGGGCAGCTCTGTCCTGTCGCCTCACCTCCAGAAGCCCCACGGGCCTTCCTGGCTTGGCAGCTTGAACAGCGAAAGCTGCTCCTACAACCTCCACGAGCCATAAAACTGAGAAATGTCATTGAAACATAGAGTAATAGTTAGGAGACATATAAATACGCAGGACAGTTAGCAAGGAATGTGATAACTACTGGAGTTTGGACCAAAACAGTTTCTGGCTGCCTTTTTTTTTTCTTAAATGGAGTGAATACAGGCTGAAAGAAGACAATTTTTATAAACAAGTAAAACCCTGAGCCTAAGATAAATGTTGTGATGTACACACTGTAGCTGTGATGAACTAGACATGGTGAGAAATGCAACATACTGAGAAAAAGACGAAAACTGTGATAAAAGTGTCATGATGCAAATTGTTTTACATTAACAATATTACACTACAAAGAAAGAAAGACAAATACTTTAATGCAGCACGAGAAAAATAAAACAAAAGCCTCCCCTGCAATGGTGAGCTAGGTGTGCCCTTTCCATGCACGCTTCCCCCTGCTCTCCGGGAGAAGCTTCCAGAGGCGCCTCCCGGCGTGAGGTGGCCAGGCGGAAGGGCAGCCTGGAGGTGCACACCCGCTCTTGGGCTCTCAGGCGGCAAGCAGCATCCCCCCACTACCCCAAAGATGCGGCTGTGGCACCCTGTGTCTGGCGCCACCCATCATTCCCTACTGGACCGAGAATCCTGGCTTCTCCATCAAGAGAGACCCTCGGTGGTCCGCTGTGTGGAAACGACCCCCGGAGCCAGAGAAAGAGATGTGTGCCTTAACAGAAGATGTGGTTAATAATCGGAAATAATATCACCATGCTATTTTAACCCAGGAAAATAGGATAATCCCCATTTGCCTATCGATGGAAACAGAAATAGAAAAGGAAATGGATGACTAAGTTAGAAGCCGAATAGTCTATCACCAGCTACTAAAAAGGAAGCTCAGAGTGATAAATGGGCAAGGATGCAATGGTGGTGCAGTTGGCACTCTCCCGAGGCTAGAAACTTCCGGAGAGCCCCGCTGTCAGCAACAGTCTGGCAAAACGAAGTGGGAAGGATTGGTCCAGTGGCAGTGCCGATTCCACAGCATCTCTGTGAGGAGCTTTTCCTTCAAGCCCTGAGAAGAACCATCTGTAGCTGCTTGTTGGATCACGCTGGTTCCTCAGTTACCTTCCAGCAAATAAATCTTTGTATTTTTGAAATAAAGAGAGAGCTGACAAGAGCAGGGAAGTACTGTAAGGAACAGAAGTTCTAACAATTTTTAAGCCACCCCTGTGCCATCGAGGAACCGTAAGGACAACTGGCTTCCTGAGGACGATGATGGTGGCAGGTGCCGTGTTTCGAAAGCTTCTCTCGGGGCAGGCACAGGGGTCCCATTTAATTCTTTCAATAACCTGTGAGGTCAGCTTGATGATCCCCGTTATCCAGATGAGGAAACTGAGGTCCAGAGAGCTTAGGTCACCTCCCCGAGCTCACACTGTTAGTCAATGGTGGAAACCAAATTTGAGTAGAGGTCCAACTCCGAAGTCCGTTCCCCTTAACCTTACGTCCTCGTGGCCCTTCACGGCCCAGCCAACAACTAACTCATCACCATTTCCAGGCTTTCGTGGAAATGGCAAACGGCCACTGGTCTAATGGACAACCCAGCACGTCAGTGAGATACTACGGGTGCACTGACTTCCTCTGTGCTTTCTCCCGCTTGCAACCAAAACCTCACAAACAGCATTAAGTAATGCTATTTTGGGAAGCACCATTAATGCCTCAGAAAACAGAGGCCAGAGAACATTTTTAAGAAAAAAATTATTTCAACCCACTATATCGGATGTTCTACTTGTTTACATCTATCAAACAACTGTATCTGGGAGATGCCAAGGGAAGAGAGAGCCCGTCAACCCGACAGGGGGCTCTACCTCAGTCCTCACCAAGCAACACTGGCTTCTTTAAAGATCACACAGCAGTCAACATTTTATCAGCACTCAACAAACAAGTTAAGGTTTGGCTTAAATCTGAAGGTCTCTCTCCCTTTGGCATATTCTGGGATAATAGAACAAATGTCAAATCAGTACAAGATGGCATATTTACAAAATTGCACCCTGTTTTGCATAACCTAACGATGCAGCAGTTCTTAAGGATTGAACATTTCAAATCTGCTAGCAGAAGACTGCCAAATCTATGACTGTTTCATACACTTGCCAAAAGCCTATCAAATTTTGAGCAAAATGCAAAATAAATCTCCTCTACAAGTTAAATCAGTCCCTTCTGTGTGTTCCAGGCTGCCCTCTTCTCTTGGCAACAAGGCTCAGGACTTGGGCCCCATTTCTCCTGCCCTTGATCTTCTGCTTCTTTGCGGATCCATACATCCATTCCCGGCCCAGTCTACGTCCTGCCTTATAGGCCACCATTTGGCCTGCTCTCCCCACAGCCCCGCTTCCATGTTATCCGTCGGTTCATCCAACCTGCTTCACAGATCCCCAGAAAACCAGCTGTACCTGCTACTCATGTGTGGCTGTGCTGCTCTGTCGTGTCCCTCTCTGCAACCCACGGAGAGCGTCTACGCTCTCCCTCTTTATTTCCGAAGTCTTTCTTTATTGGCTTCACACAAGTGCCCCTCCCACTCCTACCCCTCAGCATCTACATGTTATGTAACATTTTTGTGCCTCAGTTACAGTGTCAATAAATGAAGATAATTAGAGCACATATCCCAGAGAATCTGAGGGAGAACCGAACCTAATAATCTGAGTAAAGAGCTTAGAATCGTGTCTGCCCGTAGAAGCAAGCACTTAAGGAATAAATGAAAAAAAAAAAATGAATGAAATAAATGAAACTGGATTCCTCCCCGGCACGAGTTGAGAGGAGCTGGTGTGGGGGGAGGGAGGTGAAACACGGACTTCTTGGCCACTTCCCTACCCATGCTCCCAAAGGACAAAATCCTTGGGGCTTGTCACAATTAGGGAACAACTTCTCTTTTCCATACATAGGGGGCACTCTGTCATATCTGAGTTCATGCTTCACTACCTATCTCTTTTATTTCTCTTTGATAATTTTGTGTGCATGTCTTTGCTCACCAACAAGGCAATCAACTTTTGAACAATGAAAATACCAGGCACCTTGAATGGGTGAGTGTAAGTTTACTATTTGTTCATTTTTCAAATAGGTTTGACTAAAAAACCTACGATTGACCACACGGAAGACCACCTGTCAATGTTAGTGAGCACCACACTCCTCAAGGTGTAGCTGCGGTTGCTATTTGCTTTTTGCTATTGGGGGTAAGGGTTTTCTCGTTGCCTATCTAATTCCTTTGCTTAAACCTGCTGCCATTTTGGTCTGCTGTGGGCTGAGACTCACTGCAGAAAAGATGTTTCCACAGAGCTCCACTGCCTTTGAAAGTGTTTCTTTCACTTGGCAGTAGGGGGGTGATTATCTACAAAGGATCTCATAGGGTCACTGCTCATGTCACTGCACTGGGTCTGAGCCTTAATCCCGGGTCTGCTAATCTATATGGTATCTTTGTATGAATAGGAAAAAGCATTCCTTTTGGTTGTGTGCAGCCTCAGACGTCCATGCCTTAGTGAATGAAACGTGGACTAGTTTTCAGCAGTGCACAAGCTGAACAACTATACATGGCATCCCTACCTGTTCCACTGGTGTATACAAATGGTTTCTGGAATTTCTTTCCTAAATCATAAGTAGGACCTTTCTTTCATAAAATGTGCTTCCCTTGGTGATACGGGTTTCTCCAAATTCTTCCAAATCTGGGTCATCAATGACCTAATAATGAATCCTTTTTCTCATTTTTTTTTAAATTAAAGACTGTCTTTTCTTAGAAAAGCTATAATTCTGGGATCGACGATTCATTAGCTGCAAATGTAGGCAAAGATCAGGGCCTTGCTTATTCTACGTCTTGGTCCTTCCTGTCCTGGATGTCCTGCAGTGAGTCAGTGGGCCAAATGAAATGGGAATCATTTTCAAAATATTTCCTTCTGACCCACAGACAGGCACAGGGTACTGAAAGCCTCTCAGGAATTGTCTTCTTTGTCTTTTCCAAAAGGGTGGGAGGAGGCGGGGAGAGAGGGAGAGAAGGGGAGAGAGAGAAATAAAAACAACCTGGGAAAGAAAAGTAAAAGATGGGGTCCAGAGGGGCAGCTGGGGCCTTGGAGGAAAATAGAATCTTTGAATGTATTCTTGCCAGAGACAAAAGCACAGGCTTATTTAAAAAACAAAGGAGGGCAGCTTTATTCTAAAGCCTGCTGTGCACCAAATATAGGCACTTAGATTCGGCTCTCCACGGCTCTCCACACTCGGAGGAAGCAACTTACCAGGGTGGAAACAATTCAGTGAGCGTTCTTCGCCTCCCTCTCCCTCCACACCTTAACTCTCGCCCGCCCAAATCGTTCCTCCGAGTAACACATTGGGAACCTTTAGCTCCCTGGTACTGGCAGTTTTAATGTGTCCATTGCCAGCACTGAATCTGGTGCCAAGAAAACTCGACTTCTGGCGTGGAAGGATTAAACAGTCCTCGGGTGCCATCTGTGCAGTGAAGTGGAAGAGTGACTCGGTGCACCCAGTGTGCGTGTGTTGCCATTGGCAGTGGGAAGTGACTTCTATTTACATGACTACCTCATGCAGCGAACACCTAAGGGGAGAGACGAACATGGCCACCTCCAGGAGGGTGGGGGTTGGGGGGGGTCGATGCAGGGATGAGGAGCCTCTGGGGAAATCTGGAAAAAGACTCAGGATGAAAGGGTAGATTAGAATGAATCATCCTAAAGAAGGAAGGGCTGGCTGAAAAGGAAAGACCTTGCTGGCTGTCCGCTGATGTGTACCGAGAGAAGTAGAGAATCAGGGCAGATGCTGTGGACGTCCCTTGATGTCAGGGTTTGGACTTGACCCTGTGCCTCTAGGTTCAAAGACTTTTCGGGATGGGATTTTAGAAATGAACTTTTGACTCAACATCCACCCTGTTCTAGAGCCAGGGCTGGGGTCCTGGATAGTAAGTACATCTCTGTTTTAGGAATTTTAGGATTTGGGGTACTTGAGAAAGCCCTTCAGCAACTCAGCAAATATGGCATACCACAAGAGGGATGGCTTTCAAAGGTCAGCATCCTGGTCAGGTTAGGGACAAGAAAATTCCAGATGTAAGATGAGAGAATTGAGGGAGACAGGCAATTTTTAAAACAACATTTTCCTTAAAAAATTCTTCAATCAGGAAAGGTTTTTAAGGGTTATACTTCACACTGGGTCATCTAAAGAATTCAGTGTTGAGTAGAGATGTGAACAGTTAATCATCATGCAGAAGAGAAATGGGGGTTCGAAAGAACCATGGGTTCAAGAAAGAGAAACTGAAGATTAAGATACAAGAGAATGTCATGAGAGTCGAGAGGGGATGCCAGCCCGCCAGGAGAGCAGCACCAATTTCCTATTAAATGGAGATATAGGGGAAATGACATTGCAGGCAGAGGGAACAGAAGACAAGGGCATAAAAGGGAAAGGCCCAGAAACAGTCAGAGGACAATGACTATTACAAGCAGACTGGACCATTATAAGAGGGATGCTAAGCATCTGGTCGAAGAATCCAGTAGTCACATGGAGGATCCATGAAAGTGTTGTATGTGGAGCCGTGGGGATTAATCTCATGCCCTGTTGTGGTAAAGACGGGGACAGAGAAAGACAAGATAAGGGGACACCAATGGGGTTATTATTAGAAAAGCAGACAGTCACCTGACAGTGGTAATGCGGGGACTGATGAAGAACAAAAAGGACGTTTAAGGCAAGCTTACTGGACGTGGAGGAGAAAGAATGGGAAGAATTGAGTCTGAAGTATTATGGAGGACAACTGGCAGAAATGGGGACAACCTGATTCCGGGGCTGCTTGGTAGCGGAAGTTGATCGGTGCATCTCACTTTACGGGTTGTTGCTTTTCTATCTTGACTGGAAAACACACAGGCAGACACGGACCAAGCCACGTACTCCTCCCTGCACCCCCTCTACCTAAGCCTTCCTAAACGAAACCGAAAGAGATAAAATGAAACTGTGTATACTTACGTTGGAAAACTAGAAATTTTATTTGAGTTTTACTGGGTTTTGATCACATAGCTTCAGAATCTATAGGAACGGTGGCATCTTATGAAAATGCACCCATACTGCTCGGAGCGAGGCACTCATACGAAGCCCGTGTATTGAGAGTTGTGGCCCAGATAAGAAATGGTGTTAACTTATTCTTGTTTTTCTTGCTTTTTAATTCATTGTCCCAAAAAGCGTTTTAAATTTCCTTTGGAGAATGTAAACCACGAGACGACTGACCTCGCCGTTTTCAACAACCATGACAGAGCAACTCAGGAAAGTTCTGGAAGGGCCAAAGTGCTACAAAGGTCTCTAGGAGTTAGGCTGGCACTTGTGGCTACCTCAGTGTGACACCAGAGACAGTGTTCTGGCTCAGCGGTGGCCTCCACACTAGCACACATGGCTGCCAACCATGGTGGCTTCCAGGCCGCATTTCAAAAGCTGTAGCCTGAGAGCAACCGGCCACGGGTTCCCCGTCAGCCATCCCCACTGGAGGCTATGCATTGTGGCTTCCAGAGCTCTTCAGGGCACTGCCCAACCATACTCTTCACCTGCTTTACTCCAATCTTGTTTGAGCAAACTACATAGTTGGCTATGAATAGGAAAATTAAAAGCTTGTACATACATCTTAATTATAATACCATAGAAAATCTAATATATAGCTAAAGGTTTAAGGAGTCTTCTGGGCTTTAAAGGAATATGTCGAATTTGACATGTTTTCTAAATGAAATTTTTATAATTAAAGTAATTATCTGGTGTTGCTTTGTATTTCCAAATGAATGCATATTGTGACCTATATAGCATACGATAAAGACTTTAATTAATGCAGAATATAGTAGGGGAAGCTAGTGGAGTATCTCTAAACCACCTGTGTTATTTCTTTTTAACAAGAATTTTGTTGGAAATAAAAAATATATATTTTCTAGAATAGATACACTTAAAAATGTTCTTAAACAAACTTATAAATAGGTTATAAAATAGATCTAGTTTCTTATCTCTTACCCTGTAATAGTCAAGATTGTCCTCAGGAGTTGGGAGACCCATGTAACGTTCTGTATACACTGAGTCTGTGATGAAAAAAAATGTAAAAATAGTTAATTCATACAATAAACTTTTCTTTTTCTTACTGGGTGACTTTATGTGCTTTCATATGTCATTACTTGTGTGTGGGTCTGTAGCATCTCCCTCAGGAGCGTCTCTTCAAGGTCAGTTTTTTGTTTGTTTGTTTGTTTGTTTGTTTGTTTTGGCTTGTTAATGCAGCTGGACACCAGCTCAAACTCATGCTTTTCCATGCTCAGCTGGAACGAATGAAAGTAGAGGGAGATCAAACTAGATGATTTAAAACCAGTCAATAATCCATCTACTGAGGGTGTCTGGGTGGCTCAGTTGGTTAAGCATCTGCCTTTGGCTCAGGTCAGGATCCTGGGGTTCTGGGATCAAGCCCCACTTTGAGCTCAGCAGGGAGTCAGCTTCTCCCTCCCCCTCGGTCGCTCCCTCTTCCCCTTGCTCTGCTCTCTCACTCATGCGCACTGTCTCAAATAAATAAATAAATCTTTAAAAAAAAATCCATCTGCAAAAAAATCAAATGTTAAGAGCTGAAAAGTAAGGGCTTTTACCATCATCATCTGATCCTTTACCATGATCATCTGATCCAAAATAACCTCTCTTGAATTTTTGGTCCTGACACAAGCGTATGCCCTAATTTTCTTTTGGAAATCCCTTAATGTTCAATTACTAGTTGCTTATTTAAATCATATTTTGGGCAGTTTAAAATTCATTATAATGAAAACAAAGAGTTAAGTTATCACTTATTCACGGAAGATCCCTGTATTAGCTCAGTTACTCCATCACAATGCAAGTCAAACATTTGTTTTGCCCATTTTGTGGCAAGCCCTCAATTTTGGGATTATAACAATTGTGTATTATGAAATAAATCACACTAATATCTGCTGAAATGAAGTAAGCTCTTTTATCTATAAGTATGGCTAAAAACAATATACATAATTGGTTTGGTTATTTTGGATAATGAAACATATTTTTGCCCTATTTTTAAAAATTTTATAGATATATTCTAAAATAGACATGAGAAAATTTTACAATTTTCTGTGGCTAAATTCCAAAATAACTTTAAAAATCTGAAGTAATTGCTTTGAAAGGTGCCCCCTCCAGTGACCAGATTATAGTAAACAGATTAAATATAAAATAATATGCTGTCATTGTGCTGTTTAGGTTAATGATGAATTTCACTGCAAATCGTATAGGTAGTTCAGTACTGATCTCATTAATTCTTTAAATGAATATATCATCTAAACAACAACCTTAAGCAAAACTCTAACCCTTTCTGAATGACTGGCATCATTAAGAACTACACTGATAATGAGTGTTAGTTATTTCACATGTATCCTTTATGCCTGTTCTATGGAAATCAAAATACGTCTTTCAAAATGAGTAACCTCAACATTTTATCCTTTTGATTAAAAGGAATACAGAATATATGTAATTTTACATATCTAGAGGACACTAATACAGAAAATACAATATTTTAAGGGACATTTAAAAATACAAGATCTTCATAAAATGTTCATATCTTTCAACATTTAAATATGAATAATATAGGTTGGACATGTGAAAGGAGGTTTGAAAATAGCCTTTAAGGGCAGAATAAATTTTTCCTGAAACAACAGCAGACTTCAATTCTTGTCCTAGAACATTATACCTCTTTTTTATTATGTTAATCAGGCTTACATTTGTGAGAAGAGCTGAAATATATTTTTTTCTTTTTTAGAGAGAGAGAGAGTGCGCAAATGTGTGTGCATGAGCGACGAGGGGAGGAGGAGGCAGAGGGAGAAGGACCAGCGCAGGGCTAGATCTCACAACCCTAAACAGAAATCAAATGCCTAATGGCTGAGCCACCCAGGCACCCATGAAATTTTAATAAGAGTATTTTAAAAATACATAATATAGGTGCTGTAAACTTTTACAAATGCACCTTTGAAATACCAGTTATGTATTCCTTTTATCTGATCTGTGAGTAAAATTTCTCAAATTAATACATATGTAAGATCTCTAGAAAGTGCTCATGTCTAGAAAGTTGACTTGGTCTAAATATATTTAATGAAGTTCTTTTATCATTATACTTCTAAACTCACAAAGATGGCTTCTATTATTTTATTGACCACCAGAGGTCTCCAAAAACAAGCTATCCAACAGCATAATTAGTAGGAAGCAGGAAAGTATTATGAAAACAAATCCATTGTGTGTGGACTGAATCAGAAGTATGATTTCTAATTTTTTTTAACAGAAAGATAGAAATATATACATATATGTGTATATATATATATATACATATATGGATATATATATGGATATATATGTATATATATATACACATATATATGTAAATATATTACATTGGATGCTCTTGGCCTTTAAAAAAGGGTTTCCTACAAGATTGGTACTACCACACGATGGGGGGAAAATATGTAATGAGCATATTTGTTTCAATGAGTCTATCACATAAAGTACTTGAGATGGGGTCTGAAAAGATACAGGAAAATAATTCATCTTCTCACCACCTCTGACTCTTTACCCCTACCTAGTATTCCAGTGTTTACTCTCTCCCCCTGGGGAATTAAAGTCTTACGTGTGTATGATGCCTTATAGAATTATTTCTCAGTGATGAAGAAGAGATCCTAGAGTGGTTTTCACTAACTTAGAGACAGTGGGGGAAATAAAACAACCAGGAATAAGACAACCCAGGAATTCCCCCAATCCTTACTCCCGTCTTTCCATCCAAAGCCCTTCTTTATTTGACCTTTACTGGAAGAAAAAAAAAAAATACATGCTTCTTTTATTCAGTTAATATATGAAGCCCCAAAACCCAAACTAAAATAAGATAAGGAAGGGTTTATCTGCAGAAATGTAGCATTACGGATATTTTGAAATTTAGAAAACAGAATTTGTTGATAACTAAGTATATAGATAACAATACCACCTAGACTTTCACAATAGCAGAATAAGAGAGATCATTTGATTATAGGTATCTATAAGGCGCATCTACAATGAATAGGCTTATTTCCTATAGAAACAGTGAAACTCAAAAAGGAATGGTTTTGTCATTGAAACTTTAAGGTCAACACTCTGTATCTTTTTGTACCTGAAAGTAATGACATACCATAGTACTCCCACCGTGAGACGGGTGCCACAGCTATTCCACACTTGAACACGCCACTGCCGGCTCCCAGGACCATGGAGGTTACGTACCCTCCATATGACTAAGGAATAGAAATGGTTATTTTTATAGAGGTAAAGGAATTCAGGACATATGGTAAGCGAGTCGCAGTTTCCATATTTCTCACATCTTTATATACTGTGCCTCTTTAGAGATAGAAAGCATGGTAGAGAAGGGCTTAAATTGGCCTTAATTGGACAATATCTAAAGACTACACTTTCAGAGCCCTGGTCCCTTTGCTTGATAGGTCTAAGTGGGAAAAGCATCAAAAAATTGTCAGGCAGTACTTAAAGAAAAAAAGATCAATATACACTAGATCTTTACTGACTTTGACTCATTAGAAAAATCACCCGCCTTACCTCTCTCCTGCTCTCCTTCCCAACCCCTCTCCCTCTTTCTCTACCTTCCTTACCTCCCAAACCCTCCTCCTTAATCATAGTAAGCAGAGATATACACCTGACTAGCAGGGACTCACCACCTAGAGTTCTAAGACATTTTATCGGGGACTTCTTTGATTAAAAATGCCTGATTTTCATCTCCAAATATTTACATGCCAAAGATATATTATCATGCTCTGGGTTATAATCACTAACTATATGGACACAGATTCATAGCCAAACAACGACTCACCCAGCCCCAAATTGCAATCCGCTTGTCATCCACAAATCCCATTTTTGAAAATTGTCTAAAATACATGGAAAAAGTCCACGAATTAGTATTGCATTGTATATAGAAAACTAGCATAAGTACATAAGGACACAAATGTGAAACCCTGCCATTTGCTATTTGCTCCTGATGCAATCTAAGATTAATTACGGCCAACAATCAAATAAGCACCTGAGATGGATGTCTATTTTTTTTTTTAACTTAAGAGCCAGATGAACAAGGTTTACTTTTGTTGGAGTCCATAAAAATTTTGTCTGTGTGTGTGTGTGTGTGTGTGTGTGTGTGTGTGTTTGTGTGTATGATTCACAGAAAACAAATCCTGGCAGGTTTTTCACAGCTTTATATAAAAATTTGCAGCCCAGATGCACTTTTCTTTACATAATTGAATTTAAATCTCTCCAGATGTTTTTCAGTTGAAGAGAGGCTGCCCCCGCGATGGAGAAGTAGAGGGGCACAGAGAACATCTGGGCAGGGCTTAGGAAGGTCTCTGGGCCTCCTACCTGAGAACTTAAACACCATTCTCTAAATAAATCCCTTCTTCAGCTGGGTGTTGATTAGTTAGCTGAGCACCGTTAAGTAGGAAGCAATCTTTCCTTGATGGATTAAGAAGTCTTTTTGCCATTAAATTGTGCTTAGGATTTGTATCCAGTTAAAGAAATGAGAAAAATGTTTTGTGCACCCATGTTTTAAAATCTTTTACATCAAAAGGTAATTTGTTTGCTTTAAGAAGCAACCTAGCAAATGCGGCTCTTTAACCTTTGTAATACTGATGCGGGGGGGACCCTTGCATTGACCTATATGTGACTTTGGGAATTTTTGTGTTTTCAATTATAGATATGGCTTAGGTGGCCCCAAGTTAAACAGTATTAGAAAAAATTAGAAGTACGTCATTTTCAACTCATTATCTTCTCCCCGTAAACTTTTAAAACTTAGAATACATATATGTATAGAAATGTGCACCAAAGCGTGAGTGTGCAAGTTGATAAACCTTACAGAACAAGCATATCCTTGAACTGAGAGATAGTGCATTATCATGCCCCAGAAGCCTCTGGGTCATTTTCCCTTTGCAAAAGGAAAAAAAAAAAAGGAAATGTTTTCCTTTTATATGATTCCAATTTGTGCTTGGTTTTGGACTTTATATAAAATGGGTCATGCAGGAGATACACTTTCATGCCTGGCTTCTCTCATTCAACAGCCTGTGAGATTCATCTACACTGCAGTATACACCTCTCTTTAGTTGCTGAATTAGTATTCTACTGTATAAATACATGACATCTCATTAATCTTTTAAACTTGAGATGTATATTGCGGATACCCAATTATGTAATTTCGGATTTGAGAATCCCCGACACTCCACCCTCTCTCAGAGAGGATCAGTCTGGATAAATACAATTTTGGTTTTAAAATATGACAGCCCTACTCCTGAACCATTTATCCTCTCTCTTGACTTCTCTTTCTCTCTATTTGGCTTTGAAGGAAAATAGCTCATCGTTAACTATGGTGTAAGAGACTTAGAGACACTTAAATCAATTGTCCTCTTCTCTTCTCTTTGGTGGTTTCTGGTTTTTAAAGGCATTTTCCTCCACCCATCTCACCATTCATAATTTTTCTGGATTTCCTAGTTTATGATTTCATAACATTATTTTAAATCAACCACTTGTCATGCTTCCCCAGACATCCAGGCACTTGATTGTAGAAACTCAAAGACTGCATTTCCTATTTGCCAGTTGAGCACGGTTGAACTGGAGAAAGCATCTGAGTTGGAGTTGGAGACCTTGATTTAGATTATGACTTCCCCTGACAAATTACCAAACCTAAGAGCCTGCATTTTCTACCTGAAGCATGGGATACAGATCCCCACCTCCTAGGGGTGCTGTGCAGTTCCCATGAAAATGCAGGTAAAACATTGCCCATGTACACGTGTGCTACGTGGGAACCATTATTCATCAGTAACATCTCTTCCAAGCCAGACCACAACACTTATCTGTGGACTCATGAATAGAAAGCACCAGAATGAGATGTGATTCATACTTACTGAAGCTCTTATAATTGTGAGCAAAGATGGCTGTGCCCCACAATTCTCCCCCAATGCCAGAGTAACCTTCATCCCAACTGTAGGAGCCACTCCTAGGACAGATAGCTGTCACATGTAATGTAGCTTCCTATGCTGTGCAAGTACACTGGACTCCTTCACTTGCCATTGACTACAGGGATGGTCCACTCATTTAGTTAGATGTTTACCCCAGGGGAGCATTTATCCCTCAGTTTGCCCATGTGTTTGATGAATTTTGAGTCTCTGTTCCCAGAAGGTGGTAACACATATACCAACTCCTTTCTAGAGTCACAGAGAGGAATTTAAGAAATAAGTCTTTTTTAACCTTTATATAAGTCTCTAATGACATACATTTTTATCTAAGTGTTATATCGTCACTAAAAATGTACCCCAAACATAAATGACTTCCTCTAGGACACTTGACATTCTTTCCACTTTACAACTTTAAAATATAAATCGAGAGGGAAGAATCAGATGACCTTCGGATTCATCTCCTAGTCACTCACCTGGCTGCTTCAATTTGATCTTCAACTTCAAATGTTCCCAGTCTTCTGTTGACTGCGTGCATGATCTTATCTCCTTGGTAACCACTTCCTCTGCCATCAAAGCTAGCTACGATAATGTTTTCTGTGCTTGCAAGGTAAGTAGCCCAGTTGAGTCTGAAGATAGCGTCTGCTTTTTGACTACACGGGCCTGCATATCTGTGAAAAATCCCAAATTGTTAGCCTTTGTGGTTTTTCTGAATCAAATGAGGAGTACCTGTGTTTCTACTCCCTGTGGACAAGAAGTATGCGTCTTTCCCGACCACGAGGCTGAAATTGTGCCAGCCACCAGGGTGTCCAAAATGGTTCCTTTAAAACTTGGCAACATGACTATAATGGCTGTGTGTTTCTTTCAAAGATGCCCATCAGTTTTACCTTTGAAGATCAGTATCAAACACAGACTTCATAGGCCAACATTTTCTAAGTCGTATATTTCTTAGAAATCAAAGAAATAAATACTTAATAGTTGGGATAGGGATGTTGGGTTATGAAAAATTAATGAGGATGACAATAAATGCAGCTTTGACTATATCCTTTCTCTCTGGCTTGCAAGCACTCCTACACTACATGTGTATTTCCTAGGCTGGAACTTCCCAAAGGAGGGCTTGACTGCTGCGTGATATGCACTGCATTGCCCACCCCCCCCAACAAGTCCCAGCACAAGGTTACACACCAAGGCTCCACAAGTCACTGTGGAGTGAGCCAAGGTATGAACGACCACTATTCCACAAAACTTCAAAGCAGAAAGAAGTAGGCGATATTGACAACTGCATTCTATTTATCAACAAGCTTAACTCCCTGCTATCTGCAATCTGTACAGGCTAGACCCCACTCCCACACAGCTGGGTGCACAATCTCCAACAAGCCCTGTCATTGCCATGTGTTAATCAAGACAATTTCCCGATAGCTCCTTGCATCTCACTTAAACATGTCATCTTTGCACGATCTATGGGTCTCCTGGACCCAGACCTACTCCTGGACCCAGACCTACTGCCTCCCACCCCATCTCTCCTACTGGTCTGCTCACTGTCCCCTCCACTTGCATGCCTTTGTTCTTCCTAGGGATGGAAGTCAAAAGAACTTTGGTTTTAAACAAACATTGTGTTACTTTCACTGTAAACTAAATATTGTAACATTCTAAATTTAAAAAGAAGAATGCATTCATGCATTTCTTGGGAGAGTAAACATTTTTTAACAACGTGTGAAATGCCTTGGTCCTTTCAATGATTTTAGATTGTGTAGGGTAATAACTTCCCTTAATATTAGTTATGTGTCAAGTTACTCTACTCCCTAAGATTAAACAACGTTATTTTTAAAAACAGAAAACAGGGACGCCTGGGTGGCTCAGTTGGTTAAGCAGCTGCCTTCGGCTCAGGTCATGATCCCAGCGTCCTGGGATCGAGTCCCACATCGGGCTCCTTGCTCATCGGGGAGTCTGCTTCTCCCTCTGCCTCTGCCTGCCATTCTGTCTGCCTGTGCTTGCTCTCTCTCCCTCTCTCTCTCTCTGACAAATAAATAAATAAAATCTTAAAAAAAAAAAACCCAGAAAACAAAGATTTGGACATCTAAGAATGGGAAGAGGAAAACAACTAAAAAGAAACAGGCAGTAAATTTACCATGTTTTTTCCTCACTGGGGAGTTGAAGAGGATAAAAGTCTCACTCTTCTCTAAAATATCTGCTTCCCTTATTGGTGCTGAAGCCCAAAGCAAATTAATGTCACTGTAGTCAAAGTTAGGCTTATTGAAAATCAAACAGCACATCTGGAAGTTTAAAATACCTTTTTCTCTTTCTCTGAGGTTTTATGTTTTGTTTACATGGAACTCTAAATACAGGGCAACAAGGCTGTGTTGGATGCTAACACCCCTCTTCTGTTATTGGTGGTGGTGGTTACACAGAAAAGTGATGTTCTCGAGTCTCAGTTTCCTTTTCTGTATAATGGGCCCAATAGAACTCCTCACATCTGTTTGCAAATCACCTGGCAGGCAGCCCACAGCGGGCACATTTGTTGGGTTTGTTTTTGTCTTATTTTTATACAAGGAAATGAGACAATCTAGGACAGGAGGAGTGGTGTTGTGGCATTATGTGTGAGGTCAGGGCAATTTTAGGAGGATTAAAGTAAAATGTATTCCCAATCATTATCAAAAACATTTTTCGAAGATGCCACATTTAGAGTTTGCATGAGTTTACATTTACTGGTCAAAGATGTGTGATTTCAGAACTTTCTCTGAGACTTGAAGAAGTCTGGATTGTAATGAACAATTTCCTATATCACATCATATCTTCACCAAAGAGGGGAATGAAAGCTACCAGGCAGTGGTATTTCAGGAACTAAAGGCAGAGAAACTTGATGTCTTAATGCATCAAAAGCCACTAATGGTGATGTTTTGGGCAAGTTTAGGGGTAAAAAAGTTGTGAAGGCTATTAATACCCATCTCTCATGTTAAAATGTCTATAAGGTAAAGATAAAACTGGTGACCTAAAATTCCTTTGGCATTCCCTTGTAGTTCAGAGAAAAAAATCAAAACTAAAGGACCATATGTCATTACGACAGAAGGGTGTCTTTCTTCATTCGAAAGATGGTAGAAAACAAAGGTTTGGTTATGTGATTGCAAAATGGAAGGACATAGTCAAATTGCTTCACAATGATTCAGGAAGAGACAAAGGATGCATTCGACTTTAATTTTCTGTAAGCTGCACTGAGTAAAAGATGTCTAATGGTTAACTTCTAATGTGTTCCCTCCTCTTGAATACTTACACATCTATTAGTAGAGGATATTTCTTGGATGTATCAAAATGAGGAGGCAAGATCATCTGATACCAGAATTCTAAACAAACAGAAAGATTAATTAGTAAATTATGAGTAACTATTAGCACATGATCTAGGTGTCTGTGTGGTAATAAATCATAGCTAGTATTCAACAATTTGTTAAATTATGATAGAAAAAGAAAATGAACTGCTTGGATTCAGTATGTCTTTAAGATATGAAAATATTCTCTTTCAGGTTAGAATACTAGTTAAGATGAAAGCAATAAAGTTGCTTCTAATATATCTATTAAATATATTGGTGCCTTGTAAAATAAAAGTGCATCTTAGAATTGCTAATGTTTTGTTTTTATGATTCTGTTCTTTGGCATCTGATCTACTTATCTAGTTTGTTTACGGCTTATGTTCTAAGTTTTCCTCCAAAATGTTTTCCTCTTCTTGAATTTCCTTGAAGATGTTTAGGATTTTTAGTTGGCCCTAACTCTATTTTAAAATTCTGATTTAATAACATTTTTGTAATTCTTATTGCCATCCCAGACCGCAAAGCTGAGTTCCCATTTTCAGCTCTGTGTTTCACAGAATGAAATCAGGTTTACATGGAGCAGACTGTTGTGTACGTTCTGTATGATCTGCAGATCTGTTTAATTCTCTGTGCTTGATTTAGCATCAGTTTAATAAAATTTGTCCCTAAATAATGAATTGGTTTCCTTTGCTCCCAAGTTAAGATGATGAGTTAGATTAATAAATCTTAAAGATAGAGAGATCGAGAGATGTCCTATATTTTAATCAGATTATTTCCAGCTTCAGTAGATTTAACCTATAGGGGAAAAAAATCCATATCTCTAGAGCTGCTGCTTCTTTATGTTTATCTTCCTTTTCTTTCTTTCTTTTATTTTTTTTTTGTTGTCGTTAAAATTATTTTAGTTGAGGAAAAAAGAAAGGTTTAAGAGTAAGATCTTTAGATAGATAGATTTCTCTTCAATTTGGATTTTATATTTTAAATATATCCCTTCTGACTAAATGTGCTTATAAGAACAAAAATTTAAGTCTTTCTTCTTTTTCAGTAGAATGTCAAACTGTGTCGATCATGATGTTTTAAATAAATATGCCAAACCCACCATTTGCTCTCTCCTTTGAATTTGTCCTAGTTGATTGGAAGTGTTTTTAGTTCCATCTCTCTGAAGATACTGTCCCCACCCCGCTTTGCGTGGGGTGCAAGGTTCTCTGTAATCCCCAGTCCCACCTCCTTCTGCCCCTCCTCCTCAATGCCCCCCTACCCCACTTTCTGGAGTTTGAACGTACAACCACCTCCCAGCTGGACTGTCCATCTCTGGCAGACCCAGCCTCACTCTCCTCTCTATCAGTTTGTCCATCCAACCCTGTGGTTTCCCTGAACCAAAAACTTCCGGGGTCCCCCACTGTCTTTCAAATCTCAGCAGCACCTTCTGTCTTAGCAGCCCAGGTAGCTCTCCCGAACTCTAAGTCCTTGGCCATCATGCCAGCAGCACCAGCATCACCTAAGAGCGAATTACAAACCCTGGGTTCACCCTGCCTTGTTGGATCACAGATCCTTAACAAGGTGCCAGGTGATTCATATGCATGTTGAGTTTGAGTAGCCCTGCTCTAAGCTCCTCTTCACAAGTACCCTCTACTCCCCAGCGCTTTTCCTGCCATTTAAAATTGGATGGATCTTTACTACTGGATCTTTTTGCATCTTTTCTATTATTATCCTATATTAAAAAAAAAAAACAACTTAAATCAATCTTGATGGATCCCCCCATCTCCCATGAGTAATTAGCTCTTAATGGGAAAAACAACAAACAAATACAAATGAACAAACTACAAACTTTCCTACTCAAAGATCACCTCTCTTCACCCCCTTTCTCAGTGGTTCCTGCATACCATTCCTGCTCAGGCATCCAGCACAGGGACCAGGCTAACTGTGGCAGGGAGAAGGTCAGGAAAAATTCAAGATTTCGCTCCTGAGACTGAAGTTTTAACATTTTACAGCTAACCTTAATTTTTGTATACAATCACTTCAGATTTTTTTTTAATCTCTTTGGGTTAAAGGTAAAATATATCAGGATAACACTAAGTTAAACACTCAATTAATATTTTATAGTAGAACAGAGTTACTAATAGAATGAAACCAAAGTAGCAATAGTGTGTTTTTTTTCCAAATCCTTTCCTTTTAACAGAACAACTTTTACATAGAGTGGTATTCTATTTTAAAACAAAAAGAATGAAAAACTAGCAGTTCTCATAACAAAATTTTTCATAGGAAAAATAACCTCAAATTAGAAGTACATATAACATAAAATGTGTATTTTCAGATCAAGTTATCACGTTTAGTTATATTTTTATTGGTGTTTCCAGGAACAGTTCTATTCCTAAAGAAATTCAACTTACTTGTTTCATTCAAAATAATGAAATCCAGTTTTTTTGAGGGCATCTGGACATCCTGCAGCATTTTATCCAAAGCTGAATTGTCTTCCAGGACTCTCAATTCTAAACAAATATTCCAGACGGCAGTAATTCATTAACAATGTGAAGAATTCGGATTATGCAAAGGGCTAACGAACAAGTGGCAATTCACTGATGGGACTATACATTAGATTATAAACCTTGAGTTCAAATCATTGTTTAAACACTAAAGCCAAAAAACAAAACAAAACAAAACAAAAAAAACCCCACAAAACACACACCTCACTATGCTAAGTACATGTTGATCCTATTCACACACACTAAGAAGCAAAGGAAAAGTAAAATGCTAGAAAATACCTTTATCGTCACTGCTCCTATGCAGAGTATAGAGGGGCAGACCAGGGCCTGTTAACAGGAAAAATGTTTTAGGTGAGGCTTTTTAAGAAAAGAAGGAAACATATTTTTTTCAAAAATGGTCATTTGATACCACTTAACTTTGATATGATTTTAATACCAATTAACTGTGATAGAATAAATATGATCGTAGATGAGAGACTTACTAAGTTAGCTGTTTTTCCTCTTCTTTGAAATAGGGGCATTTTTTTTTTTTAAGATTTTATTTATTTATTTGAGAGAGTGCATGAGAAGAGGAAGGGTCAGAGGGAGAAGCAGACTCCCTGCCACGCAGGGAGCCTGATGCGGGACTCGATCCTGCGACCCCAGGATCATGACCCGAGCCGAAGGCAACCACTTAACCAACTGAGCCACCCAGGGGCCCAAAATAGATGCAATTTGAGATTAAGAAGGATTACCGAAAAGTTACAGGGCTCAGTAGAATGAAGCAGAAACTGAACCTCTGGCCCGGTTTAGTGCCTTGGGCATGCTGCCGCCCGTTTCCTCAACTGTGAACTAAGCCAAAGGACCCCTGACACTGCTATTTTTCTTTCCCAGCCCTAAAGCGACAATCTGGCGATGACCACGCCAGCTCTCCGGCCCCGCCCCCTTAGGGCGGAGCTCTGGAGCCAGCCTCAGCCAGGAGAGGGGCGGATTTCCCTCCCGCTGCCTCCACCCGACTGAGTTGTGAGCCAGGGGGCACATCTGCACAGTGCCTCACTTGGATAAGCGATTCCTTTTTGGCATGCAAAAGTGTTTTTCTCGCATGAACATATCTTCACTATTTATCCCAACTGTGGTAGTTGCAGACTAGAAGGTAATGTATAGAAAAGCTATTTGGTGAGCTATTTAATTTTGATGCATTTAGATAATATTAATGTTTTACTCTTGATCAGAACCACAGTGAAGGCATTAGAAAGACCTGGGTTTGAATCCTGGCTTACCTACTGTTTACAATATATTTATGTTTTGATCTCTTTACATATAAAAGGAGAATAATATCTACTTTATAGAGTTTTCTTAAGAATCAAACAAGACTACAAATATAAAACTTTTAGCACAGTTCCTAGTATAAAGTGTCTGCCCAAGCAATGGTGACTAAAAACAGTCACAGGAAAAAAAAAAAAAAAAAAAAAGAAAGAAAGAGAAAGAGAGAGAAAGATGTAATAATAAAGAAAATGTGCTAGTAAATAAGGTTCCGATAGGTGGTTTGGAGATCTCTTTCCCGTAAGGGATAGTTCTTTTTCAGAATATACAGAATCTTTCATTTTGAGAAGTCTTCTAGTAGAGGGCTTATTGGAGGGCTCAGGAGGACTCAGGAGTGGAGACCTGTGCTTGAATCCTGTTGTGCCTCTTATTAGCTGTGTGACCTGTGGAGGCGCCGTTGTCCGTCCTTGCCAAGTTTCTTCATTAACAATAAAGAAAACAATAATAAAAAAGCAACAGAAGATGGAGCCGTGAGCAGGGTGGGTGACAGACACTACCCACATACATTTTTCTCATCTAAAGGGGCAAGTGCACAAAATAATAATGAAAAAAATCTACAATAAAAAATAGGTGTGGGGCACCTGGGTGGCTCCGTGGGTTAAGCCACTGCCTTCAGCTCAGGTCATGATCTCAGGGTCCTGGGATCGAGTCCCGCATTGGGCTCTCTGCTCAGCAGGGATCCTGCTTCCCTCTCTCTCTCTCTGCCTGCCTCTCCATCTACTTGTGATCTCTCTCTGTCAAATAAATAAAATCTTAAAAAAAAATGTGTGTGTGTGTGTGTGTGTGTGTGTGTGTAAAATGAAGTACCTCAGCTATACATAGTCTCCAGTGTATGTATATTTCTTGTGCGTTCAGTCAAAAGCAAGCCATGCAACTCTCTTGGTTAGAATGGGAGGAAAGGCGGTTAACTTACCACTTAGATGTGCTTGAAGAGAAGGAGGCAGGTGATTTCAAGAGCTCCTCAGATTCAAGAGGAGAAAACTAAGCAGGGCAGAAAGAGTGTTTCCCAGACTGGACACAGAAAGGGAAAGATGGGCAGAATGAGCCAGGAGGGAGATGCCTGGGTGGCTCAGTTGGTTGCCTTTGGCTCAGGTCATGATCCCAGGGTCCTGGGATCGAGTTCTGTATCAGGCTCCCTGCTTAGTGGGGAGCCTGCTTCTCCCTCTGCTCTAAGCTATCTCTCACTTTCTCTCTCTAACAAATAAATAAATAATCTTAAAAAAAAAAAAAAAGAACCAGGAGAGTGGTAAGAATGTTGTCTGAAGAGTGGAAGGAACGAAGTCAGCTGGTGAGTGGAGAGCAGGAAAAGCGTGCAGGCTGAGGGAATGCAAGGAACCACTTCAGATAGACAGACAGACACGGTGGTACCTGGGCTGTTCTCCCCTTGGCAGTTCACACTTACCTGAACACCTCAGCTGATAGTACTTTGCCTCTTTGCTAAATGATACAGAATAGTACTGACACCTTTCTGGATTTAGCTCACAACTCAGGCATGTCATCTTTGTGTAGTCGCTCAGTTGGATTCTGTAAATCAATGGTGGAAATTAAGTGCTTGATGAAAGAATAAACGAAAAGACAGAATTGAATAATGCCATATTCTAGTTTTAAAGGTATCAGAATGCTAAGGCAATGCTCAAAACATTTTCTTTTTTAATGTGCAACAAATACACGAATTAATTCATAATAACCTCAAACTTTCCATTGTTTGGGAATAACACAAAACATCTAATAAAGTCATTCTCTGTTGTTGACACCTGGAGTTTGATTTATAAGGGAATGAAAGTGCTCAATTACAACTCCAGTTACTTAAAGCACGGAAAAAAACAAAAACAAAAACAAAACAAAACCAGAAATTGTTCTTCAGCTAGAAAGACTCAAGTCAACAATTTGATTCAGTTCTTACTTATAAAGATTTCTTCCTCCTGGCATTCCTTTATATTCATTACTGATGTAGTATCTGGGAAGAAAACAAATAAAATATATATTAATTATGTTTTTAAAGAAAGTCAAGTACACTCTATTTGACTCAACACAAAACATTCATGCTGGCCCTTATCATATCATTCTTCCCTGCCCCCTCTGCCCCAGAAGCCATATTTCCCATCATCTCTAAATAAGAGATTTCACTTTTTGTTTTAAAAGATTTTATTTATTTATTTGACAGAGAGAGAGAGAGATCACAAGTAAGCGGAGAGGCAGGCAGAGAGAGAGAGAGGAGGAAGCAGGCTTCCCGCTGAGCAGAGAGCCCGATGCGGGGCTCGATCCCAGGACTCTGGGATCATGACCTGAGCCAAAGGCAGAGGCTTTAACCAGCCAAGCCACACAGGTGCCCCAGAGATTCCATTTTTAAAGCAGACTAAAATATCTGGATGCAGGGATTGATCCCTTCATTCAGGTGACAAGTAAAAACTCAAAAAAGGTCTTTTGTGAGAAAAGTAAGGCTGGACAACCACGTACCTACATTGTTTTCTGTATTTTCTGTTTTTATAGCCCAAGCTACTGGATGGCAGGAGCCCATCTTTCTGACAGGAGCAGAGCCCCTTCTAAGGATGTCTTTCAAAAACTACTTTGGGCAGTGGCAACAATAGTCCCTAGTGAGACCCGATAATGAATTCTAGAAATGCCTTAGATTCTAATGGAAAATAACACTCCCTTTCCACCAACTCGTGCATGGTTGTTGACAGCCTCGGCAAAGCTTTCCGTTTTCCAGAGAAAGGCCGAGATGTGGACAGATAAAATGAAATAGCCTCTCCAAGCCTTCCAAAAATCCAGTGCCAGTTAAAATGTAACAAAATGCCCCGATGCTGGTGCGGTGCTCCAAGACGCTTAAGAAAAAGAGGCTGCAGCTCTGCTAATGTAAAGCAGGTAAGAGCAAGAGGTAGAGCTGCTTGGTGGCAGGGTATCAAGTCTGCTAAGCATATGTGAAAATCATTAAGGCTTCCGTATGTTAAAAAGAAAAAAGTACTGAACACATTCCAAATAGACTATTCTTTATTTGTAGGAGATTTTCCCCTATTTCTGGGCATAAAGGGTGTGATTGCAACGAGTATGTTTGCATCCTACCCATTATTAGAATACTCACAGGTAATCACTGGTGAGAGCTTCTATTCCGATGACTTCCCAAGCTCCTTTTGTAATGAACGTGCAATCCTGATGGGATTTTTTTTTTTAAAAAAAGATGTTTATTAAACTCTCTAATCGAAGTGGAGGGTTGAATCTTTTATCTCCTTGGGTTTCTCCTCCCTATCCCATCATCCTCCAGACACCACTTCAGAATTTCGATCAGCCGGATTATTGGTACATACTGACTGACTTTACTAAATGATTTCCCCTTCAACTTAGTCTCATTAAAAAAGAGATCAACCCGAAATAAATTATGTAAGAATACTTACTTGCTTATCTATTTGGAATAGGCAAATGTGTTTGTAGCCATCTTGGTTGCTGATGATCTTGTAGAAGCTATTCCCATCAGAGGTAAAATGAGGTTCTGAAGGCCTGAACTACAGAATAATAGAAAACAAAAAAAAACAGATGAGGGCACATCAGTCTCATCTCAGCACCAACTTTAGTTTTTAAAAGTCCTCTCAACACCTCTGCCCAAAACCCATGCTTCATTTACTTGCCAAGTGAAACCAGAGGGTCTCAAAAGAAACCAGAATGTCTCAAAAGAAAATTCTCCTTCTAGAAAATGCAGACAAAAAGATCTCTCTCAGAGAATTCTTTACGTGGAGTAAGTGAGAGAAAGCACATAAAGAGGCTTACGCAGTACTCTCAACACATAGCCGTGGTATTGTTATCTCTGGACATCTCTCTACAAAGGATGACTCTATGACTTCTGGCTATAAATGTGCAAAACTTAGCATTTGTCTTTCAGTTTTAAGAAGTAAATTTCCTCAGTGTCACAGATGTGCTTTCTTGAAACAGACTATTATTATTACTATTTTAAGTCGGAGTTCGTACATCTTAATTTCCTTCACCTATTTTGCCCATTCCCCTCACCCCTTCCCTCCTGGCATCCGTGAGCGACTGCTTTCTGTTCGGTTTGTTTGTTTCAAACAGACTATTATTTTTACTGTTTCAGATAAGAGGTGGTTTTTAATTTGAGGGATTCGTTTCCTCCTTTTTAAATACATATTTTTTTTTGAAAGCCAAAAATTCTTTAACCATTTCTGGACTGGATACTGTAAGGAATGTCTGTTGTGTATTTCACGTGGAAACATTCTTATAGTTACCATTTTTATTGTATGCCTTTTCATTTTGCTAAATAGGATCAACAATTTACCAAAAAAGTAGTTGTATGGAAATACAGTATAAAATTTCCATTTTTCACAGTTCAATAAAAGATAGTTCTCAGAACATAATGTAGTTTCAGCAGAAGAATATCTACCCCAGCCTGAAAGGAATATGTTGCTTTACGACTTCGATTTCCTTCCTACATTTGCGAGCAGGTAGGAGATGGTCTTTTAAAATTGTTGGTTCACTTTACCCTCGATGTTTCCTCTCTTATCAGCTCCCATTTTGGGAAGGAAGAAAAATGCTTCCCTCTTCTATTTAGTGATTCAAAGTGGATTCATTTATGGAGCAAACTGAGGCGTGCAGTACACTTGGTGTTCTCATTACAGAGCTCTGAAACACATTCCCCTCTCTAGACCTGTGTTCACAGCCTTATCTTTTTAATACATTTCCCTGTTTCCCCTGGATGGAGTTGTGCCTAGTAGAAATGTGTGAAAAGTGGCATCTGTCTGGTTAAATACAGAGAGGAAAAAACATATTTTTTTCAAAGAGTCGTGAGGAAGTGTAGCGTGTCTCTTGCCATGGAGGAAACCACTTTTCATGTTGGCAAACCTCTCCCCTCTGCCCAATCAAAGCCTGAAGAAAAGGGACGTGTGAATGCTATCGGAGCTCTGAGCCCAGCTGGAAGGGGTCCTGTTTCTGGACCGCGGGCCTCCCCTCTCTGCCCCAAGAGATGTGAAGGAAATCTTTACATTTTCTTTTGCTTTTGGTCCCTTTGTTTTTCTCTTAAAGGAGGCTTAATAGAAGTGATCACAAGAATTAGGTGAGATTTGTTCATCGTCTTTCTGTGAGGGGCCACAACGGCTAGAGATCCTTCCATAATGTGTTTCCTCCCACAGTCCGGTGGCCTCATGGTTGGTGATTCTGCCCAAGGCATAGCGCTCGCAGCACAAATGAGAAGCGTGACAAGTCTCTGCGGGTCACTGTGCTTTCTCGGATACCACTCTGCATCTGGGGCCTAGTAAAGCATGAAGCCACAAGAATATGAGTTCCTCCAAAGGGGGGTGAACAGCAGGGTTGCTGGATAGATACAGTCGCCACCGAGTTGCCGCCGCATATAGCCACGGCTCCTTGCTCATCTGTGTAGGCTGTGGATGGAAGCCATGTTTGCTGCCTCCAGAGCACAGGCCCTTAGAGGTGAGCTCAGTGGGCATCTTCAGCATCTTAGCTGCTTTTCAGCAGTGGTTGCTTTTTAACTTTTCAGGAGCTACCGTCCGCCTAGAGTATGTCTTCTGTTTTGTCTGCTCTCAAGTTTTCACCTGTCCTGTCCTTTTTCCCACTGAGCATGTTCTGTATTCCCCACGAAAAGACCTCACTGGGGCACATGGGTGGCTCAGTGGGTTAAGCCTCTGCCTTCGGCTCAGGTCATGATCTCAGGGTCTTGGGATCGAGCTCCGCATCAGGCTCTCTGCTCAGCGGGGAGCCTGCTTCCCCCTCTCGCTCTCTGCCTACTTGTGTCTCTCTCTCTGTCAAATAAATAAGTAAAATCTTTAAAAGAAAAGAAAAGACATCTCTGCAGGGAGCATTTAAATATTTTGAGAAATAGGTCAGGTAATAGCTCTATTAATAGCAAATAACATAGGGCCCTACTTTGGTATATATGCATATCAAATAGCTCTGAGTATCTGATCCAGACCACAAAAAACCCATAACTCAAAGCACTTACTCTTCCAACCCAGCCAGTGGTACTCATTTCAGTGTGTTCTTGTTTCTAGAGAGGGAAAAATACAAGGGCAGCATTTCAGAGAGAAGTGAGGTATTAATTCTATTTTTTATCAGCAACTCATGGTAATAGAAGCAAAATTGTACTTAAAATAATCGAAAACGATCTCCATTTATATAATTGTATTTGTGCTCAGATTGTTTATAGGATTGCATCAGGACCTTTACCTCTCTTGCATAGAGCTCTGTCTTCCATACGTGGCCCTGGAAGCTCCCCTGGCATTTTCATCTCAACACGCACGGCACAGAAGATGATGTCCTTTATCTTGCCTCCATCCCCACTGGCTTGTTCTGACGCCTTCGTTCTTCTGTTTAGTGCCACTGCTCACCCAAGCCAGAGACTTGGGAATCACTCTAGATGCCTCCTCTCTTCAGAGCCACCTCCTCAGCCCCTGCCTCCTGGTTTGTTGACTCCCCTCATCCTTCTCCACCGTTACTGCCTTAGCTTCTGTTCTCGTCAGGTTTCCCTTGGTCCATTGCCCTGACCTCCCGGTTGGAGACCCTGCCGCTCTTCTCCTCTTCCAGTCTGCTCAACCCCTACTGACCTCATTTGGCAACAGACGACAGTTCTAGCTCATTAGGATCCTGTCCTATTTAACACCTAGAAATAGCTCTCCGTGTCTTACAAGTAAGTCCGAACCCCTCAGAGTGGCACCTGAGCCTCAGCCTACCTCCACCTAACCAAAGAGCTTAGGTTTCCTAGTTTGGAGTCCGGCTGTCACGTGACCTAAGTGACCTTCTTAACCTCTCAGAACCCCTGTCTCCACGGTGTCTGGCTACCCTGAGTGTTCAAGAAATGGTGACTATTATTATGGATTATCCTAATGGTATTCCCTACTAAAACAACCACGTTTTAGGGACCAGCATGTTGTCTCATTGGTTTGTTTCTGTTTGTTTTAAATCCAGAGCTATGCATAGAACTTGGGGCATAGTAGGTATTCATTGTTTGCTGTATAAATAAGTGAATTGACAAATCAAGACAAGGGGTGCCCAAGCTTTCTGAAGCAAGAATCTTCACTGTGCCCAACCAGGTGGGAAGTGTGTAGAGGGGGAAGCATGTAGGCACAGAACCCATTACCAGAAAAGGGCTTGGAGAGGTGCCCTTCACATATGTCACTAACCTTCCCTGGACGTTGCCCCTCCTGAGGCTGCTGGTTCCCAAAGGGGCTTTAATCCTGATTCACTAGCTTGGCTGAACCTTGTGGTTTCTTGTGGGGAATGCCCTGCCCCCATCCCCAGCACCTCAAGGTTGAATTAACACTCACCTTTGTCTTAATGTTGCCACCCTCTCTGCCTGGTTGTTACCTATTTATGTTCTAAAGTTGTTGACTGCTGAAGTATAGTCACAGGGTGGCAAGAGATTTGTGGCCTTTTGATACTAGTTTTGTTTCACACATTCTCAGTCAGTCATTCTCTGCTCCCCATATTTTCTCTGTTGAAACACACTTCATTGATCTTGCAGCCGCTGGCCTTCTTGGGCTGTCTGAATTTTGACATCAAATTCTATCTTTTGGGTTTCCGATCGCCACCCCCTCCCCAAGTGATAATATCCATAACTGAAACCATATGACTAGTGAGCAGAGATGAAATGGAAGTACCATCAAATATCAGATTCTCTCTAAAAGTTAGTCAGGACTCACTCACTGCCTCAGGATCTGACAGACTCAGAAAGAAAAGAAGCTCAAACTTTATTTGCTGATTCCCAACCATTCACTCTCCCGGTTTTTGTGGAGTCCTTGGATCACATGTAGCTTTAGAAGCAGAGCATCGCCATTAAACCTTACCTCTGATTTTCTCCAACTGTTGTTGGCAATATTATAGTCACAAATATCCATGACTGAATAGTTCTGAATCCTTCGGAGCCACTGCAAAGAAATCCTTTCTTCATTTACCCATGTCACGTCACACAAGTAGTAATCCCTGGAAGGAAGGAAGGAAGGAAGTGGAGAGAGAGAGAGAGAGAGAGAATAACTATTTCCAGACCTTGGTACAGATAGACATTTTACTCAATGAAATCAATCTTAATAGGCATATAATTTTAAATGGTTGTTGAAACCATTTAATACCACAATATTTTACCTTTTTCTGAAAGCTTGAAGTGTAATTTAGTTTTGAATGGAAATTAAAATATACTTGACAGGAAAAATAGCAGCTAACATTATATAGTGGCTTAGCAAACGTGACTCACACCACCACTCAGGATTTTTTCAAGTCCTTAACTTGGCCTTTGATGGTGCCAGGAAGTCAAGGGTGACATTTTTCCCATCTCTTTTCTGCTGTATTGAGAGACCATTACAGTGAGGCCAGACACACTGGCTGAGATTCGAATATTTTCTGGTAATCTGATGTGCTTCTCCAGAAAATTCTTACTTTTAGGGTGAAATTATAACTGACCCTTTTCTCAACTTCGTTTTTCAAAGGAGAAAAAATTGACTCACATCTCTATGAACTTTGAAAATCAAATAATTATATTGTAAAAATCTTTTCTCAAAAGTCAAAACATGAACCATGTGAAAAAAATCAAGGAACCTTAACACGAAATTTATGCTAACGGAGATATCTCTAACAGTATGTCTTCCTCCAACACATACCTTTAAACATTTTTGGAGCTACCCTTTGATTTATAGTGAGATGCATGGAATTCTCAATTTACTTTTCTGCTAGCCTACCTAAATATTTGCTCTGGATTTATTATTTTATTTGATTTGCTCCTCCTAGCCCCCCACCCCCATGTGATGATCTTGAGTGATCATTCTTAAATCCTTTTTTTTCCACTGTCTGATCAAAGCTTTGTTCCCTTTTGTCAGAAAAATTCCAAGAGACTCTTTTTTCCTCTTTCTTTCTGACTGGCCCCATGGCCATAGCCTCCTCATCAACGCTGAATGCTCTAAAATGCTCCTTCGCTCTTCCCTTCACAGGCTGTGGCCACCCCCTCCTCTGTCTCTCTGCTCTCCTTGCTTGACCACAAGTTCTCTGAGGCACCGGCCGCAGCTTTCTTGTTCGCAGGGCATCCCCAGGTTCCAATGAAATGAGTACCTGGCACCAAATCGACACTGAAATTCTGTGGAATGCAAAAGTCCTGTTGTATTCTCTGTGGCCTGAACAGCTCTGTCCTTCCTTGGAATTCACAGACCCTGTCCTGTCTGTACTCCCTCCACAGACAAGAAACCAAATAGCCAATATTTATTGAGCGCTTAGGATGGATCACCGCTTCACTATCGCCCTTCTGTAGGTGGGGACATCTCCTGTGTTAAGGTCCCCTTCTGGGTCCTCCAGGGTCCCCTCCTGACTATTCCCGTTGCAGGTGGCAAGTACTGAAAGAAGATCAAACCCCTTCACCCAGCAGCAAAGCACCACCTTCCCATAAATAAGGACTCCTCGCCGTTTCAGGCCTTTCTCTTGCTTAGTAAGAACCTATACACCGGGGCATCTGGGTGGCTCAGTCGGTTAAGCGTCTGCCTTCGGCTCAGGTCATGATCCCGGGGTCCTGGAATGGAGCCTGCGTTAGCCTCCCTGCTCAGTGGGGAGGCTGCTTCTCCCTCTCCCTCTGGTCCTTTCTCTCCCCCCAGCCCCCAGCTTGTGCTCTCTCTCTCTCTCTCAAGTACATAAATAGAATATTAAAAAAGAAGGAGGAGGAGGAGGAGGAGGAGGAAAGGAGAAACCTATACACCATCCAGTCTGCACGTCTGGTATTCCATGAATACCTTCTGAGATTTCCCAGCTGCCCTCACTTTGTTCAACCTGCCCCCCATTTGTTCAACCTGCCCTCAGTCTGAAACCACGGCTATGTTCTAAATTCCCTAGGTCTTCCTCAAATATCTACTATGCCTTCTTGGAAAGTCCCTCTTTACGCACCAACATCAGCATTCTTAAGGTGCTCATCCCTAACGACCACCAGGCTGCAGGGTCTGAGAGTGCGAACCCCTCTTTGCACGCACAGGACCAATGGTGCCTCTCAGAGTTCAATGCTTCTGCCCTGTGCCCAAGCCACAGGCATTAATGAATCTTGCTGGGGATAGGAATAAATCATTGCAAAAGGGGATGGAACTATGACATGCAAGGGAGAAAACAAAACTTTTTGACATTAACTTTCTTGACTAGGGGTCTGAAGACTTTTTCAGTCAAGAGCCAGATAGTAAATATTTTAAGTTTTGCGGGTCACATGTGCTCTGTGACAATTACTTATCTCCACCTTTGCAGCACAAAAGCAGCCAGAGACAATATATCAACGAACATCTGTAGATGAGTTCCAGCAAAACCCTGAGATCTGAAGTTCACATAATTTTCACATGTCACGAAATATTATTCTTCTGGTGATTTTCCTTCCCAACCATTCAAAATTGTAACAATCTTTCTTGGGGCACCTGGGTGGCTCAGTGGGTTAAGCCTCTGCCTTCAGCTCAGGTCATGATCTCAGGGTCCTGGGATCAAGCCCCGCATCGGGCTCTCTGCTCAGCAGGGAGCCTGCTTCCCTCTCTCTCTCTCTGCCTGCCTCTCTGCCTACTTGTGATCTCTTTCTCTCTGTCAAATAAATAAATAAAATCTTAAAAAAAAAAAATCTTTCTTAGTTGTAGATCATACAAAAACAGGCCTGGGGCTGGGTTTGCCAGTGGGCCCTGGTGTGCTGATCCCTGCTCTATGCCTGTGGTTCTTATTCACAGATCAAATTCCTTTGTAATTCGGATGGAAATCAGGTACCTCTCTCTGGGGTGGGGGTGGGGGGAGTCTCCTTACATACATGCACACATTGCCCAGAGCTCCATGGCCTCGATTAGGATCACAGGCTCCAGAAACGGGAAACTTTTCTAAAGTGGCATGGTTAGGGGAAAGGGCAGGCAAAGGGGAAAGAAAACTCTTTAACACAATTAGTGGGTCACCTTTACTAAGGGCTTTATCTATAAAAACCATACACGATACTTCAGGTTCCGAAATCAGCAGTAGAAAAGTAACTTTTTTCCCATTCGAAATTACGGAGTAATGGAATTTGGGAAGCCTGCCAGGGAACTCACATGCATCTGGCACTTGCCCTGCCCATTTCTAGATCAAAGGTTCACGAACCTGTGTCTTCCACTTTCTCTGTCACTCTCGGTAGCCCAAGGTGTACACTGCACCCTCCGTATGGGCTGCTCGCCAGCCAGCAGACAGGACATTTTGAATCCTCTTGTAAACACACCCCTGTCTAATCACAGCTTCTCTTTAGGATTTGGAATTAAAGGGAGACAGAGCGGCGCTGCGGACCCTGCCCTGAGCCAAGATCGTGCCAGTCTAAGATGTCAATGAATCATAAAAACTATATAAGGGAACCAATGACCCAATTGTACTTTTTATTGAAAGGCTTAATTAAGTCCTACTTAGGACCAGAAAAATCCAACAAGCAGATTTATCAACTATACTTTGCACTATATGCTGATTTTTTAAACAGAATGCATGCATGAGCAAGTGGGGGAGGGGCAGAGAATCTCAAGCTGGCAGACTCCTTACCCAGCCTGGAGGCCAAGCCCAGCTGGAGCTGGATCTCATGACCCTGAAATCATGACCTGAGCCACCCAGGTGCCCCTCCATGCTGATTTTATTCTGTAAAAACAGAGAGGCTCTACTGAACAGACTGGTTATGTAATGGTGGGAAGGGGTGGAAGAGGGAATGTCAGGCAGCCTGGCCTTCCTTGAGCCAACGACTGCCTCTCCCGTCAGGCATAGCGATTCAATAAGCTCTTCTAATTTCTGGGACAATGTTGTTTTTAAGGAGAGTGTGGTTGGCTTTAATACTAAAGCAATGGAGCGATTTCTGGACATAATAATAGGAGTGCACACCCATGAGCAGTTTACTATGTGCCAGGAACTGTTCCAAGTGCTCGACCTAAACTTGTGGCACCCTACAGGGTAGGAATGCTAGGGCTCCTGTTTTGCAGACAAGGAAAGGGAGGTGTAGAGAGGTTAAGTAACTTGCCCAAGGTCACACACTGGGAAGTGTTGGGAGGCATGATTCAAACTAAGCCAGCTGGCTTCAGATTTTCTGTTCCTAGTAGCTCCCTCTATACAGAACCTCCACCCGTCCCTCTGGGAAATACGGTGGGCTAGCTTCACCCTCTTGCCTTTTTTCAGGATAAAATTCCTCACTCTATGAGGTCTATTTATTCCCACAGCGTGTGTGTAAACTAAATAGCTGAATTCTATAAAGCAAATTATATTTGATAGCGCTGGGACAGACCTGCTTTTGAAGCGTGTTTCAAGCATTTTTCAGAGACTCCTTTTGCAAAGTGACCGTTGCCTTGTAAACAGTAGGCGTTTAATAAATGTCTGTTGCGTTGCATTAATTCCCCTCATTTGTGTAAATGTTTCTTTTGGTATGTTAAGGGTACTTAACATCGGGTCAGCATTACTGACTGGGAAGAATATTGGAGAGAAATCGCTCCTCAGAGCAACCGCAGACGGTAGAGTGATTAATTCGGTGAATCACCCAAGGAAGCGGGCGTTCTGCCAGTGCTGGCCCCGGGCTCCATGCCACTCTCTGCTCTGATGGGGATGCCAGCCCTCCTGGGGCTGCTGACAGATCGCTGAGGAGAAGGATAGGTGGGGTGAGGGGGAGCCCGTCACAGAGGGCAGCACCCACAGCACATGAGGTCCTGAAGGGCTTCCTGTCTTGAGGTGTCGCTAGTTTCCTGGCTGTTTCAGGCCGGTTCCTTTATCATCTGTGTGACAAGCCCACACCCTGACATCTCTACTTTATAGATCAAGGATTATCTATTCGGAGGAGGCATTTATCTATTACATCACTCAGGAGCAGAAAAAATAGGGTGGGGCAGGTCATGAGCTGGGTGTGATGGGTCCCCGGAGCCGATCAGCAGATGTGGGGTGGGGTCACCTCAGTAGAACGTGCCCTTCCCAGTCCTCTAGCTCAGGCCAGGGAATGTGCAGATGGCTGGGAGGAGGCAGAAAAGAGGGACTGCTAGGCAGGGTCACTTGGAGGGTCGTCTTCGGTCCTGGTTGTGTAAACCATTCCACACACATAAAGTCACCCTCATCCCTCCACACAGAAGCTTATTCATTGATTCTACACATATTCATTGAGCACTTGCTGTGTTTCAGGCCCTGCACGAGAGGCACCAGATATAAAATATAAATATAAATATAGAAATGTAAATAGAAATATTGTGAAGCCAGGCTCTAAATAAAGCAGGTAGGGAGTTTATGATTTTATAATATATGTTGTTTTCTCTCAAGGATTGAGCTCACCAATCCTCTTATAGTCATCAAGACAAATGAGCAGCCTAATGAATCTAATCCACTTGACCTCTAACTCAGGGAGGGCAGTGGGGAGGCTCCTGCCTCTGGTAGGACTTCACCTGCTCAAAGCTGTGTGGAGCAAGGACGTGGCCTCAGAGGAAGATGAGTGATGGGCACTCGGGGGCAGAGGAGGGGAGAAACACGTCCCACCCTCCTGGGGCTACACTCCAGGCGATCCTACACTCCAGGAGCTCGTGGATGGCTAGAAAACACGGCAGAAGGTGCTGGGCCGTTTCTGAAGAGGCACAATTTGCTGCATTAACCTGGCCCCGCTGGAGGTTTGCGTGAGGCCAGAAAGTGGGGCATCACTGCCTGCTAGAACGTTTTCCCCAGAGAGGAGCTGGAGCCTGGTTTTACATAAACTGCGGCCTCCCTGGTGTTAATAGAGACCAGAGCTGGATTTATAATTCCCTATATAACACATTCCTGAGGCATTTCCAGAAACGACTCCTCAGTAAAATGCATCTCACACAAAATATCCCCAGTGAGTGAGGCAGTTCTCGCCAGGAACGCAGCATAAAGAACCGCAAACAATGACTTAAGGGTTCATTTGTACGGGGCCAAAATGAAGTCCGTGAACTTGCGCACGTTTCCTAAGCTCAGCTCCTGGATGAGGCTTCTAAGGGGGTAGAGCCCACAGATGAAGACCTGTGATATGGCCATGACGATGACACGGTAGGCGGTGTGTTGAGTGAGATGTGAGTGGGGCATCAGGCATAGTCCCCACCCACAGGAAACACTCGATGCATCGAAACCCCATTATTCGATGAGTCTGGTCTGGCAGGTGAGGGCCTCTGTCCTATTCCCAGATCCCACGCTAACTGCTGTGTGACCTTGAGCAAAAGAGTTTCCCTCTCTGAGCCTTAGTTAGCTCATCTGTGTCCCACAGCATTGTTCTCAGTGTGTTCTGGAAGCCCGCAGGTTCTGTCTAATATTCTGACTCCTGGAGGAAGCAGATGGGGACAAGGCCTGTGCCTGCAACCTGAGTGGTAATGGTCTGGTTGTTTTCTGGACCTGCACTCCTGTGTTCTGTCTCACTTGAAAAAAAGCCTTTGGGCCCTTACAACAGTTTATAGACCACGAGTGAGGTCTAAAGCCCCTTCCAGATCTAAGGTTCTTCAGAGTAGGGGCTTATGGCTCATTCTCCCAGCAGACAGATGTTGGTCATAGACCGAGAGTTACCTCCAGGCCCTGCTGCTCTTTCCCTGGACAGCCCTGTACTCCCCACACGTGGGTTACCTTCCCCTTCAGAGCCATCCCCCTGGGCTGTGCCCTGTGGTTCTTTCCTGCTCAAGCCACATATGCCCCAGGATACTTTCTCTCATCCCTGGGGTCATCAAAACCCATCTCCCCCTCCTCAGAATGTTTCTGCCCTTCTGTTTATGCCTCTGAAGTATTTGCCTTCAGGGTCATTTATCGGAATATATTCTATCCTCTGCTTGGTCGTAAGTGCTAAAAAGATAGTAGCTCAGCCCTATGGACATCTGTTACGTAAACAGCAGGTGCTCAGTCAATGTTGATAGACGAGATGACTGGATGGGGCCACACAGCAGATTTTAAAACCTTCAGGTAAATTTTTATACCTTTGGGCAAACTCAGAAAAAGCAATTTTTAAAAATTTACTGATAATTTATTTTTTCCTCCAAATGAATAGGTTAAAAAGATATTTCTAATCAAGTCAATGAATTAATGACTACAGAGCAGAGCCTATGGCATTCCTGATGTGGTGCATTCAACCCTGACAAGGCTGCTTCCATGTTGCTCTGATGGTAACTCCAGGAAGCTGAGAGCAGTGGTTGAATTCACACAAAGAAGGGCGGCTAGCAGAGTTCTTGTAAGCTCTTTCTTCTAAGTCAGACAGGATTGAATACAGACTCCTACTTGGTCATTTTCTTAACTTCTAGGCCTCATTTCCTTATTTGTAAAAGAGGCATATAATTATAGTTGTTGGAAAGAGTTATTTTAAAGACTAAGACTAATACAAAGCCTGTAATAATGCCCTGAGTCTGGCACATAGTGAGTGCTCAGTATCTACTAGTTATTATTTAAAAGCAACAAGAAAACCAACACAATGAACAGAAATAAATAGAAAGCAACTCACAGCCGTAAATTGCATGCAATGCCAGGTGGTTATCTTTACAGGAAAAGCACAGGGGGCTGAGGGTGTGCGGTGGCAGACTTTCAAACCACCAACGATTATTTAAGCAAGTGACATCCTGAGGCATGTCGGTGTCATGAGGATCCCTAAATTTCTCCGGTTCTCATGGGGACCTGCACAGCCCTTGTGATCTGATCTCACTCCTATCACTCACCTCTTCACTCACACTGCTCTGTTCGCTTGGCCTCCTTGCAGGTCTTCTCACAGACCAGGCACAGCCTCCCTGTGGGGCCTTTGCGCCTGCTCTTCCTCTGCATGGATACTGAACCCCCAGCTACTCAGGTGGCTAGCTGGCCCTCTGTCTTATGTCACTGCCCACGGGCCATCTTGTGAGAGAGGGCTTCCTTCCCTGACCTCCCGCCACCATCACTAACCCCTTGCCTGCTTTGATGGTTTTCACAATTTTCTGTCCACCTGGTTGTTGTCTGCCTCCCCCACCTTGAATGCAGGCTCCATGATTCCCGGGACTCTGGCTGCTCTAGTCACTGTGCGACCCCATCACGGTAACTGTGCTCAACACGAAGACATGAAGTGGGGGCTCACCAAAGAGTGGCTGATGAAGGGCTTCTGGGCGTGGGGAGACACCACGGGACACTACCCCTGATTCTGCCATTCATTTTTAAAATGTTCTCCCTGAGATCTGTGAAACTGTACAACCCACACATTCTGATCAAGACACTTACCCTGTTGAAATAGCATCAGGAGGAGTGATTTCTACTGAAGTTGCATTGGTATTTGGGTTAAGATTGTTGGTTTTTACAACAAAGAGCTTTACAGTTGGATTTACAGCTCCTGCCTAGGAAAAAACAGTAACAGAATTGATATGGACAAAAAATACCACATCTTTGCACAGGTTTACAACTGTACAAAAATGTCTACATTAGAGCAATAAAATTATAATCACAAGACACGTTAAAAATCTATATAGGTAAATCTAATACAGATAAAATGAACATAAGAGAGAGACATGAAATGCAACTTTTTCATGTTCAGGCAGAAACTTGTCTATTGACAGCCCCTAGCACTCTTGTTTAAATCATGAATGTTCATAACTCAATGTGTTTTGTGCAAACAAGGACAAACTTTTAAAAAATCAATTCTATTATTTTGCAAATATACTCTGACTCCAGAGGGCAAAAAGTCTAATGGCTGACAACTAGGAAGAATACCCTGGGTTCAGCCAAAGACACAATCCACCAGGAAAATGAGTTTACCTGAGCCAAGAGCCAATAACGCTAATTAGGAAGCCATCATTTGCGCTCCAAATTCAAGTTCACCACATTCGAGCTTTACAATCAATATGATGACAGAAATCTATAAAACTTTTTTATATATACACACAGACCTTCAATTGACAAATTAGTTAGAAATAATATATTTTTAGTGAGAGCATTTCATGTTTTTTTTTTTTTTTTTTGCCAGTTTCACTCATCAAAAAATAACATTCCACTGAAAATACATCTCTATATTTAATCTCGGATCCTTTTTTTTCTTTTTACTTCCTCTGTCTTCCTAAAATGGCAGCTCTTCACGAAGCAAATTGAGTGAGTTGGTAAAAATAAAAATCCCTTTTCCCAAGTTGCTTACAGCAGAAACATTTACTATTAGATTTTCCTATAGATGATTCTGTGGCCATTAATATTATGATACTAGTGAAGAATCCTGGTTGCCTTCTAAATCCCCCCTCTTCCTAGGTTTACACTGCTTAACAAAGCTGTAGGATTTTCATAAATATGCATCCCGTAGGGGGAGAACAGCCTTGCAAACCAAGATGTGAGACCATTATTCCAAATGCAGGATGTGTAAAATTCACATTAGGGCCAAATCTATACCAGAATCCCTGAAACTAGTTATGAATCGGTTAATTAGCAATACAACCTGATATGTAACCGAGCTTTTCAACTTCATCCAGGGTACATTCCAACTTATACAAATAAGAGGAGCTTGTGATTCAAGGACAGCTTCTCTTTTCCTCCACTGAAACATTCTTATTCCCCCTACCTCTTTCAAAAGCATTTTCCCCATCTTTTTCGGCTTGTCATTCCTCAAAGTTTTTGGAGAAATTACAAAACCTTAAATCACACTCTTTCCTGGGATAATAAAAATACTTTAAAATTGCCAGATGCTGTTGACTTCAGCAAGAGTAATCACAGCAAGCTGTTGAAGAGAGACTGACAATATTTTCATTAGCAGGAAAGGATTAAATGAAACCATTCTTTTCCTATCAAATCATGGAACCACTACGTGAACAGGAGCACAGACCTTCGGATATGGAATCCGCACAGTCTTTGGGTACTGCAGCGACTCGTCAGAGTAGAAGGAGTATTCAATAAGTGGGACTTCTGTGTCGTTAAATTGGGCATATGCTAAAAAAGTGCCTTTTGGAGACCACCACAGAGCAGAGTAGGCACTGAAGATTTCCTCTGAAAAAAGACATAAATTGTTCTGTTACAAGAAGTAGCTGATAAATTGGCTTTGGCATTCAAAATATTGTTCTCATTAGCTTTAGTAATTACAGTAGAGTTCAACTAATGAACCATTTTGCATTTGCTGGGCTTCCAAATTCAGAGTAATACAAATGAATAAAAATAAAATCTTCAAGGATAGATCTGGATTGTAAAAATAAGTAACCCGTTGGACCATTTTAGAATATTTTAGCACACAATATTTAATATAAGCTCTACATTTTTTTCTTTATCTTATAATCCTCTAAATTTATGCCGCAAAACATACTAAAAGTAAATTTCACACAAGGGGCTGATTCTCCTTTCTAATTTTCAAACAGTCAACATGCCAGCATACTCTCCCCAACTGGGCTCAGTTTGTACTGTGCCCACAGGGTACTGGTGGGTGGTGTGTGGTTCCAGACTATCGAACTAATATGGTGCCCACAGTTTACTACTCTTGGCACAAACAGGGTGTGGGAAGGATGGATTTAGAATGACAAGGCTCTCCGTGAGACCCCAATTGAAAAACATCTTCTTTGCTTAGCCTCAAAACTAAAGACTCTAGCGGGTTAGTGTACTCCTCTGCTGCCTACAGTGATGGTAAGGGAAGAGGGTCAAAGAGAGAGGCAAATGAAAGGAGAGGTTTTGCTCTCCAGAATGGTGTTGGACTCGTTCTCATTCTCTGGCAAATGTAGTTCTTTCCTGTGTTTATTATTGAGTCTCTTCATGGGACTTCCATTGTTTGGCTCTTAAAATGCCAAAACCTCTTTCATGGAGGGTTCAGGTAGACCAAATGGAGACTCCTAGTCCTTTATGCAGATTTAACCTACAAAATCTCATGTTCTGCTGTGGGGGAGGAGGGGGGAAGGTAAAAGCAGAAGTAAAGAAACTTGAGTCTTAGAGTTAGGAAATCATCTGTCCCCATCACTTTTCTGATTCCTGAGGCCTCTTTACAAGTGTCTTCCAAATGCTAGTTTTCAATAATAATAATGATAATGGTAATAGTAGTGGCAGTAACAGTAACAACGATAACAATAGTAACACAATGTAATAATAATTACTATGATGAGCAACCAACATTTAGAGAGTGCTAACCATGAGGTAGATTTGATATGCAACCAACATCTATGTGAGCTACCTCACAGTAGCTCATTGTGCAGGTGAGAAAGGGGCAGTGGGCTTAAAGAGAAGTCATTGCCCATAGTCACATGGCCAATAGTTGACTGACTCAAGAATGAATCCAGACTTGTCTAGTTTGAATCCATGCTTCTCACCTCCATGCTCTATGTCTTTCCATGCCTATTTCAGTTCTTCTGGTAACTGAAAACCTACTGGGTAAGGCAGCCTGTTCTGGCTTTATCTGTTTTCTACCTATGTCATAGTTTCATTTGTGTAGTAATTTAGAATTTACAAAACACTTATCTAATTTAGTCTTTACAAAGATGCTAGATGAGTCTATTCTATTTATATCCCATTTTACAGACAAGGCAACTGATGGGCTTAGAGAGAGAGAATATGAATTGCCAGAGATAAGACAGGGACACAGGCCCGTGACTCGGAGTCTAGGGGTTTCTACCGAGAACTTCTTCAGATAATGAGTGGATGTCTCTTTCCTGTGGCTTCTACCCATTGGTTTCCAGTCTAAGATCAAGATGCAAATTACATAAAATGAATACAATTACAGCAAGATTATGGTTTTTAAAATTGCTTCTAAGTAAAGGTAACAGGTAATACCTATGTTTTGATTGGTAATATAGAACATATTGTTCTATAATTGTATATAGAACATATCCTTCCACACAGGAATGTATTAAAACCATTATTATAAAACTACTTCTAGTCAAACTCCAAGTTTTGAGAATGAATAGTAGGGAGAAGGGAGAATAACAAAGGGGGGAACAGATTTCCAGTGCTTTCTGATACAAAGCTGGCTGTGAGCACAAGTGTCTGTGGCACCCCCTCCTCCACCCCCTGAACCTCCCTCACCTGCGATATCCTGTGATACCTGCCATCTGGCCATTCTGACCTTCCCTTGGACTTACTGCCTGCCCCTGAATAGGTTCCTTGATTCACTCTGTGAGAATTACCAATTGACCTCTTTTTCTCCCTCTCTGAGCTGAATTCCCTGAGAGCAGCCATTGGATAGCTTTTTTTCCCTGTGTCTCTAGAACCTGACATAGCGCCTCATAGGTAGTTGGCACTCTGTGAATTACCCACACCCCCACTGTCAGCCCAGCTACCATAGGGTGAGGAGTGCTCCATCTTCCAAGCTTATTTCTTTCTCTATCCTTCTTCATCCTCCCTCTCAAAATTCTCATTCTCACTTCTTGTTAGGTAAACTATACTCATACTTTCGAGTGAATGTCATGGGATTCACTTCAAACCAGGAGATAAAGTATTCTTATTTTTACAAAAGAAGACACTTGTTAACTAAAGTAATAATTTAAAAATCATGAAAGAAAACAAAGTGAAAACGTTAAGACACTGAGAAAGAAAGTAATTTGGGATTCTGGGGCAGGGAGGGGACACATGTCCCAGAGGGTAGGCTGCTGTGTGAATGTCCCTTCATGATGTGGCAGAAAGCCCCATCTGGCCTTTGCAACTTTCTTTCTTCTTTTACTTATGAACCTATAAATTCTCAAAATCCACTCGTTCAGTCTTACACTCAACAAGTGTTCATGGCTGCAGTGGAGACGCTCCATGGGAAGATAGATCTCATATATGGAGATACAAATGTGCTCTTTCCAAATATGGATCATTCATAAATATATAAAACCAATTATAGGAAGTTCCCCAGAGGAACCAAAGTCTATTTTTTGGCGACAGACCCGCACTGGAACTGGGAAGCCATTCTTCTGTTTGTCATCAACACACAAAATGAGATCTTTCCAGCTCTTATCTACCTAAGAAAGGACTAATAGTGTTAGGTGTGTTTTCATCCCAGAGATACTCAGATGTTTCGAGGAAGGGTCGAGTTGCAGCTTTGGGAAGAAGCCTTATCCAGGTTGCTTTGGGGGTCCTGCAGGTTGTGCTGTGCTATCCAGCAAGTGTTTTTCAATTGCTAAGTGACAAGTGCTGGCAAATTTCATTATACATTTTTTTCTGGGTCATGGGGATTTATCTTTCTTTTAAAGTGATTGTTGTTGTTGTTGTTACAATGTTAGTCATTTAATTGAACTTGACTTGCACTGGGTAAGAACCAAAATTAAGTCATGAAGAAAAACTCTTTTTCTTTTTTTTTCTAACTATGAGGAAGAAATAAGAAGATGAAATAGGATGAGAACTTAATAAGCATTAGGCAACTTTGTGAACAGTCTGGAATACCCTCAAAATGCCTTTTACCTTGGCAGCTATAGATGCGAAAAATGTTTTTCTAATATTTTCTTAAACTCTATCCTAAAAGAGAATAATCCTTTTTAATAATTTTAGTTCTTCTTATTTTTACTGATTTTCCCTCAGAAGACTTTCTAATTATTTTTTCCTGCTTTAAAAACAGGAAATTATGATTTGTCCAAGTTCAAATGAACACAAATTCTCTGTAAAACAGATGCTTTCTTCCCCCTCTATTCCCCAGCCTCCAGACAATATTTTGTCAGCTCTTGGAATGCTGTGGGAGTATTTAGCTTTCCTTAGTAACTCTGGGTTAGGTAGGCCCAGTTAGAGAAACATCTGATGTTAATCTGCAAGCTTTTATGCCCCAGTAAAGCAGAAAAGCTACCTATACAGAAAGGCCCTTTGTAGGAGGAGACTGAAGACAATAGAGGCATTGAGAGACAATGAGGACATCAGGGAAACTAGCTACTGTTAAGAAATCCTTGTTCTGGGAGACTCCTGGTATCGTGAGTGCTAAAGAGATTTGATGACATTAAAAAAAAATGCAACTTATTTTGAATGCCATTGAATTTCTCCATTTTAAGAGAAATGTTTAACTATTAAAAAAAACTTACAAATTTTCTAATTCGAAAAAGCTTTAAAATCTCTACCTTCATAAACCCAGTCAGTTATTCCATTGGATATTATATTTTCTTCTCCAGTCCATGTGATCCTCTGACTTGTTGAATTTGGTTCATTTTTAACATAAATATCATTGTTCCAAACGTATGCCTAGAAATGTTGAAAAACAGATTGGTGAGTAATAACCTGTTATAACATATCTTATTCTGGAGTTAAAAGATATCTATCAACTGTTTTATCCTCAAATAATATTGACATGTCAATGTAATGATTACCTTGGGTTACTCAATTTCAGCAAGATAAAGTCACTCACTACCCTCTCACATTTACTTATTTTATTTATTTATTTCTTTAAAAGATTTTATTTATTTATTTATTACAGAGAAAGAGAGAGAGCACAAGCACGGGGAGGAGTAGAAGGAGAGGGAGGAGCAGGTTCCCCACCTAGCAGGGAGTCCAGTGTGGGACTGGATCCTAGGACCCCGGGATCACCACGTGAGCCAAAGGCAGACGCTTAACTGAATGAGCCACCCAGATGACCAGATTTTAAAATCTTCACATTTTAAAAATCACATTTTAAAAATCATTAAGTATACAAGCTATAACTCCAAATAATTCTAAAGACACTCAATATATTAAAAAGAAGCAGCTCAGCTCACAAACCACACTGTTTGAATGCTGGAGTGCCTGTGAAGACTCAGGAGCCTGATCATTTCTACAGAATAATGTCTGCTTCCCATTGCATTCTGGGGGCGGTGAGTTGAGGGAGTGCATTCGATGTTGGGAGGGAGAATTCTGTCTACAAATGAACATCCCGTCTTCCTATTCAGATTCTTTTGCACTTCTGACATTCTCCTAGCATTAAGAACATGAAGGTATATCTATAGGGACACAGAGAAGGTCACAGAACCAGCAGGAAGGAGGTACACCCCCCAAAACAAACAAACAAGCAAACAACAGCAAACTGAATACAAGAGAAATTAAAATTTTAATGGGTATTTTCCCAGTCAATAATGAATTCTCCAGTAGTAGTTCAGAAACTTTCAGGAATCCTATTTACTGCGTTAGACTAGTAAAATGCTATTTTAGGCAATAACACTATCTTTGACGTTGAAGTATTTGCTTCTTACGTGTCTGCTCTGTGTCAGGTTATGTAGCTTCTGCATGTGAAAGCGTTGAGTCATTATTTTTTTCTGAAAACAGAAGAGACTCACTAACCAATTTATGACCCTCTGGTGACCATGTGATCCATTGTGTCTTGTCTGGAATTTTATCTTCTGTAATCAGCCTCCTGAAAAAAGAGAAAAGGCAACATTACCAAATGAATAAATCACAGTGGGATTTCCTTTTTGAAAAAAATGTTATTGCACTAAAGAAGCTGACAGATTTTATAAGGAAGTTACTGACCTTTTAGCTAAGTCATAGATATCATATGAAGCCGTGTAAGAATGCCTCCATTGCTATAAAGGAAAACAGACATCTCAGACTTCTGTGATTCTTGACAGTTCAGCCACTTGCTATAGGAGCACAAGATGACATGTAAAGTAATGACATTGTATAAATCTCACATTTTATCATGTCTTATAATTCCTAGCTCAATCCTTACAATTTTGGAATTAGGAAGAGATTCTTAGAGAACATCTAGTATGAATTCCTCTGAACCGCATCTGTAACCTAGCTCTGGCATCACCCCTGCCAAGGAAACTTCTCAAGATCACAGTGGGCTGAAGTGTTGCTTCACGGCCAACATCACTCCTAACATTAACCATAGCATGGGAAGTCTATCTGTCCAAGAAAATACAAGTTTTTACTGTTTTTTTTTTTTTAAGATTTATTTATTTATTTATTTGACAGACAGAGATCACAAGTAGGCAGAGAAGCAAGCAGAGAGAGGGGGGAAACAGGCTTGAGAGGGGGGGAAGCAGGCTTGAGGGTGGGGGGAGCAGTTTCCCCGACGAGCAGAAAGCCCGATGTGGGGCTCAATCCCAGAACCCTGGGATCATGACCTGAGCCGAAGGCAGAGACTTTAACCCACTGAGCCACGCAGGTGTCCCACAAGTTTTACTTTTCAACCATCTTATTGACAAAATACTTAAAAGTGTTTGATGTGGAGATATACTTACTTTCCTACTTTGATCATGAAAATATAAAGGGCTACAGATTTTTTGAAAGTCACCTGGCCAAAAAAAAAAAACGAAAGAAAAGAAAGCCACCTGGCAGTATCTGTTAACATTGAAACATATATACCATTGATATTTTAAACTGCCATCTCAAGAATTAAAATTCTTAAATTTTAAAATGGGATTAAAAGCTTTTAAGACCTTTTATAAACATTGTTTTGCCAATCAATGTAGAAGTTTAAAAAGGGACAAATTCCTTGGAAAACAAGTTATCAAAACTGAGACAAAGAAATGGAAAATCTGTATAGTCTTATACCTAAAAAAATATTGAATCAATAAATAAAAACATGTGCACAAAGGAAACTCCAAACCCAAATACCTTTAGCAGCAAACTCCTTGTTATTTAACCAAAGGAACTAAAAACTTACACATATACAAAAACCCTCCACACAAATTTTTAGTTTTATTCATAATTGCCAAAACTTAGAAGAACCAAGATGTCCTTCAATAGGTGATGGGTAAACAAACTATGGTCCATCCAGACATTGGAATATTATTTACCAACAAAAAGAAATGGGCTATTACATCACAAAAAGCCATGGAAGAAACTCAAATGCATATTTTCCTGTGAGAAAAACCAATCTGAAAAGATTACATATTGTATGATTCCAACCATATGACATTTTGGAAAAGGCAAAATTATGGAGACAATCAAAAGATCAGTTGTTGCTAAGGGTTTGGAGGAAGGGAGGGATGAAAAGCTGAAGCAAAATATCCTCTATGATACCAGGATGGTGGATACATGTCATTATACCTTATAGATCTGCCAAAACCCATAGAATGTACAACATAATGAACCCTAATGAGAACTATGGACTTTAGTTGGTTATAATGTATCAATAATGGCTCATCAATTGTAATGAATGTATCATACTAATGCAAAATGTTAATGATATCGGAAACTGGGACAGAGGTTGGGGGGAGATGATGAGGACGTGTGTGGGAACTCTGTATTTTCCACTCATATTCTCTAAGCCTAAAGCTGTTCTAAAAGAATTAAGTTTATTAATTTAAAAATAAATGAATTCGAGCTATGCCAGATAACTTGGAAGAAGTTCCACACAGAACCATTGAGAAATGCAAATTACAGAAAAGTATGGAAAATAGGATTTTATTTTTTATAGAATAAGCAATGACTAAAATAATATCTATCTTCATAAAATATCTATCTTCATAGAATTATTTGAATAAGGGGAAAATATAAAATATGGAGAGAGATATATACTAGGTTCTTAACATGTGATACTTGGGGAAAAGGTGGGGGAGAGATGAGGAGTAAGGAGACAGACATAAGAGGAAAAAAGATAAGACTGAAGAATATATATATATATATATATATAAAATGTATACATACACACACACATACACATGCACACAGATTTGCATTTATGAAAAATTATATTTATATGTGGATGCATTTATACATTAAAGATATTTTAAAAGAAATCACATGTCTTTGTCTGTCTTCCCTACCATAATCCTAGATGTAAGAAATTGTGTCTTATTCATCTTTAAATCTGAAGTCTCATCTAGTGCAAGTCACATAGTCTCTGTTCAAGAAATAAGCCAAACTAACAAAAAAATAAAATTTTACCCATGAAAATGAAGTCAATGAAATGGGTAGCCCAAGGATACCCAGCTTGTATAAGACAGAGCTGAGATACAAGCCAAAGGTTCTAACCTTGAAGAGTATTTCCCACTTATCATTTATCATCCTTCTATCCTCTCATGTCAACAATTACGTATTAAGACCTTACTTTTTGAAAGTCATACTTTTTTAAAAATCCTGGATTATTTTGACACAATCCATGCTTGTTCCTGGGAAACCTTTGAATACTCTACTTGAAAGAGCCAAAAGGTGTATATTACAGGCTAAAAATATGAAGAGGTTTAAGAAGGTTTGAGATCACTCAGGATGACAGATCCATCATGAGATGCAAAAGGAAACCCAAAAAGTTTGGAATGCTCACTTCATCTTTTGAAACAGACTCATCCTTCTATTAAGGTTAGAAACTTTGGCAATTCTCCTCTATCAGGCATTACTGGATAAGACAGGCTCAATCTCCTTGAGGGGCTCCTAGTTGAATGGGGGATATATATGGGCAAGTAAACACAAGGAAAGAACCACAGGACATCTAACAGAGGTAGGTGGGGAGAGGCAGGAATCACAAATCAGGCCTTGGGGAGAGAGAAAGGTCTATGGAAAAGTTGATTGTTAGACTGAGTCTCAAAGCAGAGAACTGCCACACAGGGAAGGGGTTAAAAAAGCATCGTAGCAGAAAGACGTTGAAGCACAAAGTTGGGAAAGATTATGTTTAAGGGTTCAAGATTTGGAGCTTCTAATCTGGATTCAAGTCTGGCTATACACTGAATGTTTGTTGCCCACCCTCCACCATTCATATGTTGATCCTAACCCCCCCACCCCCCCCACACCCCCCACCCCCGCCGTGTGATGATGTTGGAAGTGAGCCTTTGGGAAGTAACAAGCTCATGAGGGTAGGTCCCTCATGTATGGGATTAGTTCCTTTATAAAAGAGACTCCAAAAATATTCCATGCCCCTTCTCCATTTGAGGACATGGAGAAGATGGTCAACTATGTTCCATCAAGTGAGATGTCACCAGACACTGAAACGGCTAGCACCTTGACCTTGGACTTCTTTCTCAACTTCCAGAACTATGAGAAATAGATGGGTTATTAACTCACCCAGTCTATGGTACTCTGTTAGAGCAGCTTAAATGGACCAAGATAATTTGCTGTGTAATATCAGGCAAATTTTTTTCTAAGCTTCAATTTTCTCTCTAGGAAAATGCGGCTGATGTCAGCCACAATCTCATGAGAGGTTCCTGAGAATACATGTGAAGTCTGAGCAGGGCCCTAGAATATTGTCAACATATCATAGTTGTTGCAACTATTACCTCTGGAGCACTCAGCAGTGAATGGAGATGCTGGGGAAACATCCATAGCAGGCTGTAGGGTACAACATAGAAGTAATACTGCTCTTTCTGAATGCACTAACTCTGTCATGGAAAAGCCATGGAGTAGAATCTAAAGAACTTTGCACAGCAGATCTCCAAGGAAAGAGCATAAAACTAGACTTTGTTTGGGGTAAATTTATTGAGAACTGATTAGTCAACTGGAATATTGTCTGCATGCGATAGGGGTTGCAACTGTGACTCATTCTGGAGCATGAGGCAATGAGTAGAAATTATTGTAAGTTGCACATGTATGCTGTACAGAAAACTCTAGTGGATACTTTAAGAAATAAAAAAGAAGATAGAGTGCTCTACTTTCAATAATCTTATAATTTAGCACTCTGCAATCAAAGGTATAAAAAGAGTAAAATAAGCTAATGTGATAGAGAGTGAATGGTGGAGTGTGGAAGAACAGAGTGGCAGGGGGCAAAGTTAGGTGTAGCAATCTAAGAAAGTCTAAACCTGAATTACTAAAAAAGGGAATGCTGTTAGATAATCAGCAGAAGAAGGTTCCAGGAGGAAACAATAGCAAATACTTTGGCCCTTAGATGGGAGTGAATGATGCTTGAGAAAATTGAAGAGTGCCCCTAAAAGTTCTCCGACTACTAAATCACCTGGGAGCCCATAAGTCATAGGGGAACCCTTGTCTGCTGTTGCCCCCCATCACCACACTCAACTAGTTGGTGTGGGGTAGGCTGCAGGCATTTGCATTTTTAAAAACCTCCAGAGGTGACTGCAAGGTTCAGGCAGGGGTGAGAAGCACTGGCCAAGCATGGTGAGTCTAGAGAGGGTAACCGACGATGGGTTAGCAAGGGTGGAATGAGGTCCAGTCACACAGACTTCTGAGGATGCTATGGTTAGAGTTTGTGTTTTATTCTGAAAGTGATGGGAAACCACTGGTCATGAGGGGTTAGGCACAGGCATGATATAATCTACCCTAGGTTTTAAAAGGAGCACTGTAGGGACTGCCTGAAATGCATGCATGGCAGTGGGATGAGGGAATAGCACGAAAACAGCAAAAACAGCTAAATGCACATGGAAACTCCAGTGACTCCATAAATACAAACTACTAGTGATGGTTGTCCAACTGAGGTCTACCAGTGAAATACAACATATGACACTTACTGAACTTGGCCAAAGAGTAAATTGTGCTGGTATTTACCTTTCTGTTTCTACCTTCACCTCATTGTCTTTATATGTTTGTCCTGAACATGGGCAATGGCTATTCAGTGGTTCTCCACCCTGGTTGCTCATTCAGAATCTACCCATTAAAAAAAAAAGATGTCAGCTTCACTCCAGAGGCTATAATTTATTAATCTGGGGATTGGACCTGGCCACTGGGAATTTTTAGAAGCTAATCAAGTTATTTTAATCTTCAGACACCAATAAAAACCACTGAATTAAGTAAATAATCCATTAATTGGGAACAGATGTGTTGAAGTTGGCCTAGGATTCTGACCGGTTCCCAGCTGATAGGGTTAGTAGTACAATCCGAGAGTCTTCATGTCCAGGAAATGGAGCTAGACACCATGAGCTCAGGGTAAATACTATGATTCAAAGTTACCACATTGGAATGGGAAATGGAGTAGGAAATGGTTTGCTTTGCCTAAGTAAAGAAGCGTTGGGGTATGAGATAAGGCCCCTCAGTATTTGTTATTTATTCTAGAATAGAAGGGCAAAGGTGGGGATTCCCAGCTTTGTATTTTGTTTTCAAAGCAGAATATCCCTACAGGGTTTTTTTAAATTTTTAAAATTATTTTTATTAACATATGATGTATTATTTGCCCCAGGGGTAAATAATCTATGAATCATCAAGCTTACACATTTCACAGCACTCACCATAGCCCATACCCTCCCCAATGTTCATCATCCAACCACCCTCCCACCTTCTCCCCACCCTCCTCCCCACCCCCAACCTTCCCCCCCAACCCCCCCAACCCTCAGTTTGTTTACTGAGATTAAGAGTCTCTTATGGTTTGTCTCCCTCCTGATCCCATCTTGTTTCATTTTTTCCTTTCCTACACCCCACAACCCCCCCTGCACCGCCTTAATGTTTCCTACAAATCTCAAAACTTCCTGTATTTGGTGACAGTTGTCAAATTCAGGAATAACTAAAAAGCTACAGTTAAAGGTACTGGCGATTTGCAGCCAGCCTGACCATGAAGAGGATATGTGATTAAACTTTCCTGAGGTGTGAGAATCTGATGTTGGGCTGAGGCTCCGCCTTGAGAATGGTTTGTATATGGTGGCACCTGAAGGCTGCAAGGTGGTCTGAGTCACCTCGCAAAGTCTCTTCTGGAGGATAGGAAGTACAACTCTTTTTAAGGTAAATACTTATTGAGAGTTTTACTTTATGTAAAATTGAGACAAAGGAAATAAGGGGTTCTATTACTGGCTGTGCAAATCAGACATGAAAGCTTGCTTTTAAATTACAAGTTTCCTTTGTTATCTATAATACATTACTTATACTTCTTAGCATTTAAAAATGCTGAAATGAATTTCTTTTAAAACAGTTGTTGGACCTACCTTTTATGAATGAGAATGGCTATTTCTTCTTTTGATGCTGAATTAATGAGTTTTTAGTGCCTATTATATTACTTAGGTGTCAATCTCTTTTTTTTTTTTTTTAATTTAAATGTTGTGAGTTAGCATACAGTACTACATTAATTCCTGGAGCAGAAGTCAGATATTCATCACCTATATGCAACACCCAGTGCCCATCACAAGTACCTCCTTAATGCCCATCACCCACCTCCCTCCAATCAACCCTCAGTTTGTTCTGTACTTAGGCGTCAACCTTAAATATTCACGGACTAGAAATCAGCTATAAAATAACATACTCATAAGATTCTTTAAATGTCACAGTAAGAAAGCATTTCTTTTACCTTCACATAGTTATACTCTAAGAGAATAAACTGTCCATCAGGAGATACCGAATAATCATTTATAGTATGTTCAAATTCCTCCTGTCAAACAAGTGGAAAAAAGAACAATTGAACAACTGCACTTAACAATCACTACTGAGCACTTACTACATAGAGGGTATAGTTCTAGACAGACATGTGGCTCATGCCTTGGGAGCTCTTAGAAATGGCACGATCCCCCCCCACAAATGATCATGATGCAAGGTGTATGGTGATCAGGGTTAGAGAACCAGGCAGGGAAGAATTAAATCTAACCAAGGGAAGACCACCATGAGGGTAGGGATCAGGAAGAGAGAGAGAAATTTCCCAGCAGGGGGAAGAGCATGAGCAAAGAACCAGATGCAGGAGAGAGCATGCATAGTAAGAGTGCCCAGAGGTTTGGTGTAAACTGAGTACAGTATAGGGTACGTCAGACAACATATAGAAGAGGACATAGAATTAGAAAAGCAGCTGGGCCTGAAATATAAGAGTGGAACTCTAAATCACTTTTTGTAATGGATGTGATAGAGTCTTATCTCTCTTTACAGAGATGCTCTGGGACATGGTGGCAGACATGAGATGAGAGGGCCTGCATCAGCCCTGGCCTTGGGCAACGCAATGGTCTCATCGACAGAATGGAGACAGGGACACAAGACTGGAGTACTAACACAGATTAAAAAGGCCTTGAACCAGGGCTCTACGGTGGAGATAGGAATCCGAGGGACATGACATTGTAGAGGAAGAAGTGATAGGGTTTGTTAAATGGCCAAATACGAGGGATGGCAGAGGAATCAAGGAAGATTCTGGGGATTCAGGGAGTAGAATTTCACTTTTTAGCCTACGTGACTTGGAGGGGAGCATAATTTACCGAGATTGGGAGCTCAGGAAGAGGAATAGGGTGCTTTCAGCTTGAGAGGAGAATGAAAGGGAAATAATGAGTTGAGCTTGGGATACTGAGCTTAAAATACCTGCAGGTCAAGGGTGGGCAGGAGCAAGCCAGCTATGAGAAATAGAGACTTTGGTCTTGGCAGAAGGTTAGTGTTGAAAATGTGCATTCGAGAATCAAGGCCAGACAGGAGAGCCCTCTTGCTGGGGAAGGGCATGAAATTCACTGAAGGAGAGCAGGCAAACTGTGGAGAGAGGCCAGCAAGGGAAGACAGAGCCCTGATGGGCACTTACGCTTAGGAGGATGGGCAGAGGAGGAGGAATCGTCAAGGGAGACTAAAAGGTAGCCAAGGCAGGGAGCATTCCAAGAAGGAGAGAAAGATCCACTGTGCCATATGCTGCAGAGAGAGTTCAACAGGATGAGAAATGATAGTACTTATGATTTGAAAGGTTATGAAAAAAAAATCCTCAGAATTTCCTTAAAGTATAAATGAATTATGCAATCAAACATACAAATGTACTGTTTTCCAAGAAAATGGAGCTGTTTCCGTATTCAGCATTGAATAGCAAGATATTATTTTCTTGTTTGTAGAGGTACTCCTGATCTAAAGAAAGAAAATGGCTGGATCAGTATTTCAAGTTGCAATTAAAAATCTCCATAAGCTAAAAATGAAACAGAAAAAAAAAACTGAAGGTTTAAGCTCACACTAGTACTAAATAAGCATTTTGAAGTTGGAAAAACATTAAGTGATGAATATTACACTAGTATGCATCCATTTTTCCATCATTATTGTCAAAGTTTCAATTCACTTTTAACTTTTCATAGCCCGCAACAAAGAAATATAAGTTTATTTTCCTTTGTACCTGTAAATAGAGAAAAATACTTTCCCATATGGCTTAACAAAACAAGGGTATCTTCTCAGGGCCACAAAAGTGTCCCACAACCTAATTAGAAGGAGCACAGGCTTAAAAATCTGTCCCCTCCCCCAGAAAAGTCCTTACCTGAAATCCAACGCAAGGAATAGAATTTCATCCTAAAAGTATTTTTTAAATAATCAGTTAGAGTGTAAGTTCTGCGACTGTCAGCTGTAGCATCATCTGTTGATTAAAGAAAAGAGCCAAATGTTCAGTAAGATGTAATAACCTAAGTTTGGGATAAAATAAACAAATGGATCACTGCAATACACACTGGTCTCAAACTATAGGAATTACACTCACAAAATGCAAAACACATTCTGAAGGATTTCAGGCTGGATGGATGGAGTGGAAATACACTTAATGGTTAGAGCACAAGTGAGTGGTGTGTCTCCCTGAGCTATATTAGTGCCCGCATTAGTGAACTTCCTCATGAAGGTCTAGATCCCCCAAATCCAATGGAAATATGACGTGAGTCCATTTTCTAGTAGCCATATGCAAAGATTGGTAAGGTGAAAATAATTTTAGTAGCATATTTTATTTAGCCCAATACATTCAAAATATTATCATTTCAACATGGAATCAATATTTAAATTTTATTAATGAGATCTTTCACATTCTTTATTTTTATACTACTTCTTTGAAATCCAGTATGTCGGCTATGATTACAGCATGTCCCAATTTGACTAGACACACTCCTGGTCAGTAGCTATCGGTGGTCAGGTAGTAGATGGCACAAGGCTAGGCTGTCTTTCTTAGAGGCCTGAAGGTGCCTTTCCACACTCTCTTGCTTTGCATGGACCTTTAAGACAGGGTGATCGTCTAATGCATTGATCTTTGTTTCTATGGTGACCTTCCCTTGCATTTGGGGGAGGTTTTCAGGAAACCCTCCCATGGACTCAGTGACACCTCACTTCTCCTCCTAACCTCTGATCATTCATTTTCTATCTCTTTATTTTTCTCTATTGACCTCCAAGGCAGAAATGCCCTGATACTCAATCTTCAGCTTTTTGCTCTTGTCTCTCTTCATTTTTCCTCCTAGAGGACTCCAGAGAATGAGACTTCTTGGGCTTCAGGCATATTTTCCATTTAAATTCATGACAAAACCTATACTCATTACCTTAGCCTTTCACACCTCAAACTCACATTTCTAGTTCTGAGTTGGCCATTCTTAGTTGACTTGCCCCATATTAACCCTAGACTTCCCTTGTCTAAATTAATCGCCTTCCTTCCAAAATAATTTTCCCTAGGGAATTTGTGTGGTTTTAGATTCTGTTACCAGAAACCCATATTCAAAGTCTGAAAATCATTTCTGATGTCTCCCTCTCTTTTACTACCACCTGTATCTGGTTAAACCCGTTTGATTCTTCCTATGACATTATTCTTCTGGGTATCTTGCCCTTAAGTCTTTCCCCAGTCCAATCCCTCTACTGTACAACCGCTGGAAAGATTTTTCCAAAATGCCACTTTCATCCCGGTGACCTTTTCCTCAAAAGCCTCCCCTGATTTGCCATTGCCTACAGAAAGATTCCAACTCCGCAGCACGGCACTCATGGCCTCCACAGTCTGGCATGAGACTGTCCAGGCTCATTTCCACTTACTTCACGTATGAACCCTCTAACCCACTCACACTGATTGCCTACTGGACCCAGTAAGCCTTCTTTTTTTTTTTTTTTTTTTTTAAAGATTTTATTTACTTATTTGACAGAGAGAGATCACAAGTAGGCAGAGAGGTAGGCAGAGAGAGAGGAAGGGAAGCAGGCTTCCTGCTGAGCAGAGAGCCCGATGCGGGGCTCGATCCCAGGACCCTGAGATCATGACCTGAGCCGAAGGCAGCAGCTTAACCCACTGAGCCACCCAGGCGCCCCCCCAGTAAGCCTTCTTTTTGGCTTTTCTGACTCTTCTCCTTGTCCTAAGCCTCTCCCCTGCAGCATCTCCAACCGCTTCCGGGGCTGTCACAGCCCTCCACCTGCCAGCTCCCTCCTCTCTCATCAAGACTTCAGTGATGCCTCCTCTGACTTTTGCCCCCAGACTACTCATTTGGTATTTCTAATTAATAGCTTCTGGTGATAACTATTTTTCCATGCCTACCACTGTGGTGGACTGAGCTAGGCTATCTATTCATTGAAGAAAGGGTCTTGGGTTGGTTGGTTGTTTCTTTTTCATCAACTTAGTACCTAGCACAGTTCTATGCCATAGTAGGTACACACAGCTTTTGTTGATGACATGGGATATCATTCTCCAAGGCTGATGAGGCCAGCGTGATTCCCCAATCACAGAACCCCCAATGATGACAAGCAGCCTAAAGAGTTTTTCCATATACTATATTCCTTCCACATACTTGCAAACATACGCTCATAAAAGCAGGCACCATCGTAAGTTTTCAAGAACTGTTCTTACTCTTTCGGGGATTGAAAATTCAATAGCAGCTTCTCTTGTTAATTTTTTACGGTCTGTAGAAAGGTAATTCTCTCACAGGAAATGCTCTTTCAGGAGATGTTCTCAAGATTTTATTTCTTTGGATCTTATCTGATAACATAGCCTTGGTTCTGCCTATAAAACTCTCAGCTTCAGTAGATAAATTGTTACACTTCATTAATTTATTGATTTTGTTTAAGCCTAGTTAGCTAAATAAGTTGAAGATTAAAAAAAAAAACAACCTGTTTTTTTTTTTTTTTTTCCATTCAGGCCTGCATTTCACCCCAGAAAATTAAAAAGATATTTCTATTTGTTAGCAGAGATAGAGCAAATGGGTAAAACCAGCCCTTGAACTTGCCAACCGTCAAGCAAGAAGTAAAGCCCTGGGCTACAGAAAATATTTGAAACTCTACATATCTGTAGATTTATGCACTAAATACCCTTAGTTGTTCATATTCATCTAATTGTTCTTTGATGCACTGAACAGCGATAAAGTAAGTACTATTTGAAAAATACTGTTGCAGATATCTATCTATCTATCTATCTACATAGATAGATAGATAGATATCTATACCCTGTTATCAAGAGCTATTAGTCTAAAATGTACACAAAAGACATTCCAAAATTAGTGCAACTCAAGATATAAATGGTTATAGACATTCACAATCCTGTATCACCTGCTGATATCGATGTCTGGATAGACCTATTGATATTGAACAATTTACACATAAACACGCAAACACACTTCATTACAATGACCTAAATGTTTGTATCCTCCAAAATTCATATGTTGAAATCCTAACCCACAATTTGATGGTATTAGGAGATGGGACTTTTGGGAGGTGATTAGGTCATGGAGGTAGAGCACTCATAAATGAAATTATTACCCTTATGAATTAGTGCCCAGAAGGATCTCTTGTCCTTTCTGTGCGAGGACACAGGAAACTGGCCCTCACTAGATGCCAGACACATAATCTGCTAGTGACTGAGACTTCCCAGACTCCAAAACTGTGAGATAAAAACACTTGTTGTTTAAGCCACACAGTCTATGGTGTTTTTTTTAATGCAGCTTTGCCTGAACAACCTAAAACATGTATCTCTAATAAAACAGACATATCAACTTAGAACATCTCCCACTGCCTCTTGATTTTGTAAGGAGAGAATTAACCGAGTACTTACAACAGACAATGTACATTGGTATTTCCTTTAAACGCTATCTCATGTAAGGGTATTCACCCTGGCTTTTTAGAATAACACACTTAAATCTGGACTATTAAAATCATTGAGGCAAAATTCCCTGTGACATCACCTGCTGCCCATGGCGCCACCCTTCACATTCATGATGCATGATTCACTGAGCACTTAATCTCTCCCCCGTCTCAGACAAGGCTGAGCTCATTCTCTCCTCAGACCATAGTGTTCATAGACTGATCAAGTCTACCATATTTGGGCTCCTACCATGTTTGCTTGTAATGGGCCCATGATAATTTTATTCCATCCGTTGATGTCCCAGATATCAACACTGATGCTACTACACTCCTGCTATGGCCCAGTACATCTGTGAAGACCCCGGGGTGCCTCTGGTTTGTGTCAGGCTCACTCACCCACTCAACGATGACCCCAAGAGCTCCTTTCCACATCCTGGCTACCCGGTCCCAGAACAATGCTGCTGAATTGGAGCAAACCAAGCAACAAATGTTCCTTGTTTTTTGCCTTGCTATTTGATAAGCAGTGCACATTGGAAGATACGTTTGAAACATCTAGATAAGCGAGCTCTGTAAAACGTTGAGTGCCAAGTCCAGGTTTTGACCTTTAGCAAGTTCCTAGTTTGTTGCCAAGTTACAACCTATTCTGTCAAACACTTACAGGACACGCTCATGTTTCTTTCCCCTTGTCTCCTTGCTCACTGACAGGGCACTGCTGTGGCAACAGATGAAGGTCTTTGGCTGCTCGTGTGGTTTTCCTGGTGGGCCTGGGACATGTCGTTCATTTGACTTATCGGTTCAAAGCATTGTGCTCGCCAAGTAAAGCAGTTAATCATATGTTACCCATCAGCTTTTATAGAAACTCTTAGATTCCTGTCTTCTTGAATTTCAAAATCAAAAAAGAAAAAAAAATGTTAACAACTTTAGATTTTACTTTCCTGGTGAGAACAGCTATTGGGTTAGACCATCTGAAAATGTCATTTTTTCAGTTAAAAATGGTAGAATAGCAGTATTTAAAATGTTTCAACCTAATAATAGATTCTTATCGAAGTGTATGGTATCTCAATGCCTTCTTGTTGTAGGATCAAAATCATTTCTGAATAAAAGTATTTCCAAAATAGTAAGATCCAATTAAGGACGTAGTGTAGTTCCATGGAATCATCTTGCCTTGACCACTTGTTACCTTATGATTGCAGAATATTTTGACTATTTTGTATACATTAATAATAAACTTTTTAAAAAAAGATTTTATTTATTTGAGAGAGAGAGAGTGAGAGAGAGCATGAGAGAGGAGAAGGTCAGAGGGAGAAGCAGACTCCCCATGGAGCTGGGAGCCTGATGTGGGACTCCATCCTGGGACTCTGGGATCATGACTCGAGCCAAAGGCAGTCGCTTAACCAACTGAGCCGCCCAGGCTGCCCAATGATACACTTTTTTGTCTGTGTTGGGCTGGGATATGTAATATTTCTACTTCACAAAAATAAATTGTTTTGGTAAATAAGTAGCTAATGAAATGCCACTAAAAAGAAATGTGCTCTTTACGGCTCATAAACTTATTAA